CGTCCGGCATACTTGCGTCGAATCCCGACATCGCGCACGATCAAAGTCCGATCGCACGTGTCGAAAACCTCGTACTTGAATAGTTTCTTTTGGAACGTAAAAACTCATATTTCGTCATATCCCAACAATTATCGCTTACACCACCCGATCGGGATTCTCGATTGGAAAATGGTTTCGCCGGGAACAAAGGTACCGGGCCCGACCTACAGGGCCCGTTTTCTGTCATGCTAATGGTTCCACTTGGACCTCCCACTTCTTTCGGTCCACCTACTTGTATCCGAGTCTCCACAAACAACGCAACGATGGAGACCCTCTTCTTCGGCCTTATGACGGCACTCCTGGCAACTCCATTGAAAGCCGCTTCTGGTCCCTTCACTGCTACCGCCGCGGGGGCCGCACCCACGTCTCACAAGGAGACATATGCGGTGGCGCCCGTCTCACTATCGCCTCCAAAACTATGCTCTATGAACACGGCCGCTGGCGTCTACGCCGCGCCAACGACGTTGACGCCACCTACCGCAAATGGAAGCCCCGTAACCGGGTCAAAATAACTCTTTACTGCCATTAATGGCAGTGCTTGGGGGGAAGAAAACCTGGTTGGTTGGAGTCGTAAGCGAATGTTTGGCCAAGGGGGAAAGAAATGGACGCAGGATCTACCCTTCGGGGTACGATCCTGTGGAGACTTCAGCCTACATACTCCTCGAGATTAACCTCGTCGAGTGTAGCGCTGGTGCCTCACCCGGATCCGAACCCGGAAGCCTGCGTGGGCTAGGACAATATCTCTAGCCACCAATTATGATACGAATAAAAGACTCCCAACCGTCATTCCAATTGGATTTGAAAAAATTCGATGTATAAAATCCGTTGAAAACAGACGTTGTACGTCAATTCAAATACAAGGAAAATACGCCAACGACTCAAATACAAGGAAAACACGCGAAATTCGTCCATTTGGAATTGGCCTAAGTAAGATAACAATGATTCTTCACAATAATGAAATGTACTTGTATGAGTATCAGGTACTGTGGTAGCTTTTGACTTCAGTTGCGGGCAACAGTTTAGTGAGAATGTTTCTGCAGGTCTTGATGCCATGCATCTGCCCAAGCCCTGGGAATGTTGAATTTTTCAAGAGTTTGCGTGCCATAACATTTCTTTGCAAGATTTAGTGTAATTGTTATTGTATAGCATTGTCTTCTATGTAATCTAGCATGTAGCAAAAAATATGCGAATTGTGTGATTCTTCCCAGAATCATATTGCACTTTCAACCCTCTAGGAGAGGCATTGGCAGCAAAATCTATCAACCTCCAACTTTCACAATATCAGCGGTTTGCTCTACTTTTCGGGTCTTTACTGTAGCATGTTCTGCTGCATTCGTAGACATTGGCCTTCCAGGTTCGAGCTTGGTTTGCACAAATTGTGAGGCGGAACTGGAATTTGGAATAGCTGTTCCAAACCGTCCTGAAGAACCGTGTGTTGCCTTGGGGATCACTGGCGTGGTTGTAGCTTGTGAAGAGACTTCAGGCGCGAGTGTTGCGGCTACTGTGTGCTGTGCTTTGCTCCCATTGCTTTGAGCAGGCAAAACTGTTACTTCTGTAGCTGGGATGCTGGTCTGTGGATCAGTTGAGATATGTTGTACTTGAATTTTTTCGGCTACACGTAGATTCGTCCTATCGCCAGACGGTGATGGAGGAAGGGCACTTCTCGCATTAGTCTGATGGATAACACTACTCACAGATACCGATTGTCCTCTAGCTGGCGACGGAGGTCTCGATTGTGCTTGGATTGCTCCGGCTACAGGTGACTTCGTCACATTCATAGTCTGTGAAGAAGCCCCAATGTGAAGGGTGCCACCTACAGTCGGAGGTCTTGGAGTCGCTGTAGGGCGAGTAGATGCCAGTAGCGTTGGCACTGTTTCAATAGCTGGTTCACGTGTGACATGGGACGAAGGCGCCGATGCTGAAGGGTGTTTCGTGCTATTTGCATTTGACAAAGGTACAAGAGCGGCTTGAGCAGTAACTGGAGTAATTGGAACGCGGGACGGTGGGGATGCCGCTACAAGTTGTTCTGTTCTCTTCACACTGGCAGCTACAGCTGGAATGCTATTTGCCGGTACAGGTTTACTGTGTGGTGCAGGTTTTGTTTGTGTTTGCACTGTTCCAGTTGTAGCTTGCTTCGCCATCTGCAAAGGCGGCGCTGGAGCTCCAAAATGACGCACACTTCTCACACTGGCTTGATGCTCAACAGGTTCGCTTCCTAACACCTTTGTGACATCATTACTTGACACAGACGCCAAACCTGCCGCTGCAGGTTGACTTAGATGAGCCAAGTGAGCTGCATTTGCGTGGGAAGGCACTTTCATTGTCGGTGATGCTGCTGGAGCAGTGGCTATTTCCACCTTCGGGTGACTCTGAGGAACATTCTGCGTTTGCACAGATTGCATTGATTCAGGATGCGCCGTTGGATGCCCTGAAGGTGGAAGCGAGGTCAAAACATGGGGTTGCTGCGTAGCTGTGGGCGGATTATCCTTTTGCATAGCAGGCTTTGCCGAGGCCAAAGCACTTGAGAGAGCGCTTTGGAGAGCAGTCTGGTGCATCAGTGCCGCTTGCATCGGCGTCTCATTCACTTCCACTGTTGTGGAAACAGGTCTCGTGGAAAGCTGTGCTACAGATTGAGGCTGCAAATGGCTCGCAGCTGGAGCGTGGAGAGACGGACTTGAGGCGATAACTGGAGGTGCCTTTCTGGACACTGTCGCACTTTGCCCAACTCCGGGTGCTATGCCATCAGGTACACCATTTGCAAAATTAGATGGCGACAAGGCTGCAGGGTGCGACAGCAATGATTTGGATGGTGTTTGTTGTGAAACCAACGATGCAACAGGCCGAACATTCTTCACCGAAGTAGCCGGGTTTGACTCGGCGTTAGGAGTGGCTCGGGCTGTCGAAATAGCAGACACTGGTTTGCTCACTCCATGCTGCGAGGACTCTTCTGGAATAGGAGAACCAACAGGTTTGGATGCAGCCAATGTTGCTCCTGATATAGGCGAAGTGCTAACCTGGACTGGATTTTGTACTCTTTGAGCAGCAGATGCACGAAGAGGGTCCTCCACAGATGCATAGGTGGGTGGTGCCGAAACCTTGTGATCGACTCCTTTGATCGTCGTCAACGACTGAGTTTTTCCTGCAGCCTGCGAATTTGTATCCTTTGATGATTGAAGATGTTGTAGCATCGGTGCCCTTATCTGTTTTGGGGGTGCTTTAGCAGCACTTTTCTGCATTGCGGTCCAAGGATGATGAGCAAACACTGTTGCAGATGTTGCTTTGGTTTGGGTTGTAGGCGGAGCACCCACAGTTGCAGGGATCCCAGTCTCCTTTCCTTTTCTTGCTATTCCACTAGGAGGTGCGCTTCTTGGTGGGTGCTTCGCGTGTATGGCCGGGATTGGTTTCAGCGCACTTGCTCCCTTTGCTGCTGTCACATATGGAGGGTGTGGCCCGACTGTTTTGCTATTGTACGCCAATGTCGCAGCAGCTCGTCTTGCTGCTGCAGATCTCTTCATGAATGTAATCAGTCTTTCTCGATATATTTTGGCTCTGAATTGATTCAAACCTTTCAAAGCGTGAAGGCTTGGGGATAGGTTTGGTGGCGAACAGATCTTGCACTTGGTCGCATTAGAACACGAAACAAGGTGGTACAATAGGTGTTTGACTTTTCTGCACCATGGAAAAGGGCACACATCAAAATTGGAGGTTGATCCTGGACAATCTCGGACGTGCAACATCAAGTACTTAACACTCCTGCAAACGTCTCGGTGTCTTTTTGACTTATGCCTGCATGGGCAAGTTGACGAATGTTGCATCAAAACAAGAAGTCGAGACGCATGATCTTCTGACAAAGCTGGCCCCTTGTACTTGTGGCCAAATGTTTCGTGTTCTGCTTGCTCTACCGGGGTGAGTGAAGAGAAATCGAAATCAGAATCGCTCGAACCCACCGAAAGATCAGATAGACTTCCATCCGATAATTCGCTCAAATCTGAGTCCGAATCGCTACCAGGCGATAAAGGCTCCCTGTATAGATGTTGTATTGGCTTTACAAGACGAGCATGAGGCGGAAGTGGCGGAGGTGGTTTCGGAAGATATTGGGATACAGCACTAGCAGATGAGCCCACGTTCCCTCCATTGTCATCAATGTGTGCCAACAAAGCAGGGTGATACTCGATTTGGTTGGCCGGAGCTGTAATGTCAATTCTTGGTATCTAAATATACAGAACGCCACCAAAAAGAAAGGTATCAGATGTGACTAAAGACAACGAAACACAATAGTTGTCACACAACGATACCTACCTGTACTTTGCGACATTTGGGACACTCCTGCTGGGAGAGTGCCCACCAAGGATTGTATTCACAAGTAGAATTGTACGGATCATTACACAGCGCACAAATGTACTCAACAGCTCTAGGCCCCTTCTTTCTTCCATTGTTCTTCCCTGAATTAGACTTTTTCCGTCCTCCTCCGACCACCTTCATTTGAATATTTGCAGGATGAGCTGGTTGCGTCACAACAAGTCGCTGCCGTTCTCTTTCTCGCCGTCTTGCGATACGCAATAATTTCCGCTTTCTCCTTTTCTTTCGCATTCTCCTCCGTTCTTCATCTGTCAATGACTCTTCAATATTCTCTATTTCCGGCTCCTGAACCTTGACGGTTTGAACTGGTACAGGTTTCGGTTGTTTTAGTCCCGGAGGAGGCGCCGCAGCAACTGTTGGTGGCGGTGGTTTGTGCGACAAAGTGTTTTTCTCGGTAGAAATCTCAACAGCAACAGGAGTACTGGATTGCAGTGGTACTATTGGATGGTTTGCCACCTCTGGTGCCTCTGCTGTTTCAACACTTTCCGTGGGCGTCAGTAACGACGGGCTCTCAATGACCATCTCATGCACCCCAGATGCTGCAGCAACTCCAGAACGATGCTGCGTACTTTCAGGTACCATTCCTCCATACAAAATTCTACCATTGGTAGGCTCTTCATTGGCCTGCGTACATGCTCCCACTCCATGCCCATGCGTCCTTCGCTTCGAGCCAAGAGTCGCACCATGCAGATTCCTAGTCAACGAAGAACCACCCTTCAGTGGAGTACCAAACTGAGTCGGATCAGAAACCTCGCGCATCTTTTGCTCTTGTTGCTCTTGTGCCGCAAGCCTAGCGGCCTCCGCTTGCTTCTGCCTCTGTTCGGCAGCGGCAGCAAAAGTACCTTTCGCGCCTGCAGATGAGGACGCGACATAACTTCCACGTCTCGGAGCTGGCATTCCAGCTGGGTTTCGCGTTGCCCCTTGCTGGGCTGCGAGCTGCTTCTTTAACCTCACTTTTACCGGCAGCAAGTTCGCTAGAATATGTTCTTCCAATTTTTGAACACTTTCTTCCGTTTCTTTCCTTTTTGATTCCGGAATTGTTGTTTCGCCGTCAGTGGAACCTCCTTTCTTTAGAGAAAGGGACGCGGACGCATCAAATGCTCCGGCTTCTAGCCGGCATCCTTCATCAATCTGCCTTATGGTATCTTCTAGATGCAGTATGAAGGAGTGCAGCTTTTCCCTTCTTTCCCTTGAACCGGCTGATTCTTCAATTTGTGCAGCACCCTTAGCACCCAAAAGTTGCCTTTCTAGCTTTCGAAACTCAAGGAGCATATATTCAAGCTCAACTTGGTATTTTGTTTGTAGATGAGCCATCAGTGTTGACTTGAGAGGTACCAGTGCTGCCGGCGATTCCACTGATGGATTTGTGGTTGGGGGAGCTGGTGCTGGCGGATGTACGACTGAATCTGTTGCAGTTGCAGTTGCTGGTGGATGGAGTGATTCTACAGATGAACTACCTGAGAAATTTGAAACCACAGGAGAGTTTGTAACAACCGACGATTGCCCGATTCCTGAGGTTTCGGCAATAGGATAAGCTCGAGAATCCTGTGATGTTTTTGAATTTGAAATGTTGGTAGTTTGTGTTTGACTTGTTCCCTCGGCTCCAGTAGACGCTGTCCCCTCTTCTACTTTGATACGTTTCGCTGGTGGCTCTTGCTCTGACGCTGTTTCATGTGCTTCACAGGCCACAGTTCGGTTGACTGATCTTGGACGAACAACCGCAGCAGCGTCTGCTGTTTGTCTATTTTCCATCCTCATCTCGCCACAAATTGAAGTTCAAAGATATGCCCTATTTGGTGACACTCAAACGGATTAAATCTAGTGCAGGGGCTTTGCAAGATCGATATAGATGGAATACCTCTATAGGTTGGTATGCTCCCTTATTTCGTGATAATGCTCCAGAACAACCCTTGGTTACGACAGGAAGCCTCTCTACAGCTCTACAGCTTGGCATCTGGTTCGTCGTTGCAGACACACTCGTTTCCACCAATCCGCTTGAAGAAAGCAACTAAGTGCGTGTGTAGCGAGAGGAATTCTCCGTACAAAATTAGACAGCAGATGAGACAGATTTACTTAAAAGAGAGGACACGTTCATGTAAGTGTAAGCCTCTGAACAGTTTCTTAACATAGTCGTCTCATTTTGAAACGACGCATCTGTTCTTATGGCCGAAGCAAAACGCAGGTCTTCCATAATTAGTGACAAGACAGATGTCAGAAGGTGATTGGTTGGAACATAGAACAGATATTCTACCTCATTCTTTGAGAGTATTTTGTTAGACTAAAGTAGTAGTACCAATAGTTGTACCAAGAGAACTGTGCACGGTATGGGACCGGTACCAGGCACCAGGCACAATACAGTACAGTACGGACTTGGAGGTTTTGTACCGTATTTTAACTAAAATACACTTACAGTGCCTACTGTACCGGTAGTGGTATTGTGTTCCACACCGCGGTATCTTTGTTGTAGACTTGCTCAGTCCTACTACACCGGTGTGCATACTAGAAAGAAACATATCAATAGCATCATCGCTTCGAAAATCGGTCGAGGAGGCCAAAGCTTCGTGCCGGTTCTCCATCACAGACAGAGCTAGGAGCAATTACTCCGAGATTTGTGAGTCCATCGGACACACGTTGAAGAAGTGCCAGGTCGTCGGCCAAAGGTCGCTGTGCTTTCATGTTATTTGACGTCGAACGGAGAGCATCAAATGCTTGTGAAAAGTCTGATGCAGAGGCCTTTACATTGTTATTCAAATGACATGGTATCACTCGTTTCATGTCACTGAACCGGCTTGTTACTCGTTGTACCCATCGGATGGTCTCTGATGGCTCCCTGTCCAAGATTAACTTCGTCAGAATTGGAGGACAAAAGAGCTGTTGAAGCAAAGAGTGGTACAAATGCTGAGCAGTTGGGAATGTGTTGAGAAGCGATTCGATTGGAATCTTCTTACCTTTCCTTGCATTGAAATTGCTTCAAAATTCTTAACGTCGTCGTTGCCGTTCCAATTCCAAGGGTAGAGGTTGAATGGCACAGCACCATCTCCAAGATTGCTCATCCTAGGATCAATATTTTTGGCTTCACTGATTGCATCTTCTACGGACTCTACTGTGATTTGAGAAGGAAAGAACACTAATCCAAACTGTACCATTCGTCGCCAACCTCGTTCGCGATTGCTTGGAGTGTCTTCGACAACCTCCGAGATGTCGTCACGAGCATGGAACATCAACGCGCGAGGATCTTCTTGAATGATAGGTGGAGGAGTCTTCGTAACACTCACAACAGTGTCCGTAACAAGGAGACTTTTTGTTTCCTTATGGTAGAATGCAGTCTCCGAGAAGGCGCCAACTGATTTGAACTTGAATGGACCCAACACTTCATACTCAATTTCATCTTCCCATTCAGGAGGAGGATATGGTTTCCGAGTTTGAAATCGTTTGGAGACCATCTTTCCAGGGACTGGCAACTCGCGGAATTTCGCTCCTCTCTGATTGACACCAAGATAATCAATTGACAGATCGACAGGAAATGCCCATTGTCCTGGCTGGATCCACACGGTCGCTCTTGGAAACCTCTTAGAGAAAGCCCCAAATGTTGCTTTATGCTCCAAGGCAACAGTTCCAAGCACGATATGTCGAACGGGTCCATATTTCTCTTCCAGGGATTTCATCATTCGGATCAGTTGCGGCGTTGGGGCCACTGGATTATGGACCCACAATCCGCCACCCTTCAGCTTGATTACAGTCTGTCTAACAGGAACATTAACGTTGACAACACCTTGTATTTGATCATGAGTCCATATAGAATCAGGGATTATACATTCTTCAACTGTAGCACGTCTGGATGATGTGCCTGCAAGAGGAAGTAGAGAGAAAGCAACTTTCCCAAGTGGCCAAGACACATCGGAAGTAAATGAAGGCGAAGGAATTATAGTTGCTTTCGAGGAAACGGCTAGGGCAGACTTTGGCATGAAGGTTCCTGTCAACGCGACAGCTGTCATTTTCTCTAAGGCAGCTCGTCGCGTAGAGGAAGCTCTGCCGATTGTTGCATCGTGTTCACATTCTTCATCGACGAAGCTTGGTGATTTTATGTGTTTGTTCAAATTGGTAGTTTTCGAATTCCCATGCGTACCCGTAAAGCCTAGCGCATGATGTGTAGCTGTTGCCACGAAGAGGAGTATTTCAATTAGAAGGACTCGCATCCTTTCTCGTCAGCTTTCAATTGATGGCTCTCATTGCGTGTTTTGTCTGTGTTTCCATCGATTGTCGTGAGCTATCTGGAACACGTCACACGGGATTTGATTTTCGATGGGGAGATTTTCACCAAGCAACTTGAAACTGCCGATCTCATTGGGTGTGTGAACCATCACACCTCCACCTTGCTTGACAATGACGCTATCGTCATTTTTCGTTCTCTTTTTCACGCTTCTTGTATTGGACCATGCCAGATATGCCAATGGATTCTCCATGCAACTAGGGATTGGGGCTCTGTTTCAGCCACAGGGTTTGTTCACTAAGTCAGCGTATGGCGATGCCAATCTACTGTTAAAGGCTAGCGATTTCTTCGTTGACTCGTTCTGGGTGGGAAAAGTTGGCGGTGGAGCTGATGTTCTAACATCAAAACAACGCTCTTCGTTATCAAAAACTCAGTTCAATGAATTCAGAGGGCGATATGCCGGTGTTTCCAGGGGGCAAAGTGAGCTGATAGTCTGCCAACTACCAAGTGGTGAGGTTGTGGGGTGCGCTGGGATTGAAGCAACCCCGATACCTGATGGCAGTCTGAAAGCAAAGACAGGACCACGATATCCATTAATGAGTAACCTCGCTGTAAGTCGGCAGTATAGAAGGAAAGGGATTGCAGAAAAGCTGGTGAAAGAGGCGGAACGATTGGCACGGAAGGAGTGGGGATACAATCTTGTTTTCCTTTATGTGGAACAGAGAAATGTCCCTGCTGTCAGATTGTACCAGAAACTCGGCTATCGAAAAATATGGGTTGATGAAGATGCGACAACACTATTGCCGAAACCAAATGGAAGACTCAGTAACGAACCAACGAAAATAGTTTGCATGACCAAGCGACTGGACTTGGGCCTTCTCGGGAGATTCTTGCCATTCTGAAATCACTCTGCTATTGATGTTGCTCTGTGCTATAGTTTCTAGAACCAAAGGCGCAAAGCACATGTATAAATTTATCTCGTATCATATATTATCAATTTGATGCACAATTTGGAATGGACGAAATGCCATCTCGAAGCAAATGCTTTACACTTTGTGCTCGATCGTATCATCGTTGTCCATGGAAGCTGTGGTTGATAGTCCAGCTTGGCCATCACCATGTCTGGAACTTTCTAGCGATCTTTCTGAAACACTGTCCAGGTGACTATCGTCTTCAGAGATACTTCGCAAAGGCATGTTTCGAACAAAACCAGTCAATCGTTGCACAATTGGAGCATCATCGCTAGCTTCAATATTCATCTGCGAGATCTCAATACCCCGATGATCAACCATTTGGCCATGGAAGCCCTTCTGAAGGTCCTTCCAAGTGTCTCGTCCAATGCGAATGGAATATACTTCTCCCTTGACTGTGATGTCTGCAGGAATTCCAGTCTGTCCACTTCCAAACGTCCAATCAAGGCCGTCTCCCTTCTTCTTGTTGAAATCACTGATTCGAGTCGACCCGTCACGGCCACTCTTGGCCTCGACCGCTTCACCGAACAATCCACCACCAACAACAGGGGTACTTCTCATCTTTTGGCGGACACGGCGTCGTGGTTTTGGTTTCTCGGCTGCTGGGGCTGGCATCCCTTGAGGGGCGGGAGCCTCTGGTTTTGCTGTTTCTCCGTCACCCATAATTTGCTCGATAGACTTCTGCACAGTTGCCATAGTTTGGATTGATTGTCTTCGCTCAAGGGTTGAACTGGCTTCTTTCAAAAGGCGTTGGGTGACATTCTTGTGACTCTTTTCGTCCACTTCTTCACAGATTTCTTGAATGACACCAGGGTACCACCGTTGAACCTTTACCTTTGCAACTCCTGGTTGGCCAATAGCACGAGAGAGAGCCGCATCAACATCCTTCATCAAAACTTCCGTTGCATGTTCGATAGCTGCCGTGGGATCCTCGCCATCCTTATATTCTGGCGACACCTTTGTTCGAGCGTATACTTCGTTGACAAGCGTAGTATGGATACCACGTGGACTCCAGGCGCGATGATCAATAACATCCAAATTTTTCTGCAAGGTGGAAAGAATACAGAGCTTAGCTCAAGCATCAAGCATTGCACTATTGAGTAATGAATCTTACCTTGGCCATTGTGCCCATGATTGCATTCAACAAACCCCATTTGGATTCACACTGCGTTTGAATACAAAGGAAGATAGTGCTCCCTTGCAAAATACCATGCACAATATCTGCGTCATTTGGTTGTGAGGTTTTAGTGTTGCGTCGGTTGTCTTCTTCCTTTGCCGCGTCCTCGACAGCTTCTTCACCCTTCTTGTTGTAGTACGAAATGGTGAATCGAAGCAAAAAGGGCGGAACGATGGTGGAAAGTAAGACCGCTAGGACAACTTTGGCGTACAACTTTTTATCAAACAGACCGTCACCAACGGCAAACACTGCGATTACAAAGGCAAATTCTCCTTCCGCAGCCATGGAGAAACCAGTAATCAAACAGTCTCTTAAATGCTTTCCAGTAAAACGTGCATCAATCGAGAAATTTGGGACCATGAAACCGACACCAACTTTTCCAATCAGTGCCAATGTGTACACCAATCCCTGCCAGATGACTTCTGCATCATTGAAACTCTGAACGGGAACTTGGAAACCAATACTGGCAGCAAAGAAGATTCGCATAAGCCATTGCAGCAAACGTTTGAACTGACGCACAAAGGCATGATGCAATTCATGGAAGGAGCAGAACGTCAATCCGGCCACGAAACATCCCATCAGGTAGGATGCCTTGGCATAATATGTGGCAGGCATAAGAGCGAGTACAAGGAAAAACATGATACCAAGCTCCACTTTGGCGTGATGCTTTTCATCGACACGACTCAAAATATGGTTGCGAATGATTGGTGGTAGGATGAAGATAGCAACATAACCTCCGATAATCAAAAATCCAATGGCGCTGACAATTGGAATCAAAATTCCGGCAGCAGTGATCTCTCCCGACAGCGCCTTGAGTTGCGACAGTACCACCAGAGCGATCATATCGTCAATGACGGCAGCCGAAATGATAAGTTGACCGACGGGACTGTATCAAGGAAAATGACCATATTAGAAATTTGTTCGACGACAACCAGAAGATTCGTTCGTTCGTTCGTTCATTCATTCGACCGATGATGCATCTACTCACGTATTCAGAATGCCTCCATTTCTCAATATATTAAGGGCGATTCCCAAGGAAGTTGGTCCAAAGACAGAACCTGCAGCAATGATCTCTTTGGTATCTGTCATTCCCAAGGCCCATGTAATCAGCATTCCCAGACCAATCGGAAGAATACTTCCGAAAAAAGCAATCAAACAGCCTCTGGTTCCAATCAGCTTAAGTGTACTCAAATCAATATCAATGCCAGCTTCAATGACAAGAAGAACCAGACTGAAAAGTACATGTCAAAGTTAGATGAACGAAAGGGCATCAAACGATAGGACCGATCAACTTTTATGGCTTACCCTAATTCACCAAACATGACCCATGCTTCAGTGTTGTGTACAAAGTCCAGCAGTTCCGGTCCCATGACAATACCACAAATAATCTCTCCGACCAAGTCGGGCATTCTCAAGAAACGGGAGGCAATTTGACCACTCGCATAGATGGCCACTAGGAAAACAACCGTCTTATACAAGTCCATGTACTCAATATGCACTCCAAAGGAGTCTCCGTCGCCGCCACCGCTGAGCATGCGGTCATAGCTCTCCCAAGCATAAGTTTCAAGCTTGGACATTGTTCTTTTCAAAAAGCAGAATGATACAGTATCTGTATGGCCAAGAATATATCACAATTGCCGATCACGAAAAGGCCTATTAACTTCTGGTCGAAAATCGTATTTTCTACAGTACAGTACAGCCAGTATGCCGGGGGGGAAGCAATCAGGAAATTGAAAATGCCGAAGAAAAAGAAAGATTTTCTTGGGGGGAAGAATAAAATGGATTTCAAAATTCGGTGTTTGGGTTATGAGCTTATGTTCCGGCCATACCCATCGGACAATTTGAAATTCCGCCTTTTCGTCAACAGAGACTGAACAAACTACTGTAACCACGTCATCTTCAGCTCCAATTACTGCACCATCAGTCCATCAGCTGGCATACCTACCGGTACAGTATCAGACACAGAAACCCCAACACCACCTCAAAACACAAAACGAGTTACAAAAACAAGAAATGGATACAATTTAAAATTAACAGCAACACCCATGCTCACTCTGAACAGAAAATAAGATGACATTCCGTCGAGCAAAACAAAGCGTTCTGTTCTTTTCTGGAGCATTGCTCTTTCTGTGTATCGTTCCGTCAACGGGAGCTTTCTTCCTTCCCCACTCAAAGGCTGCCAGACTAGGAACGTCGTTCTCGCAAGCGTCATCGTATCCCCTGCAACAACGGGATGATCATCGATATTCTGGACGAAGAAAGAAGACAACTGTGAAACGACATTCCAATTCTCATCCGTCGCAAAGAAATTATGCAACCGAGGTAACTCGATTCAATCAGTGGCTCATAAAACATCTGCGGGAAGACGGCGGCAGTGTCAAGGAAGCCGAAAGTGAACTTTTGCAACGCGTGCAAAAGCATCGAGAAATATTCGAAACAGAGAAACGTGCAGGGCCAAGGGATTTTGATACTTTCAGCTTTAATCTAATCATGAACGCATGGGGGCAACAACGATCCATGAATGCAGCGAAGAATGCCGATAATCTGCTTCAAATATTACTGCAGCAAACACCAGTTTTGAAGCCAGATTCGTACTCGTATAGTGCTGTGTTGAATGCATATGCGAAATGCAGGGGCAAAACAGTGGCAGCAAAGCGTGCGGAAGAACTTTTGAACCAAATGGAAAACACCATCCAAGTCACAACAGATATATGTCACAATGCAGTAATCAACTGCTGGTCGGTCAGTGGGCATCCAGATGCGGGAAGACGTGCTCAACGTTGGTTGACGCGCCTCGAAGAAAGCAAAGACACGCCCAAACCGACGAAAATTTCCTACAACAATTGCATCAAGGCTTGGGCCCGGTCACCAAATGGTGCCTCCAATGCACATCAGCTATTACAAAAAATGCAAGATTTAGGAGGACAATTCTCACCGGATAAGATTTCCTACTCAACTTGCATTGATGCCTACTGCAAATGCACAGATGATCTTTCAGCAGCAGCTGTAAAGGCAGAGCAGCTGCTGACGCAAATGGAAGAAAAAGCGCCAATGAATGAAGATATTCGACCTGATGTCGTAGCATATACATCAGTACTATATGCCTTTGCCAAGGCTGGGACTCACACCAACGAAGCGATGCAACTGATTGATCGAATGAAAAAACACGCAAACGAACAACCGAATACAACTTTTCTCAACACCTTGCTTCATTTATTCGCCAAGTCACACAAAATAGAACCTGCAGAGACACTACTGCGTAGTATGAAACAGAATGATATGGCCGATAGGATTTCCTATACTGCGGTGATTAGTGCCAACGCGAATGTTGGTAATGCAAAACGTGCAAAGGAGTTGCTCTCCGAAATATGGTCACAATATGAATCGTCTGAAGGCAATGCCCGATTCCTTCCAACTACAAAAACATATGCATCCGTGCTGCACGCCATCGCGAAAAGCAAGGACCGCACGAGCATCGACCTGAATGAGGTAGATAACCTCTTGGACCAACTGAGAACCCTTCATCAAGAGACTGGAAGTCCTGAACTCCAACCCAACACTGTCCTATATAGCCTCATCTTTCTGATTCTATCTAATAGTAGAGATCCATCGGCGCCAGAACGAGCCGAAAAGCTGATGGCACTAATGAAAGAAGAGCAAGGAGGAGGGAATGAAAATGTAAGACCGGATGCCACAACATATGCGTATCTCATCAATACGTACACAAAATCAAGAGTGCATAATTCAGCACAAATGGCACGAAAACTTCTCGAAGAAGTAGAAGCTGGCTTTGAAAAGGGCTACGATGAGCTGAGGCCTACAAAGCTTCTATACAGTGCAGTACTCCAAGCGCATGCAAAGAGTGCGTCAAGGGAAGGGGCAGAGTGTGCCGAGGCGTTGTTGCAAAGGACAAAAGATCTCTATCGGCAAGGGAAACTGTATGCAAAACCAACCACTCTTTACTACAATGCTGTGATCGATGCGCATTCAAGGTCCAAGCGAGGTCGTGACGCAGCGAAGCGTGCTGAAGAGCTTCTTGACGAACTGGAGCAACGCCACCGTGCCGGCGACTCTGAACTCGCACCAACAACTCGCAGCTACAATGCTGTCATTCTTGCCTGGAAGAACTCAAATTCGGAGATGGCCCCGAGGAGAGCAGAGGCACTCTTGAAACGGATGAACGAACGGTATTCAAGTGGTGATCAGACATGCCGTCCAGATCGTGTAACAATCAATACGATCATTGGTGTATGGGCAAAGTCCCGAGCTCCAGATGCAGCCGAAAGAGCCGAAACATTCCTGAAGTTTATGGAAAACCTCTATCTAACGGTTGGCGACTCGACTTTCAAACCAGACAGCTACAGCTACAACACCGTGATTGATGCCTACTCGTCGAGTTCATTGCCGACTGCCACAGATCGAGCAGAAGGGCTCTATACGCGGATGATGGAACGCTACCAAGCAGGCGATAGCGAGCTGAAACCAGGCATTATTACGCTGACAGCGCTACGTCGAGCATGGGCGCAGAGTGATTCCTCTGAGGCGCACGAGAGAATTAGACATCTCAGTCAGGACATTGAAAAGAAACAGAAACATCACACGGCCAACAAAAGAAAGGCAGCCAGACCTAAATGACAGTATTCTTTGTAGCTCTGGTCCCCACTGCTCCAAGTTTTCTGGTATGCCACTCGCAACCACTCGCTAGACCGTCATGTCGACGAACTTTAATCTTGAGGTTGAGAATTCATCTGGATGAATAAGAAGGATTATCCTCTTTCATACTACAAGGGCAAAACATGTAAATCAGAGAAACCACAAGTGCTCTCCACTCTTGTAAATCGATTAGAAAGGTGACAATAGAGAATAGCTGTATATCTATTATGTCACGATTATGCTGCGTGTTGTATCCATGCTTTCTTTTTGGTGACTGTCCACCTTTTGTCGCTTCGTTGGTGTCGCAGGAACTGTGTATGTTTTGTCACGAGGAGGATGCGCCGGTACCATAGTGGTAGCTATCCCTCTCTTCGCTCCACTTGGTTGCGAAACAGGCTTCGTTTTGTTTTTCCTTGTTCCCATAAAGTTGACAAAGAGACATAGCGGCCTTCGCTTCCTACGCATTCTAGGAAGGCTTGCAGGAATGTGCTCCGGATAGCGCTTCATTAAGGATTCCAGGTACGGTGATACCGCAACAACTGGCATGATCTTTTCTTGTTCCGGAGACTTTGATATCAGAGAATCTGGCGGAATGAATCCATCAAGAGATCTTTCGGATGCAAACGCGACAGAAGCAAGGTCATCCTCCTCAAGATCGGAAACCCATGGCTGAGACAAGTCATCGATGTTCCAATCGTCAGCTCTGCGGTTGGTTCCCTCTTCAAATCCCATTCTGAATCTTTTGTGATCCTCGATTCTACCGGTATTCGGTATCTATCAACCACAGAATGTCAAGTGATCTACCTGACGTTTGCCGAAAAATGCTCAGAAGTTTGGGTTGACACGCGAGGCAAACCATTTTGATTAAGTATCTTGTGATAAAGAAAATTTTATTGTTAATTGAACAAATAGCTTCATTAAGCGCGTTTCGTTTTCAAAGCGACAAAACTCTTCTCTGCTAGATTTGTAATCCTGTATACGTTTTTTCAAACCCTGCCTGCTTGGGACGGCCGGGAAAATCAACATTTACTCTCAATAATTGTATGCTAAATTTCTATTTCCCGGCCGTTCCTGCCCGCGCGAGTATAATATTTTAGCTCACACAAAACTCTTCGCGAAATACAGTATCTGTTCGATACTGTAATCAGTGGTGTGACCACCACACTTGTGATACTTTCCATTCAAGTGAAATGTACGATGACTCCAAGATGACTCCAAGATGGAAGACGGAACAGTATTGAATCTACTTTATGATATTTTCAATAACGAGTGTGCGTAGGCCTATCAATGCTTGAAGAATCACCATGCATCCTGCTAATTGTGTACATTCTCATCCAAATCGCTCATGATTTTTCTGTCGTGACACTGCGAAAGAATGAGATTGGATCCGTAGACGAAATTGTGCAATGACGAAATGAGTCAGTCCCTTCATGATATTAGTGTTGGCTGAATCTCTAACATGTACCTATCGGAATCTGGGAGGCTTTTATCAATTTGGGTTCGGGTGTGTACAGTACCTGGTACCGGTAGGTGCCAACCGGTACGAATACCGGTATGAGTTGAGTTTCTTTTGGTCTGTCTTGAGCCGTTGTAGGACAACCGGCAGATAGGAATTCCAAACTGCACACCGAATGACAACAGAGATTTGGGCTATTGTACTCGATACTTTAGGATTCCTGTTAGAAGTATAACAATCTTTCCCGTAAGGCGCCGATTTCATTCTCTATATTATCCATCCATGGAGTTAAAGCTTGAAGAATGAGCTGCATGTATTAATGTGAAGCTAATGATACATTTAAATCGTACTGCAGTTTATGAGTAGTCTTGCACATAGCACTTGACTGCATGATTGCGGTAGGGTTGACGAAGCTTGTGCAAAGCACGAGCTTCAATCTGTCTTATTCTTTCTCTGGTCACAGAAAAGCGGTTGCCAATTTCTTCCAATGTCTTTGCTTTTCCGTCGTCTAATCCGAAGCGCATACGGATGACGGCTTGTTCTCGAGAGTTCAATGTGCAGATCAATCTGGAAATGTCATCCTTCAGCATTTGGTAGGATGCTTGATCGACTGGCTTTTGTTCAGGATCGGACATGAGATCACCGAGAGTTAAAGAGTTGTCGGATCCACCGATACCGGCTCCAGAACCCTTGGTCTTGGAAGAAGTTAACTGAGTTTCCATAGAAATAGCATGTTGTGACACTCTGTTGAGGAATTCAATTTTGTCTGCTGTGTGTCCAGTTTGGGCAATCAATTCTTCGTTGGTTGCATCTCTTCCAAGCTCTAACTTAAGCTCTCGTTCCGCCTTCCGAAGTGAATTGAGTTGGTCATGAATATGGACAGGAAGTCGGATAGTTCTTCCTTGGTCTGCGATTGCTCTCATGATACTTTGTTTGATCCACCAAGTAGCGTAGGTACTGAAACGAAACCCTTTCTCGGGGTCGAATTTCTCGCAAGCTTTTGTGAGACCAAGGATACCTTCTTGGGTAAGGTCTTGGAAAGAGAGGTTGGTGTTTGGGTAGCGCTTCGCGATAGAAACGACAAGTCGAATGTTCGATTCTGTAAGAGCAGACTTGGCTCTTAAGGATCGCCGAATTTGCTTTTTGAGTTCTTGGACACTCATATCGGTTCGGATGGTAGCCGCCCATTCTGCGTAAGTCGGAGGTCTGATGAAGAAATCCATAAGTCAGTTCCACATTCTCGGAATTCTCAGAAAAAAGGATTATCATTTGACACTTACCTCAAAAGTTGATTTTCAAGTTCATCTCGCTCTTCTTCCCATTTCAAAAGAATTTGTATTTCTCGTGCAAGGATGATTTCTTCGTTTTTGTTCAACAGCTCGTGATTGCACATTGACTTCATGTACTCCTTCATACTGTCAGTTCCGGTTTCTCTGACACTCGCTTTAATCTTTCGTTTGTTGGGGAATTCTTTTTCGATGCTTGACAATCTTTCACTGCCATTGCCCTTGCCCTTGGATTTATCAAAAGCTGCTTCCATTGCATTGATATCTTCTGGAGAGGGTGAAAATCGTTCACCTGCGATCCGTCCTGAAGGAGAAGAAGCAGTCTCGACATCAAAAGTGCTAGAAGATAGTGAAATTGAATTCAATCTTGCAGGCTGTGGCAATTTTGTGAAGCTGTGTCCGCTTGAGGACAGAAGTGCTAATACAAAACCTGTTCTGGTGATCATGGCATAGATTTGAAAGTTGAATATCGATATGAAATAGAGTGAGTGGACTTGATGGGTGAGTGACTGATGTTTGTGGACCAGAGCTGAGTGGACCAGCTCAGAGATCCATCATGAAAGTACTGGATTTACGTACAAACTACGTACCGATTCTGGAAGCGAAGCACGGAGAAATCATCGAAAGTGCGGAAGTTACGACGGACGAAGTAAAGAACAATTGATGGTCATCGCTGATTGATTGACTGACGGTGTAGACTTTTTGACTCACGTCAACTTTGAGATTTTCCATGCGATAGGACGCGCATGAATATCTGCGACTGCTTTTGTCATGCATGCTTCTTCATTTCATCACATACCGAACATGGTATTGATCACTACTTTTTGCCTTTGGCGTCTCGGATATTCTTTGTCACCCTTGTTATCCGATGTCTTCGGTTATCGGGAAACGTTGTGTTTGTAGGGTGGAAGTCTCTCGAGTGGAATGGAATTTTCTTCATCCTTGGCAACGGACGCCTCAAAGCAAGTCGACTGGGACCGCATTTGTCATTGAAGGCAAAAAGCTTCTGACGAACGCTCATGTTGTGCGGTCGGCGACTGACATTCGCATTCGTCCTCATGGGTCGACACGGCGATATCCAGCTGAAGTTCTATACTTTGGCCCAGATTTTGATTTGGCGTTGTTAAAGATCAAAGGCGAGCAAGAAGAGATTGACTTCTTCGCTGAGAACGGGAAGGATCATATTTGCTCGTCGGGAAAAGAACCAGACGCAAAACGAAAAAAGTTTCTACACGGACTGCAATTTGCAACAGATTTACCAGCTCTACATGAATCAGTTCACGTTGTCGGCGTAAGTTTGATTATTAATCGACTGAAACGTGATCAATTTCAATGGTCTGACTGATTTCTGATGGAGTAGTTTCCGACCGGCGGAAATACAATTTGTGTGACCGAAGGTGTAGTAAGTCGGATTGATTTCCTTGGATTTAGCAAGTCGCTCATGCTGACGATTCAAATCGACGCTGCAATTAATCCGGGAGTAAGTTTAAATTTGGATGATAGCGAGGATGAACTAGATCTTGTTAGCTCAGCAAAATTGTTGCAATCTAAATGTTCAGAATAGCGGCGGACCAGCATTGAATTCGGAGGGCCTTGTTACTGGGTAAGACTTGAACCAATAATTTGACCACGTCTGCAGGCAACGACACTGCCTCTGATTTACTTCATATCCTTACTTTTTCAGAGTGGCATTTAGCACCAAATCTCACAAGAAGAACCAACCTCTATCAAACATTGGGTACCTGATACCTATTGATATTGTAAAGAACTTTCTTGGCCGTTGCCAAGAGAACCCATCGACCTATGCCCTCTCGCCGATCATACCATATCGATTCCATTCACTAGAGAACAAGTCGCTCCGACTGGCACACGCTGTTCCAGACACCGTGGAGGGGGTTCTCTTGACCTCTGTCTGCGACTCCATGAAAGGCTTCTTGGCCAAAGGGGACGTTCTGACTGGGATCGATGATCGAAAGGTATCAAATGATGGCCAAGTGCAACTTCGCGGTGACGAAACCATTCAACATGGTTATTTGTTGAGGGGTAAATTCTTGGATGAACAAGTCAGATTTTCTGTTTTCCGAAACGGTGAGCACGTGATATCATCGCCAGCTGTGCTAAGGTATATTCCAACCATTTGTCCACGTTGGGAGTCGGTCGACTATTTTCCGGACTACTTGATCTTAGGAACTGTAGTCTTGTTGCCCATGAGCACATATCTACAATGTCAAAAGGGTTGTGGAACCCGTCTTTCTGCAAGTACGACAAATTGGTGCCAAAAATGGCCGCATGAATGGGAAGGCAAGGAAGGATTGGTAGTCTTGACGGAAATGTTCAGTCACGAGGTATGCTTTGGATACAACCGGCCATACTGGCGATTCGTCGAAACATACAATGATATTCCAATCAAGTGTTTGGCGCATCTACGTGATCTTTGGGAGGAAAGCATGGAACAGGCCAAGGAGAGTGATGACAGGAACGGCGACTCCAACTCTGCGAAAACTTTCTCATTCGTGCGACTGGGTTTGGAACACAGCGATGACATAGTCTTTGAAGTACGTGCAGCAATCCAGGCTCAAGCTGATATTTTGAAACAGCAGCATATACCATGCCCTTCAAACATTACACAGAGCAACCCGCGATACAAATCGTAGAATTAAAAAAATGTGAATCTATCTTTAATGGAACAACATCGATGCTGCATGAATATATTTCAACAGCAAACAAATGGGCAGTTTTTCTTTAGGCCTTACTCTTGACGGCGGCTTCGAATCGCTCTAGTGCCAAGTCGAGCTCCTCTTCGGTGATGATGAGAGGTGGGACAAATCGGACAACATTGGAGCCAGCAGGGACCAACAACAGTCCTTCTTGCATAGCTGCACCGACAAGTTCTCCTGCGGTAGTGTCCTCAGCGATGCATTCGACACCTCGGAGAAGACCCAATCCACGGACATCTCCCAACACGGATGGGTACTTTGCGGCCAAAGCTACTAGACCCTTCTTCAATTGTTCTCCCCTGGCGTTGACGTTGTCCAAAATATTGTGCTCGCACATATAGTTGGCAACAGCAAGTCCAGCAGCGCAGGCCAATGGATTCCCACCGTAGGTACTGGCATGATCTCCAGGTCCAAAGGTAGTGGCGGCCTCTCCCTTGGCCAACATGGCTCCAATTGGAACACCACCTCCCAAGGCCTTGGCGGATGTGAAGATATCTGGAACAACGTCCAAGTGTTCGTGTCCCCACAAAGTTCCAGTGCGTCCCATTCCAGCTTGAACTTCGTCGCAGATCAACAAAGCTCCATGCTTATCACACAATTCGCGGGCCTTCTTGAAAAATGCCTTGTCTCCAGGAATGATACCTCCCTCTCCTTGAAGTGGTTCCATCATGATGGCCGCCAGCCCCTTGCCATCAGAAGTGGCGCGAACAACGGCCTCCTCCAAAGTGGCGATATCGTTGTACTTGCAGTGATCAAATCCTTGAACCATCTGTCCATCGTATCCAAAACCCTTGTGGTACTTTGGTTGGGCAGTGGCACTGAGGGCGGCAAGGGTGCGGCCGTGGAAGGAAGCTTCGGCAGAAATAATGACGGGTTTCTGAAGAAAAAAAAGAGGAGGGTGGGTGTCAGTTGGTGTGTTTCGATTTTTCGTCATCTCGACAATAATGGTTGACTCACAGTGATTCCACGGTTGGAAGCGTGTCGACGAGCACACTTGATTGCAGCCTCGTTGGCTTCAGCTCCACTGTTGCAAAAGAAGGCCTTGTCGGCACCAGAATTGTCGCACAACCACTTGGCCAAGGCGGCTTGTTCAGGGATTAGATACAAGTTACTGCAATGGTGGACTGAGCTCATTTGATCCGAAACAGCCTTGGTCAAGGCAGGGTTGTTGTGACCAAGAGCACAAGTGGCAATTCCACTGACACAGTCCAAGTATTTCTTTCCGTCGGTAGTTTTCAAATAGCATCCTTCTCCAGATTCAATGGTCAATGGATAGCGTCTGAACGGCGGGGAATGAATGTGAGTACACATAAATGATGTTATGCTGCAACAACATAACACCCTTTACCTACCCATAGGTCTTTTGCACTTTGCTGTCGTACAAGTCGGCAGTCGCCAAATCCTTCGTTGCCATCGGAGGAACAAGACCAGCGACTGTCGCATCCAAACTTGAGCCCATAGAAGCTCTGGCGGTAGGCACGAATGCCGAGACTGACTGCAGGGCGCAGGCTGTAAAGAACAGGGAAAAGGAGATCTTCATGTTTCAAATCGGTGTTGGTTTAGACTATGTGACCGGGAGAAGATTTTCTCTTTGATGGATCGCTTTTTGTGGTTCCGATCGGCGAAAAAATCTGAAATTGCAGCAGGATTCAATCGCTGTAGAAACTCTACTGAAACTTGGTGGTACACGCACGGTTGGTCCGATCAAAGATAGATCTGGCAGAATTAGCTGACTGACTCAATCGACTGACTGACTGCCTTCTCTTCTTTTTGCAATTTCGACTGGAAAGACAATGGAAACAACGGTGTCGAATATTTTTCTACCGGAGTGGGTCGATTCCATACTATGTGCTCAAAAGCTTTTTACATGTTTTTACAAAGTATGCTTGGTAGGACTAGGAGTCTTGCAATCAAGACAGCTGAATGAATGGATCAATCAATCATCCGATGCTCCAACGCAACTTTACAGTAATGTCTCAGCTTCTTCAAATGTGGTCCAATCCGACGCGAGATTGCTTCTTCCATTTGGATTGGCCCATGGATTCGTCCGCCGCCGTATTGCCGTTCGCATATTGGCCCATACTTGACTCTCGTTGCAGTCGTCCCATCGCTGATACTCGGGGTATCGGAAATAGGCATAGACATAGCCAGATCCACAAATTAAATAGCACATTCCCAAGGCAGCTTCCCACCATGCCTCTAGTAGTCCTAGACACATACTGCTCATTAGGAATAGCAAAAAACTTCGACCAATCGGGTGATAAAGAATCCCAAAACTATCCTTCATGGGAGCATTCAACTCCACTCCCAATATCATCAAGGCAAATACTCCCAAATACGCAGCGAGAATGACTCGTGCCGAATTCATCCAGAAATCAATCAACAATCGGGCGGGAAAGGCAAAACCTTCCCACACAATGGTTCCCAACGCAGTGACAATCGTAGCCCATCGCAAGCGGGAAACCACTTCAGTCAAACTACCAATGCCGCCCACATCATCATTGGTTTTGCCCGTGTTGGGCCGAAACTCGGGATTGGCCCTGATACTAAAATCTTTGTCATAGTCGGAAACTTGAGATTGTTTGTGGGATTTGTGGGCTGGTGAAATTCCATAATTGGTAATCGACGGCATCGGAGCTGAACGAGATTGATAGGCATTGTTTTGATAACTGTGTTGACTGTAGGTTTTGCGCGAATCTCGACTGTCCACGGAGGAAGGTGGCGGTGGAGGTGCGGACGATGGCGGTGATGCAATTGGGTTTTACATTTCTTTTACCTGTCCAAATTGACTGTTTCAATTGGATTTAAATCAAGTCGTGGTATCACACGAACTTCCAAAAATGTCTGGGTCTTGGAATGAATCAACTAGCAATGCCACTCTGTCGCTCCTTGCAAATAAAACACAGGATAGATCGGTTGGCGAAATTGACAACGATGATGACGTCTGCTGCTTCCTGTTACCAACGGATGAATTAATTGATCAGTGCTATTGCAAGAGAGGCCAAACCCAGGGTGATGAATGAATGAATGAATGAGATCTCTGCTAAACAGAAAATGTCGACTCACATGCGACTTGTTAGATCAATCAAATCCTGACGGGGATCAGACGTCGATGGCAATAAAAAACAACAGTCCTACAGGTACAGTACGTACCTGGTATTATACCTGGTACTGTAACTCCAGACACTGCTACCTGGTACTGTGCACCTGGTAGCAGACTTGTAGTACTACTCCACAACGTCCAAACTTGTATAGAAAAGCGACTGAAACATCGAGTCACAACTTGTGAATACTAGTAAAGGGCGGCTGAAATGTACAAAAACAGATTCTGTCATTTAAAAATAATGAATCATCTATTGGCCTCGTCCTCTTCCTCGTCTTCTAGCTCTCCAACAATTCGAGTTGCTGTATCCGCAGCAATTTTCAAAAACCCGACAAAAATTGTCAATCCCCCGGCATAAACATACCAAGGATATGAACCCTCGGCGCCATCTGTTAGCGCTTTTCCGACGTATCCACTGTACACGTATGCCAATGTTCCCGGAGCAAACCCGAATAAGGTTCCAAAGAAGAAGGAACTAAAGTCAATCGAACTAGCCCCATACAGGTAGTTTGATAGCGCAAATGGAAACAAAGGAGATAATCGCAGTAAAAACATCAGTTTGAATCCTTCTTTTCCAATGGCACGATCGATCTTTGCAAAATTTGGATACTCCTCCAAGACTCCTTCCACATATGTTCTTAGAATAGTCCGTCCAATCGCAAAGCTAATTGCCGCGGCGATGGAGGCACTGAATAGAACCACTGAGGTTCCCACCAATGGTCCAAAGAGGTATCCTGCCGAAGCCGTGAGAGGGATTGCAGGAATCGCCAAGACTTCAGCAATTGTATATGCCACTCCAAAATAGAAGACACCTAGGACTCCCATAGAATCTACACTTTGTACCACCTGGTCAAGAGCTGCCGTTGGATCCTGTATTATGTTTTCGACTGTTTGAACAACATCCACAGTACTGCAACAATAAATACGTAAGAGGTGGAAGCAACAAGAGTATTTCAGAAAACAAACACTTTCGCCGAAATCAAGTCATACTAGCAATAATAGTCTTTACCTCAGGTCAAAATTTCTCAAAACTGTATACCCAACCGCCGAAATCACCCCAACAGCCGCAAGTAGTCCACCGACTACAATAGAAGAGCTTGGATTGTCGTCTTGTGTCGTCTGCAATCCATTCTTTTTATCCAACAATTCCACTTGACTTTCCATATGACTGGATGATTTGGACCATGGAAAGAAGAAGGTGTCTTCGCTCTCGGTTTCTTCGGTAGTCGATGGTCGCTGCGCCCGTAACCGCGTTGTCGACAGCGTGCTCCGAGGGAGGCGAAATATTCTGGATGGCGTCCTGCTGTTGTGTAACTGCTGAGAAGACCAGCAATCGGCTGACTGCAATCGGGAAATGAGGGATAGCATCAGCAGGAATCTCATTGTGTATGGGCTTTGGGGCAATGCGAAGATGATGACCTTTTTGCTTTGTAATTGGATGCAATTTTAAAAAATACACTACTGTACGCGTGGGTGTACGATTTGAAGAATTTTTTCCTTTCGACACACAAGTTCAAAGTGTTGTCTGTGTTGCGTTGTGGAAGGGTTGACCGGGCCGACGTCATTAACTTACATGGAGTCAGATCAGTCGCAGTTGCAGTCGCAGTCACGGTCGGATGATTGATTCGACTCATTCAGGGTCGACAAAACTCCAACCAAATGAAATGACCACATGGTCTTTTCACACCACACGTGACAATTTTCATCTGTCTAGAAAGTGTTACCTTTGCATAGCGGCTCGGTTTATTTGCACCGAAAACAACGACAGTAATGGCAGGCATCAATGACGGTGCCGCTGCTGTGGCTCCGCTAACGACCATGGCGTCTGCCATGATGTTTGGAACCATTGTCTTTGCCACAGCCGCAATGGCAACAAGAGGATACTTGACGGCGGACCATTTGCTCTTCAAGACGGCAGCAAATCCTCGATCGAGTCCATTGGATATTCGAAGCTTAAATTCCATGTATACTTTGCTGTATCACTCCTCTGTTATGGGTTTGATTTTGTTCTACGCCTACATTTGCGAGTACCACCCACCGTACGCCCATTCCGACAAGAATTATGACGCCGACATGTTTTTCTTTTGCACCGCGCTACTCTTTGTGGTTTCGGCATATACCTGGAGAAAACATGACCATTCTGTCGACAGCGCCCCGAAGAGCATCCCAGATGGCTCCAACGAGGCTGCTGCAGCAACTACTGCCAAATCCATTGTGGAACCCAATGACAAGACGGAAATTTTAAATCGTGACCAAACCGAAGAATGGAAAGGGTGGATGCAGTTCATGTTTCTGCTCTACCACTACTATCATGCAGAACCAGTGTACAACTCGATTCGAATCATGATTACCTGCTATGTTTGGATGACAGGGTTTGGAAACTTTTCGTTTTTCTACCTAAAGGGTGACTTCGGTGTCGTACGTGTCCTACAAATGCTTTGGCGCCTGAACTTTTTGGTCCTTTTCTTGTGTTTGACACAAGGGACGACGTTTATTCTGTACTATATTTGTCTATTGCACACCTACTACTTCTTCATGGTGTATTTGACAATGAGAGTTGGATCTAGCAGGAATCACACCAAGTGGTGGGTCCGCATCAAAATGGCCATCCTGGCGCTTATGATCTTCCTCATCTGGGACTGTGACCTTGGATTGTTCAAGTACATGCACATGCCTTTCTTTGGTGACACCCCCATGATGGGTGCAGCAGCAGGATCCATGTGGGAATGGTACTTCCGATCGAGTTTGGATCATTGGTCGACGTTTTTGGGAATGATTTTTGCCCTCAATTTCCCAATTTGCAGTCTATTCTACCGAAAACTAGAAGCGCAAAAACCCTGCATTCATTACACGGGAAAAGCGCTTGTTGGAATTGCCCTACTTGTCGCCTTTTACTTCTGGGTGACCGGGCCATTTATGCAGAACAAATTGGACTACAACCAGACCAATGCCTACTATGGTTTTGTCCCCCTGATAGTGTACATTTACTTCCGTAACTTGACGCCATTCTTGCGAAACCACAGTATGGATCTTTTGCATCAAATTGGAAAATCTACATTGGAGACTTACCTCATGCAGCATCACATTTGGCTCACGTCCAATGCCAAGAGTCTACTGACACTGGTTCCAGGATGGCCAAAAATCAATTTTTTACTGGTTTCCATCATCTATGTCTTCATGAGCCGAAGACTCTACTCCTTAACTCTATTTTTGCGTGGCATGATTCTTCCCGACAACAAGGCAACCTGTTACAAGAATCTTTTCGGAATGACTTCTATAATTGGATCCTTTGTCCTTTTGGCGGCAGTTCTGGATCACCTAGATATGTTGACATTGCAGGCCGTCGGCGTTGTTTCGGTTGCCTTTGGATACATGCTTTTTGAGTTCCTTCTCAGCTTCACAGCAAGAGCTGGAGGTACTATCGAAGGCGCCAATCCTTCCAGGAACAATTCTGGAATCGCATTCACCACGCCTTACTTGGGAGGTGCCATTGCTGTTGTCTTCTTGGGAATGCTTTGGAATCGCATGACTTATTTGGGTGCGACCAAAATCAAGCCTCTGCCTGCTACGTGCAGTATTTATGCCAATGACGGTGCCTGGGTGCCCTTCAACGGCTGCGACGAAGGATCCAGAGGAGAAGCCTACCGATCACTAGATATCGCCGCAGAGACTACGTGCAATGGCCAAAACAATGTCTATTTGTGGGGTTGGCATCAGCACGATACAAAGTACCACTGTCGCTTCAAACAGCGTGATGTAAAGAGTTTGAAGAACACACTAAAGGGACGAACCATCTACTTCGCTGGCGACTCCATGACTCGCTACATGTACCATTCGTTCTGCCGACAATTGGGAGACGGTACTGCTGGAGCCTACAATGCCACGCAGGGCAAGCACGAGAGCATACACAAGGTCATTGGTGATATCACTGTAGATTTCTTGTGGGCCGGTTACTCTTCTGATTTGGTAGGCGAAGCCAAGCGAGTTATGAGCCTACCAGCCGAAGCAGATTCCGGCAAGAGTAAGCGCCCAGATTTGATTGTCATGGGAGGCGGTGCATGGGATCGACTATGGGAATACGATTCAGACGACAAAAAGAAACAAGTCATGGCCAGCTACCAAACACTTGCTACGCTTATGAAAGACATGCAAAACATGGAACTTCCTGTAGTGTGGGTGACCCCTACTACTGTGAATACAGCTGCTCTTCTCACCGAAGAGAAGATCAAGAATATCAATGAGGAAGAAATGGCCAAGTTCCGAGTCGACCAAGAAGGAACCGGTATTACTGGAGCTGCATCCTTTGTCATTGATGGACCTGGATTCACCAAATCTCGTGTATCGGAGAGCTTTGATGGTGTTCATTACCCCCACCAAGTGTACTCGGCCGGATCCCAAATTCTGGCGAACGCAATGGACTGGCTATTGCCCGATCCATTGAAAGGACCACCTAAGAGCCCTCCAAGAGTTGGATCCATGTCTCAAGTCAATATGGGGTTGATGATTCTGTTCTTAGCCTTCTTTGGACTCTTTGGGTTTGATGGTTTCATGGGATTCTCCTACTTTGCCGCCATCTTTGTTCCAAGTATGGCGCCGTACCGACTCTACCACGACGCCTTCTCGTCGCTACACCGCCGAAAGAATCTGCCCCCTATCGATGGGAGTGCAAATATTAAAAGAAGAACACCTTCTACCGATCAGGTTGAGATGGGCGCCGTGGACGATGGGAACAAGTCGGAGGAAGAAACGAGCCCGTTGATAGAGCCAGAAATTGGCTCCAACGACAAGAATTCGTAAAGGAAACAGATGGTGTAGGTAGGAGTGATTTACAGACACGAAATATATTTTAATAACATTGCACCTATTATATTATCTATTATGTTACCTACAGTACACTACACGCCGTAATGTACCGCTACGCTCACCTAAAAAAAAAATGGATGGTTGAAGTTGACCAGCTGGCTTTTTGTTCCTCCACCCGCCGAGAATTGCTGAGAACTTTAACACGCAGGACAAACACGACAGATGTAGGTATTACCGGTACATTACCGATCTCGACGATCTGATTGATGACTTCCCAAACAGCGTTCGGTAAATTTGCGCCGTGTCATTCTTTTCCGGTGCCAAATGATATGGTGTTGTTGTCGACCAGAAGAACACAATATTTGAACACCAATACGACCCTTCTCAAACCCCTGCTACTACTACACCGCTACGTCATCATCACCATTCTTCTACATTAACAACCAAGGGTTCTAGAGGATGAAGATCTCTCTTCCTCAAACCCACAAACTCAAACCAGGGAATGTGGACAACTCGAGCAAATTCCAAAAGCTGGTGAGAAGCCTGGCGCAGAATTGTCTTGTGCATCTGGAAATTGGATTTGAAGACAATGAGATCCGCACCAAGCGCAGCTTGGAAGAGTTGATCAAGGCGGTCAATCATTTCCACCAACAAGTGGTTGCTGACAAATATTCTTCATTAGAAACCATTCGGATTGGTTGGAAATTGAAATTTGCGCTCGGGCCCATCTTACAGAAGGTACTCCCCATCCTGCTGAAAAAGCCATCGCATATTCGACACTTGGAACTCAATTTGGATGCCGCGATACCAGCGCCGACCTTGCAGAAGCTAATTGGATGCACGACTATTGAAAAGTTGACCCTTCGTTCTATTAGTATTCTTAATCGGAGTGTCAGCGACCCCATTCACGACCGACGGATCTTTTCCTTTGACAGCTCTTGGGCGGATGATAGTGTCGTGCAGGCACTGCCTTCTTTGTCTCCCACGGTGCGGAAATTGAATTTGATTGATTGTGAAATTCAAGAATATCAAATTCCGCGTTTGTGTGATGCATTACAGAAGAAGCGAGGGTTGCAAGCCTTGTCACTGCGGCACAATCGCAACCTAGAAGGTGGTTGGGAAGATCTCTTTTCACTGCACGTGAAATCGCTGGATTTATCGCTGTGCGACTTGGACCCACTGGATGGTATGAATATTGCCCGGGCGCTAAGAAAGAACCGCACCGTGAAACGTCTCAGTGTAGCTGGAAACTATCGAATGACCATGGCGATCCCCGAGCTAGTGGAGGTGGCTGCCAAGACTTTGGTTGCCTTTGACTGTTCCTTTTGTGAGATCAATGATGATTTTCAATCTCGAATATTCAAGATATTGGCCAATGCAGACCATTGTACGATCCGCTCTTTGATCGTGCAAGGAGCCCGCATCAAAGACACCAAATGGCTGATACAATGTCTCAAAACAAACAAATCGATTCAACGACTGGACATCCACCATCCACGGGACGCCAGCAAACCCATTGGATCCAATAGCCTAACGAAGATCATTGAAGTTGTGAAGAAAAACTATTATCTGCAAGCTCTAAAGATTGATGTCTTGCATTACGAAAAGAAGCGGCAAACAGAAATGAACTTTTGGTTACAGTTGAACAAGTGTGGTAGACGCGTCATTCTACAGGAATGTCAGGAGAGCCCGACACCGACCATGCAATGGATGGAAGTCCTCAGGGATGCGGGCTTGACTGGCAATTCCGATTTGGTCTATTGGATGTTGCAGAATGGAGCCGAACTCTTTTCCACTAATGATCGATCAAGACATTACTATTTGGAAGCAGTTCCAAAATGAAAACACAGAGCATTGGTAACCACCACTATCACAGCCACAACCACAGTAGAATGGGGAGACCTGTCAAGTCCCTTTCACTTGACACAGTGACAGCACATCTCGAGAAATAGCGACTATCTCAGATGTGCAGTAGCAGTTTGGCAGGAGGGTGCCAAACATTTAGAGAATTTAGATCATGTAGTATTATAGAATAAGACTTATTAGGTACAGTAGTTTGGATGGGGCTTCTCTCCTTTCTATCTTGTAGCACTAGCTAGGTACGGCTAGCACCAGTACCAGTCACTCGTACATATTTTTTTCATATAGGACCCCCAAATTCAATAACAATCTCTCGCAACTTGGTGTGGCGAACGAAGGATGGGATTCCGAAGAAAGCATCAATGGTACCAGAAGAAGACCTGTGTAGTAGTAGTAAAAATTCTCATGCAAGTTTACACGGACAATCGGAGCAGGTACACTTTCAACTTTTATATATCAATTACTAAGCAAGTACTTTGGAAGAATACGGTTGTTTGTCAGACGGTTGTTTGCGGAACGCCACAACTGACTTTGGTGTCGCACCTACTGTAGACTCGCGTAAAATCGTACTGCACACAACATCTTCATCATCATCGTTCCACTGTCATCAATTTGTAATCTAAAGCAACAGCAAAAGTGTTGGGCTAATCAGGATTCTCAAAGACCCTTGACAGCAGGTCTGCGTTTTTTTGTTGGTTGGGGAATCAGTTGAGACAGGGGAATTTCATTTGCAGGTTACTGGGCGAAAGGCGAAGGAACATTGAAACATCGGAACAGCTTCCAATCGAACCTTTGGCACGCCAGATACCCATTTAGAACCATGAAGAGAGCTTTGGCACAGAGGGCGAAAGAAAGCGGAATGACGAATGGCGTTGGTCCTTCGTCACCGAAGCAGCCGCTGTCAATAAATACTCAGGATCGCTCTTCTGAGGGACAATTGTCTGTCTCGGATCTCCCCGAAAAGTCTCTATCGTCCACACCCACGTCTCGTCTTGAGGCACTGAAACAATCCTCAAACAGTGTTTCTTCACCAAGACCGAGCTCATCATCACCAAGACCAAAGAAGAGAGCAAGAGAATCCATTGTCAAGTTGGAAGAGGAGGGAGAAGACGACTCCAATGCTTCCTCGTTTTACCTACGACACCAAAACCGTGCCTTGGCAAGTGAACTGCGAATGCTTCAATATGAACTCAGTCGACTGGAACGAGAAAGGGACTATCGGAGATCGCAATGTACACAGGCTGTCCAAATTTTGAACTCGTTACAAGCTACATGGACACAAATGGAGTCTGCTCTGCAATGCGGGCATCCATCACAGAAAGCGAATTCTTCGATAGCCGCTGAAAATGATGCCCCACCAAGCACAGGATCAGGGAGCTCTGTAGAATTAATAGGAGCGCTGCTGAATTCTCTGGCAGTGTTGGGAACGACTCCTGGCAAAAAGGGACGAATACGGGGACACGGGGACGAAGATTTGAGCGAGGTGAAACCTCACGATTTCATGGACGAAGATGGTACGAAGCAACTGGACGATTTGCTTCGGATAACCGACAATGTATCGGAACGTGCACAGATTCTGCAAAAATGGATTTGGGCAGTCCTGGACGAAGTCAATTCCTCAACAAACGAACGACACATAGACCTCAACAAGCCAGGAATTGAGCATGATCAGAAAGTTGCAAATCTTAACGCAATGAATAGCACACTAAAGGAGCAGATAGCGGAGTTGTCAACTTCAAGAGACGAAATGTCAAAATCCGACAAGCGTGTACGGCGGGGGTTGTATCGACTCGCTGCTGGACGCGTCAAACTACAGGAAGTCTTGAAAGAAATTGTCGTTACTGATGAAGACAAAGAAGCTGCGGCAAAATGGATGGAAGAAACACCTATTGTTCCAGCGGTACAAGAAACTACTGCAACTAGCACGGCTTCCAACAATGCAGCGGACGGGGAAAACAAAACGGCTGATACTGCTGCAATGGCCGCTCTTTCAAAGAAAGTCGATGAATTGCAAGAAATCGCCAAATCAAGAGACGCCGAAATCAAAAAGGTATGTTAGAATTCGGTGCTTTGTTGTTTCAATTGCTGCAACCTGGCCTTACGTTTAATTTCCTCTTTTTGATTTGCAGCTCCTCGAACAAAAGGAAGAGCAAATAAGGAAGATCAACAGCCTCATATTAAACACTAAGGTCGATGATGCCAAATCACTTTCTGAACAACAGATAAAGCAGTCAGATTTTTACGCCGAATTGACGGCAAAGCTAATGACAAGTGAAAGAAAAGCCCAATCAACAAATGACAAACTCGGGAAGCTGACGAAGGAATGGAGTCAAGCGATGGCCGACACACAAGCAACGCAAAAAGCTATGGAAGATATGCAGTTGAAACATTTAAAGAAATGGAAGGATTTCTCTGACGACACGGAGATGGATGAAGACGGAAATGGCGATAATACTGGCGGACCAATTGGTGCTGAAGAAACGATCACGCTGCAGCACAAATTGAAACAAGCCATTGAGAATGTTCGCCAAGCAGAAATAACAAGGCAATCCTTGGATGAGGCTGTCACCATGAATCAAACATTGCAATCAAAGTTAGATGAAGTCAAGACAAAGTACTCGGCCCTTCAAATAAGCCGTTCAAGTGGAAATGGATCCAATAGCCAGTCGGCATCAGCATCAGCATCCACCGCTGGTCCATCAACTCCAAAACAAAGGCATTCATCACTGGGATCGAGTTCTACTCCATCTGGCGAAAAAAGTGAGGGTAGCGAAAAGCACGAAAGAGATGCAGCGAAGCTGCACAAGGACTACCGAAAAGTTCGCAAAGAGCTTGCTGCTGCGATTGCTTCAAAAGAAGCTGCAAAAGCGAAGCTCGCAACCAGCGAGCGGGAAAGGCACAGCTTGAGTTTAGCGAATTCGCGGCTTCTGAAACAGGCAGCAGAGCGTGACGACGTGAATGCGAAATCGTTGTCGACAATCTTGCATTTGAAGCAGCTTACGGATCAAATGTCCAAGGAGAAAGAAAACCTCGAGAATCAAATCAAAAGTTCTCAGCAAGTGGCCCTTGCAGCACGGTTGGCAGCAAATGCTCGGGAACGAGTCACTGAAGAATTTGAGAAAGCGCGAAAGGAACTGGGCCTCCAAGTTAAGGAGTGGGAGGAGAAGTTCGATAGCGTGTCGAAAGACAAAGAAATTTTGGAAGGAAAACTGGCCCAGCAAAAGGCTGTGATGGCAACCGCACTCAAGGATGCTGAGAAATCAAAGAAGAGATGCGACGAACTTGTGTCGGAGTCTACCAATCTTGAGGATGAAAAACGGCAACTGAAGGAGTCTCTTGCTGTTGCAAAACATGAAGCGGCAAAGGCTTCAAGTGCTGCAAATCATTCGAGCAGTCTTGTGGATAATTCCCATGGTGGCATGGGAAGTTCGTCCTCGGGATTCACGGTAGATCAGCTCTCTACCCAAGTTTCTGTTCTGAAGAATCGACTCGTATGCCCTGTTTGCAATGTTCGCGACAAAACCTGCATTCTACTACGGTGTAGACATATGTTTTGCAGACATTGTGTAGATGAAAATATTCGTAATCGAAGCAGAAAATGTCCTGCGTGTGCATCAAGGTTTGATACCAAAGATGTTGCTGAAATTTGGCTCTAAAAATAGAGACACTACCCCGAAAACTACAATAGAATCTGTTTTTTTGTCTGCAAAACACAACGACAACCAGTACTCATGCCTTTACTTACACTCTACTCTTTTGTTGCTTGTCTTACTCCAGTGTCCTCCATGGTCCATTTTAATCCTTATTTTTTCACAATTCTCTTGGTCGATCCTCCTTCTAGCCTTTCATTTTTCTTGTTATACGGTATGTCGAGTATTCTCACAGTCCTAACCCGGTAGGTACATTAATCATCAAGGTGCTTGCCATGTTGCGCTCCCAGATAGGAATCTGGAATCTTTTGCCATCTCAAATCGTTACGTACGTGTTTTAACTCACAGATTTGGGAATCCCTTTGATGGATGTGAGCTTCCAGCTGTCGGCTTTCACGAAACATCCAACGAAATCAGTGTCACAAAACACATTCAACCTGACAGAGAAAACGATGAGAGTCTCGGTTTTAGCCTTGTCCCTTTCTCTTTTGGCGGGAAACTCAGATGCCTTCAGCCCTCTACATTTATCAAAGGTATCCAGTGCATTGAGAAGTGGAAACAACCTACACGAGTTCGACTATTTGCTGAATGAAGATGCGTCAATCTTCACTCAACAGCAATCTCGTTCGAGACGCCGAGTTCAATTGAACGATGATAGAGCAACCGTTTTCACAAGCAGTATTGCTCCTTCAGCGGATGTTGCGGAAGAGCTGATGGCAGAATCTATGGAAGGCGACGTAGACCCATATGCTGAAATGGGATTGGAACAAATCAATGCACAGGCAGTGAAGATCCAACAAGAAGACCAATCAATGTCACAGAAAATGGAAAACAGACTAAAGGAAATGGATTTTCAAGATGTTTGCACAACATTAATTCTTCCGTCCATCCTTGCATTCGCTGGGTTGAGATGGGGGTTTAACAAAGCTGCGGGCCGTGTTGAAGAGAAGAAGGACGCCACTCTTGATAGCTTTGCCAGCGAAATGATCTATCACGATGGAGACTTCGAGGAAATGAAGCTATGTTATTCGGATTACAGCAAGAAACTTATGTTTCTGGGTCCCGCCAAATCGAATGCTATGTTAAAGAGATACTTGGAAACCTATGCCAAGAAGAGAACAGTGAGCCCTCAAGCCATCAGGTAAGGTCACTCGAATACTTTTTCCAAACAATTGTAGTTGAACTTTCCTAACTTTTTTCGATTGTTTTCCGCCATGAAAAAGTTCTTTGTCCTATGTTTTCACTTTGTTCAAGCTGTCGGAGGAGAAAGCAGGTCAACTATTGGTCTCACTTTGCAGGGATATGGGAGACACAAAACTCAGCAGTGCGGGGAAGCTTCTGTTTTTCGGTAGTAGAATATTGAAGAGCCCCGAGGGAAAAGCTGCGTTGCAACCAGTTAAGGACATGATCAAGGCATCATACAGAGAGGAAGCAGTGGCCGAAACAATGGTCGAGACGTCTCAACAGTAAGTTCATTTTGTCTTTGTGAACAGATTGCCACAACCACAGCATATTCTCACCATCAATGTAAACTAAAGAGCGATGGCTGAAGCAGCTTATAGATCCGCCGTCCTTGCTGCCGGAAAAGATCAAGAAACCTTGACGATTGGGTGGGAAGTTCTTGGCTTGACAAAGGAAGTTGCAACTCGCATCTTTGAAGACGAAGCAAAGGAGGGTTTCCTTTCTGAACGCGAAAAGATGTATGGAGGCCAATCACAAAGATACGACTCCAAAGGTAATAAACTAGATAAGGAGGGCAAGTTGACGGATGCAGAAGCTCAAAAGGCAGCCGAAGAGGAAGCAAAGCAAGAAAGTGAACCTGCTAGCAACGTATACGAATGCTCCGAGTGTGGCTTCACCCTATTCATTGCAAAGGGTCGCGAATTCAAATTTTACGGTGAAGACTTCAAGTGCCCAGAATGTGGAGCAGGCAAAGACAAATTCAAAGCAAAGGATTTGGAGGGATAGTAGAAAACCGAAGTCTATTTCTTGAAACAATAATTGTAGATAATAGCAAGTCTTTGTCTTTGCTATCACGTTCATAGGGAGAAATGATTAGGGCCAATTGTCAGTTACAAGCAAGATATATCAACTCATCTCCTGAAAACTCTGCAGCTCTTACCAACTACATTGAAATAGCGGTTGCCCAAATCTAGAAAAAATGGTATAGTACACATGGGTTGGAGAAACATGCAGTCGCAGATCCAATCCGTAAAATACGAAGATACCAGATATTGATATCTCATTCCTAAAGGTACAGTACAGCGCCGGTATAAGTACAAGGGTGCAAGCAAAATATAAAGAGGTATGTGTATCACTTGACAAAAAAGTTGCACCAAGCAAACCTGATTGCTTGTAATTCAAATTTGGGATTTTTCTTTTTGAGATAATTGTACTGCCGCTGCTTGGTATGAGCATAGATGAGTCTATAGATGTTTTGAGGCGTCAAGAATGGGGCCAACCTCCTATTCCCACGCATGAAAAATAGCTTCGTTTGGAGGTACCAGATACATTAGGAAGTTTGGGGGTAGAGAATGGTATTTGAGGCAAAAGGTTGCATTCAGTGGGATTTGAACCCACGCATACGAATATATTCGAACTTGAGTCGAACCCCTTAGACCGCTCGGGCATGAATGCTATAACCGTTCAAGAAGAAAACAGATCATATGAAACTCGACTATGTCATTCCAAGCGAGATGCAAAGGCATCTCTTCTCAAGGATGCTACACGGCGAAACATTAACTCATCTACGATAGTAGCTGGAACCATGCAAGCTGGATTTTGTGCCATCAAGATGAATACTAAACATGTGGTTTGTTGTGGCAAATCTATTCTTTGAAACGAGACCGGACTTGGGTGTTTGACTTGCTCAAGATTTCATTTTCGTCACTTGGATAATTCAAATGTATCAGGGGGGTGTTGTCAGTATGGAAGTTAGGATAGAAAAATCATAGTGTGATGGAAACAAGCTTCAAATAGTTGTTTTTAATAAAAACTCACAGCTTGCAGATTCTGCAATGGAAATATCCTCCAATCGTACTAGTAAGCTGCTTGACCAAACGTAAATGTTGAAGATCAGATGCACCCATGCTGTATTTGTGACGTGGTGCAAAGTGAAAATCTGCGGATCTTGTGTAGCAGGAATGATACCATCATTGCTTTATGTGAAGTCAAGCTCGATAACTGTGTCTTTGATTTCCAGACCAATTCTTTGAGATGCAAGGTAAAAACTCAATGCAGCTTTCTCTTTATTTCTCAACAAGAAACCTGGATGCCGGTCATGCTGCTCAGACTGTTCAGCCTGTTGTATCGATAAGACTCAAGAGCCATAGAAAGATACATGAGCTCACTGCTTTCAAAAACCTTTCCAATAGATTGAGTAACAGATCATGATGAATGATGATTCAGATTCTGATGTGGAGGACATTCCATTGTCTTTTAGGTCAACTACGCCTAAACTAAATAATTTCCTAAATACGGTGACTCTAAATCAGATGGCCAATCTCAAGTCTCTCTCATTTAATTCTACTCGTTCAAAAAAGAATTCTTCCAAAATCGGAAGTCGCCGTGTTAGTGATAGTGTCGTCTCGTTGCATTGTAATCCAATACAATACAAATCTTATACTCATTTTTCGGCATTTGGGTGAAAGCATTCATGCCCGAGCGGTCTAAGGGGTTCGACTCAAGTTCGAATATATTCGTATGCGTGGGTTCAAATCCCACTGAATGCAATCTTTTACCTCAAATACCATTCATTTCATCCGACACTGTTCTACCCGCAAACTTCCTGACGTATCTGGTACGAACCCCCGAACAAAGCTTCTCGGTCTCCACTTTAAAAACAGACATGTCTATCGCGGAACACTGGCTGTTTGCTCGACCTCGGCTCTTCGATCATTCCACTTTTCTATTTTTCATGCGTGGGAGTTGGAGGTTGGCCCCACTCTCGACGCCTCAAAACATATATACCGGTAGACTCACTCATCTATGCTCATACCAAGCAGCGACAGAACAACTATATGAAAAAAGAAGATCCCAAATTTGAATTACGAGCAATCAGCTTTGATCGATGTTGTTGGTATGTTTCTATATTGGATTATCCCTGAAAAAGCCATCGAATTCATTTGCAAATGCCTTCAAGCTTTCGAAATTCAGAAAACAATGCAGTCGGGAATGTTGAAATCTTAAAGCTCGATAAGACCGACGCCTCCAGCGTTTCTCTTGTAGACGACACTCTTTTTGCCAGTCTCTTCATTTTTGAAAACAAAAAAATCGTGATCGACGTAGTCCAATGCGAAAATTGCCTCCTTGAGTGGAATAGCATTGTCGAGATCAAAGCTGTCAACCTTCATAACGGAAGGCTCTTCGGGATCCACAAATTCATCTTCTCCGACTTCTTCTCCGACATCCAACTCCATGGCCTCGAGTGCAGCCATCAAGTCGTCACCCATGCTGCTGCCAGCGTGATGGCCGTCGCTTCGACGTTGTCGGTACTTTCCGAGCTTGGATTGCAATGCAGTAGCAGCAGAATCAATGGATGCGTACATGTCAGGGCTCTCGACCTTGCAGTTTACAGTGAGACCCTTCAAGTTGGCAGTCAAGTCGACGCGGTGTGCATTCTTGACCTGTGAGTTGAAAGGAAGGGGCAAGGACCAGCGTGAGAACAGTGGACCAATGGATAATAATGTAAGAAATAGATGCAGTCCACCGAAATGCTACTGTCCAGTTGAAGGTTCCCATCTGTCAAAGATTCCCATCACATGACAGCTGTCGTCGTGAATGCAATTCCATGTGCCTTACCTTGGGATTCTTGTAAACTGATAGATGAACCTCACAGTCTTGAACAATGCCATCTCCTCCCAGCTTGTTCAGAGGTCTTCCAATTCGCTTTTCAACGTGTTCTTGCAAGGCAGGAGTCAAGTCGATGTTGTTTCCAGTGATGGTCAGAGCGACACCGGCTTCGGCTTCGGTTGACATGTGAAGCTGCATTCCATTGTTTCGTTGCATGGGGCTGTATGAGGTGAAAGCATTAGCAATCAATGGGGATAGAAGTAGCAGGGATGTGATGCGTAGCATGATTGTAGCCGTGGTTGTTGATGTTGATGTTGATGTTTTGCAGTATTCAATTTTTTGTGATTGTGTCAAAACGGATTGTCAACGGGGTTCTTTTCTCGATACGAAGAAGATCGGCGTACCGGTACCGGTATCGTAGGTTGTACGCATTCGAAGTACAGTGGCTAACATGCGATACCAGAGTGTACGTAGAACTCGAAAGATATGACGTTCAGGTCCAACGGGTCATAATTTCAAAAATCCCTCTTCATTCATTCGTTGATTACCATAGGTACCCGTACCGGTAGTACTGGGGCTGTAGGACAATAATATTTAAAACCCTCTAGATCGATCAATCGAACAAACGCATCTCGTGCAATTCGAGCAACGTTGCCTCAATCTGCGCTGCCGAGGAAAAAAGAACAAGTGCGAGCACACATATTTTAGTGGCTCTCTTCTGCGTATCATGCTTGTTCTTCAGAGCGAGGATGGTGATGGGTGGCTGTGAGTCCCGAGAAGAAGAGTAGTAGTAGTAGTAGGCCCAGCCTCCTTCCACAGAAGAAGCAAAAAGTAAATTTACTGTGCGCTCTAGTTGTCGTTTATTGTACTGTAGCAACGGTTACAGTATGGTGGAACCTGTATGCTGCTCGTCGGATGGCCTCGATCGGATGGATCTTGATTTGTGGACAATCGTGATGATTCCACAAGGAAACAACTGTCTCTCCTCCTGTCGCTACTCTGTTTGGACAACATATATTGCGAGGGCAGCTTTGAAACTCGGGTGACCCAAAGTTACAGGATCGAGACTACCCAAAAGTCCTCCCACAGTGAGATAAACAGAATTATGAGATCAAAACCAACGAGGACTGTACTGAATACAGCCAAGGCTACATTTGTTACCAGTACCGAGCTACAATCCCACCTTCCGAGCCATCTCAAATGATGAGGAGAAGGTCAAACCGAGCGTGCTGGAGCGGTAAGAGAGGAATGGAGTAAATATCGTTTCAGTTTATGACCATTTTGAAGGGCTTGGTCCGGTGATGCGATTCCATGTTGTCTCGTTCTTTACTTTAGGAGGGTCCGCAGCCAGCAACTTTGTGCTGGTGTGGGGCGTGGATTCGAATGTGGTGGATTCGAAGGTGGTGAATTTGTAACAGAAACGTGCCCAAGTGGTGATGGATGTGTTGCAAAGGTCGCAATTGAGGCCGCAGCACCAAGGTGGTGAATACTACCGTAGGATGATGGATTGATTGACCCTCCTATTTTATAGAGTAGTCTGGGTGAAGAATTGAATAATTTTCAGTCGACCGGGTCAAACGAAAGTGACCATCAACAAAGGAGAATGACGACAAAAATACGAAGCAAGACATGATGCCAGACAAGTAAACCATCAGTCCTACATTTCATTCAAACTATAAAGTTTCTAGAAGATATTGTGATCCAAAAGGCTTGTTTCTCTCCATACATTCTCGCTCATTATGCGACCAGTCGGACTTCTCTTGCTTCTTGCATTGCTCGGAGGATCGACTGTGGTCTTCAACTTGCGGGGTCAAACTTCGGTGGCACAGTTTCATCAAATATACAATGAAATTCAACACAATTTGCCTACTATGGATCGATTACGGACACTTGTCAATAATGAAGAAATAGACAACCCGATTCCCATATGCTTCCTTGTTTCCATCTATGGCAAATGGGCTGGTACAGTCGACAAAGTTTTTCCAGTCGAGAAGCTCCCATTTTACGAGTCACCCTATTACAATTTCTTTGGATTCACGAATCTACCGCGCTGGGAACGGCCAGGATGGACCAGAATAGTTAGGAATTTCCCTGAATTCCGACGATTTATTACACAATCCAGATGGCCCAAGTTTCAAGGATGGAAAGACGAACAGATTCAAGCCAACTGTAGCGTCGTCTTTTACATGGATTCCATCACAGAAATAACTGGGAGCTCCAAGCAGTTTCAAAAGCTGGCAAGACAAGTCGTCGAGTCAGACGTCGGGTTTGCGCAGTACCAACATCCTGGTGGCGGTGGGGCGTTTGCCGAGTTTAGGCGAATTGCGAAGGTTGGCAAAGACCGATTGTCCAATATCGAAGCGTCCAAAGAATGGCTTAGAAATCGATCCGATTTCTCGCCCAACTGTACGCTTTACGAAAATCGGTATATTGCCTACTCTGTCAATTCGACAAACTTTCGAAAGGCAACAGATTTCTTTTGGGATCGGTATTCCAAAGAAGTTGATTCCTGGAGAGATCAGCCCTTGTGGTGCTACGTTTTAGAACATTTCAATCTTACTCCAGTGCCACTTGAGCACAGAAAGCTCTTCCGTATGACACATAGACGGATGGGTAAAAATAAGCACAAGTATGGTGCAGATTCCGAATATGGCGTCGAAGATAGAATGAAAAGTATAAAGAACCAGCTAAAGAGGAAGAAAAAGCAGCAAAAGAGTTGAAGCCAATCAGCTTTCCCTCACTTGTTCATTCGTTCATATCATTCCCTACTTTGAATTGACGTCAGGATTTTTCAAGTTGAGCCGTCAGCATGTACAATAATTGAAAAAGTGTAGTTTTATTCCTAAGTAAATTAGATTACAAGTTCATTTTAAATCGCTGTTAATGCCGTATTGATCAGCAACGCTAGATATGAAGATACTAGCGACAAAACAAAACTCCTCTAGCGTCGACCACCAGTGTGAGGAGACACAACGGAGTTATTCGTCAAGGTTGCGGATGCAGTCGTTGCAACCTCTTCTTCTTCAGGCATCTTTTGCCCCCCCTTCTTGTTTCCTTTTCCGACAAGATTAGCAACTTGTAGACGGAAGCAAAGAGCTGAAAACCCTTCCATCAACACTTTGCATTGATCCGCAGTAACAGAGGTAATATCCACAGTTCGTTTGGGGAAGATAAGTGCAAAGGACTTGTGGGCATTCGCAGCCTCGCATTTCTGCCGCAAGATGGGAGTACCCGTGTACATTGGATTTCCTGGATCTGGGCTCCATGCGTGTCGTACTTCCAAGCAGGTTGTGAGATCCAGCTTGGGCGGTCTCTTGTTACTGGAAGGTTCCCCTTGTGCTGGTTTCCAACTCAATGAACGTCCATCTGGATGAATGTGAAGAATTCTCAGTCGAGATTTGCACCATCGTGAGCGACCATGCTTCACCACTGTAATTCCAGACCTCAGTCGAGCTACAAAGCAGCGCACAATAAAATCGGATGCATTCGTACATCCTGTTGCTGGCTTAAAAGTTGGAAGGTACATTGGCATTCGAACTTCATGAGTTTGTGTTGCTGTCGATAAGGACTGCGCTGAAGACATTGGAAATTCACCACCCATGCCCATGCCTCCGTTCATTTCATCAGGTGGTCTAGGCTTTGAGTGATCACTGCTTAACGCACGATCCGAGTTTACATCTTCTTGCTTTTGATCTCCGTACAGAACATCATCAATATTCTTGCCCTCTACACCATCTGAGCCTGAACTATCGTCCAATGACACTTGAGATTCTCTCGGGAGGCCGCCATTAGTTCCATCCCCACCAGACTGATTCATCATACTATCCATACGTTTTGTTCCATCTTGCGTCCCCGGAATTCCTTTCTCAGGCGGCGGTTGTTGATCATCGCCCAGCGTCATGTTTCCGTTCATCTCTATGCTACTTTTTCTTGTCCTGATGTTTGGAACTAATTCTGAGAGTGCGTCAAGGTCGTCTTCTGGCTCGTTGCCCCCAGGTTTTTGTGTATCGGAAGAAATCGGAGGAGTGCCTCGAATATCAGTCAAATCAATAATCTCCTCCGGTCCTGACATTTAGCAATGAAGATTGTATTTTTCTCGAGAAGAAGTATCTGTTCTGTAATACTGGTAAACTGATGCTTCAATTGTCTTTTTGGATTCGGAAGAACCAAGTTAACACGGTTGGCAAACGCCAGGTTGATGTCAAGAACTCTTGGAAGATGATGATGCAGCCTGCTCCATTTTCCCCACGAAGGAAAACTAACTAAGAAACCTACTGTACCAAAATAGGCCGGCGTGCCGGGTCATCGGTAGATTTTCGTCAAATTTAGCTTCCATTCTTCGCAAAACCCCCATTGGAGAATATCCCCAAACCTTGACCCCCTCTTATCAGCCAGTCAGCGAAAGTTCTGCACATGCTGCTACTGCTGTACTGTATTGTCTGATGGTATATAAAATAGAATGTGTGGTACTGTATTAAAATATCAGAAAGCTGGAGACGATGCACTCCAATTCACGCTCTGAGATTACCATGTTGAAACAGGAAGTGACGATGCTGTGGACGAAATACCAGAGTTTGTTCTTTCCCCACCAAGAACCAGCAGCCAGCACCAACAGGAGTCAGCAGTCACCACCAGCACCAAAGCAACTACATATACAGTTTTGGATGAAGAACCCTGACTTTTTAATTGCGAATACAGTATTCGAATGACCTCGTCTAATGCAGCACTATGAGCTGTATGGCCCTATGGTAAAAAGTATTATAAAAGTGTTGTGAGAATCTACCGGTACAGTAGATAGCCATTTCCATGCACAATCATCTTTTTCCGCGCCAAATCATGAGCCAATCAAAACGCACCAAGAGGCAAAATTGCGCTGTATGCTCGCACTACGGTTTCGCGCTAGGGAAATCTGACATTGACACAAAGTGACATGCCGGCGCGATATGGCTTGCCTTTCGTTCGTATGAGTCGAACTCGTTGGGTTGGATGTCCGTCTGGCCTGCATACGTCTAACTTTTTAAGTGTTGAAAGACAAATATATGGAGAAATGGTGAAAAGTACCAGGTACCTGGTACACCTCCAATAAAATAAAAACTACAGCCGACTTCTGCAAAACATCTTTCAAAACTATTATAATACCGCGATAATAATATCTTGTCAAACACTACAATGCACCATTCCTTGTTTGGGTTAGTAGGGATTTATCAAAACGTTTTCTCAGAAACAAATTAGATACAGTAAGAAATATCAATGGCACCATATCATTAGTATGCCAACAACCAACTCGTCTGGTGGTGGCAAACCAAAGGTAAAGTACTAGGCTCCGACATCTCTGAAAATGCCCGAAACTACATCCTTCGCAGTAGGGATCTGATTGAAATTTCCTCTTTTGACGGCTGGGCCACTTTGCCCCGAGTTTGGACTGTTTTCCTTAGATGGGGAGAAGAATTGCCGTACTTTCTTCATTGTCTTAGATGAGGAGAAGAACTGCCGTGCTTTGCTGCTGCTGTCGCCGTCGCTTTTGTTGAAACCAGCGTCGCTGGTATGGAGATCCAATGGCTCCAATCGGTCTCCGACTTATTCATTTCCCTCACTTCGTCTTTCTGTATGTAGTAACGCTTGGACAGCTGCAATACAAAACGTTTCCTGATGCATAAAGGTGCACCACTTGTCTGAGATTCTTGATCGACGTCTTGTTTGTCTGGCATATTATAATTCAATACCTGCGGAAGACGAAGCTCTGGATTGGAAGGCTGCAAATGCACCTGCGGAGAGGGGGAAAGGGCCAGAACTGCAAGTAGGGACATCGTCAGCCATTGGAACAACGTTTGACAGCGTTGTAGTACTTCTCTCTACAAAGTCTTTGAAACGCTTCAAGATCTTCTTTTTCTGGGTTCGTAGCGCATTGTCACTCCTTCTCCAAAGCTCATAAACATCACCCAATAATACGTTATCTCGTGCTGCCAAGCAAAGATGAATTGTTGAAACGACCAAAAGTTCATCTTTTGAAAACTGCTGGCACTTCCTCTTTCCAAACCATTTCATGCAAAATGTTTCACATTCATTTTTTCAAAGAAACCTTTTAGGAAATCTTTGTAGCTCTTTTGATTCAAAATCAAGTCATCCAATTCCTTGCGATGTATCTCATTCTTCAATTGAATAGCATGATGTTGAAAGTGGTTAGATTCTTGGTCGACGACTGTCAAGGACAGAAGTGCTCTTGCACAACAGCGAAACTTGTGGTCTTGATCTTATGCAAGAAGGTTATCGACTTCTTCTTTCCCTCTTGGGGTTTCAGCAAATTCACGGAGCTCGTTTAGAAGAATTTCTTTTTTTACTACCGATTTTAGGTGGCATTGGAGCAACGAGCAGATATTTGGAGCAATAGCTCATGACATTGTGTTGTTTACGACGATAGAATCTATTGAATTGCATTTACTGATAAAAATAGATCATTGTCATGCTGTTTGTTGAAGCTAAGGTATCAACTAAAGCCTGAAGAAATTTAAAACAAGTTTGAATTTTCCTGGGTTGGATCAAAGATTTGTGACAAGTTGTTGTGCTGATGAAGTCCCTTTATATAGTCGAAGTTGTTGTCGGAGAAACATTAGATGAAGACGTAGCGCGCCAGCCCTCCAGCTCAATGTTTCTCCGAAACCGTAGTGTCGATGACGAAGCCTTTTTTTCGAAATTTGGATTCTGATCGATCACCAATGATTGATTCTCATTTTCAAATTCTCTCATTCGAGGCATACCACATATCACACAAGTTGATCCATAGCCATTCGCACTCGCACTTGCAATCGCAATCTGCAAGCTAACCTTAATCCAACGCCATGGCCCTTGTTGTTTCTCCAAACTCTTCCTTTGGGAATGCACAATGTGAACAAGATGATGCAATTCATGTTTTTCTTCGAATGTGGGATGGCAAATCTTTGAGTTGCCAAGTTGGTCGGCATGAAACTGCATTTGAAAAACTTGACCGCTTGAACCGAAGAATATTGCACGAATATCCAGTATCAAAGGCCAACTACTACATGGAGATGCAAGGAAAGCCACTTTCGATACATAATGGCGACTACCTTTTGTGGAAAAATAATGCAGATATCTTTGTTCAATACCGCAACCCAGGAGGATGCTTCATGGTGAGCCTAACTGTGCTTACCATGATCATTATGGCAATTATTGGAAGCACATGCACTTGCGGGTTGTCACTGTTGATTGTTCCACTACTTTTGCCCCTTTTGTTCATTCTTCCATTCTTTTGTCTATGAGGCAGGATCAAGGTGATTTGTGGGAAGGGGAATAGATGTCCTGTACTGTATTTTGCCTTCAGGAAAGGCGATGCGTTGAGAGGCTTCACTACAGTTATCGTATCGGATGAAAGAAGTAGGTGTAATCACTATAGTATCATCTGAATATCCAAACATGAACACATGTCCATTGACTTCAGAGATTCTCTACTTTTTTCGACCTGTTGTCTGTTGGGCGTCGGGAAAACAGAAATTCATCAGTATAACATCAACTCTCCAAAACATGGAACGGAGGCAAACGATTGTGGAGTTGCTGCAATTGCAGTATGATGCCATGGAAAGATTTGCCAATGCTCAAGCTAGGCTATTAAACGTTTCTTCAACTCACGCTGCTTCGACAGTAGCTGAATCATCGGCCGAAGACATGGAGGACGCTCTTAGCTCAATAAATAAGGTTCGAAATCGGCTTCGATCGAACTTGAAGCAACTGGAGCAGGACGAAAAATTTTGCAAACTACATCCCAAGCACCTCGCACTAAGTCAGAGGGTTGCACAAACCATAGCCTCCAATCCATCGTGGCATACTAACGGATTGCCGAGCCATACTACGGGCATTACAGAAACAAATACAGTTGCACTGGCTACGCTGCGAGCATCAATTGAGCGAATAAATGAAGCCGAAAGGGATAGGGTTGCAGCTTGAAGGTTTGACATTTGTGTACCATATCCAATGCCCGTTGCAATGGATTTGTTGATATGTCATGTTCACGAATAATAGTGCCGCAGTTTGAATCGATGAATGCACGTGTTCGTTGAAACGACCGATCCTCAGCTAACCCATAATAAACTGATAGAAGTACTGTAATAAGAGAGATTTTGAAGATCTTTTACAAATAAAAAGCTTATTCTTCAGTTTCCATTTTTTCTCCGTCCTCCTTTGACTCGTCAACATCCATGTTCTCGCCAGCTCCCTCTTCTGCTGGCTTTTCCTCCTTTGGTGGAGCCGCTTCCTTCTTTGGCTTTGGAGCGGGCTTGTGCATGATTGGGCCAACAACATTCGTGAGTTCTTGGCTCTTAACACTCAAGTCAGCTATAGTGAATGCAGGATCGACGTCTTGTCCGAGCGATCCTTGTTTGTCCAGCATATCGTACACCCAACTCGATGTTGAATCACATGCCTTGTGGCACTTTTCAAAGTCTTCATCAGTGAGGTGTGCGTATTTATCATTGCCTTGAGCACTAGACAACCAGCTCTTGTACTTCTCAACAGTGCCTTGGATGGCAGCAACGGCGGCCGGTCGGCCTTCAGCTTCAGAAGCACGAGCTTCGATTGGTCCACCGATCTTCTTGAGCTCAGCAAGCTTGGCGGCATATACAGACTTTGTTGCATCGAATCCATCTTCGTACAACCAGTTATCAATTTCCATTTGCTTCTTGTCAAACGCATCCTTTTCTGCCTGGGTTGCATAATTGGCCAATTGCGAATCGGATGTGATCTTGTCGCGCATGCTGTAAATGTACGATTCCAAATCGTTTCTCATATCAGCAGTTTCACGAACAATGCGATCTTGGTTGGCCATAGCGACCTCAACTTCTCGGAATTTGTTGATTTCATCCTTGGTCCAGTCCATAGCCTGTGTGCATTTGTACTCCAAGTTGGTCTTCTTGACCTTCTTCTTCTTTTCCTCACCCTCCTTTGCTTCTTCGCCGCCATCTTCTTCTTCGATATCCTCAACCATCTGAGCTGAACTCAAGCTGATGATACCATGGATGTCTTCCTTGACATTGACGCGGATCTTCTTCTCTTCTCCTTCTGGTACCTTGATGGACCAATCAGCAACCTCGGCCGAGACACCCGCGGGCAAGCCATGGTCGTAAGCAGCTTGATCGTAAGCACAAGAGACAGAAAAGTCCCCAGTTCGTCGAAGGGTAACTCTTCTGACAATGGGGAAACTCAATCCACGATCAAACATGGTAACAGAGTTTGTCGGTGCCCCATCTTCGCCTTCCACAGCAGCAGCTTCATCCCAAGAGAGCTTGATGGGCAATGGGTTCGATTCGATAATTTCGTATGGCAACACCTTGAAACGGGGAGAAAGGATTGCCGATTGCAAAGCAGCTCCACGTGCGACCGCTTCGTCGGCATTCATGGTTGTCGACAGTGTCTTGACCTTCAAGATTTGCATTAGTTTGGTCTTGACAAATCCGATACGGGTACTTCCTCCAACAATTTCAATCGAAGACAAATCGCTGGACTTCATCTGGGCATCAGCGAGGGCCTTGACGATGGGCGCCTCAAATCTGTCTAACAAAGGCTTACACATGGCCTCGTATTCTTGGGCTTTGAGCATAATGTTAAAGTCCAAATCTTCCATCAAGCATTCAAGATTGATAGATGCCTCCTTGACTCCCTTGGGACTAAGTGTCTTCTTTGCCTTTTCAGCCGCAGCCAACAACTTGAGCATAACCTTGGGCTTCTTTTGAGGAGTTGAGGAAAGCTTCTTAGAGAACTTCTCTACAAACTTATCGGCCAACCAATTTGCAATGGTTTGATCAAAGTCCCGACCACCCAAATCGCTGTCATGACAAGACGACTTGACAATCAACTTTCCAGGTTCAAATGAAACAATGCTAACTGTGTATTGCGATGCACCAATGTCAATGAACATGATATTTGTAGGCTCTTCGTTTTCGAATTGTTTTCGGATATCCTTAAAGATTCCATATGCCAATGCCGTGGCCGTGTTTTCGTGCATTAGCCTTTGGACTCCAGGAATTCCAACAACCTCGCATCCATGCAACAAAGCCCGTCTTTGTGAATCGGTGTAGTACGAAGGAATAGCAACAACCCAATCTTGTGGGAAGAATGATGTCAAATCAGCAGTGTTGGCCATACCAGAAGTCTCGGCAGCCTTAGTGGCAGCAATCATTCCCATGTGATGGATGATCATACCGCATACATTCTCGACTGGGATAATCTTTTCGTCACCATCGACACTAACTTTGACAGCAATACTATCAGGGCCACCTAGGGAGTGCTTCATTGGTACGCATTCAAATGGGACCATCTCCATTTCCCTTTTGGCTCGTGGGTCATCAAATGGAAGTCCAACCAAACGCTTCATGTATTTAATAGTGTTTTTGTAACTTGAGACTGCTCCCGTTCCAGCTGTTTCTCCCATCTTACGAGCTTGGTCGAAACAAACCATGGTGCTGCAACGAAGAAAGTGAAAAAATATCCAAAAGCATGCATTGTTAGTTGGGAAACCTTTCGGGAACAAAGTAGCAAGCACTATTGAACGATAGTGATGGCCAGAGCTGAGGATGATACATACGGATTCAGACGCTGAGAGTTTCCATTGAGAACAACATCAACACCACCGCGTCCGGCAGCGGCAATAACAGAGTTCTGTAGTCCGATGTCTACACCTACAACACTCATTTTCTAATTGCGTAAGTTGGTATAGTTGAGTCAATGGCCGTCAAAAAGTCCGTGCAGGAAGATCGAAAGGGTGAGAACCACAAAACACGTTAGGTTTTATTATTCCGGTCGGCGGTGGGAGGCGTTTGGGTACGGTACAACCTCTACGGCAACGGCTAGTAGATTTAATACGGGATTGGCAAGTCTTGGGAGTCAAGGACTTTCTACGAAACAGGTGGAATTTCTTGGAAGTTGTGTTTGTGTCACAGAAACTTCCCCTCCCCTTTTCATAACAGGGGATTGACTCACGCACAGAACTTCAACCACAATCCAAAAATTACTCCAGACAGTATTGTACAGTACGAGTATCACTGACTGTCAAACTCTTCCTACATGATATCGCAATTGGTCACAGTTTCGTTGCTTTTGACCAAAGGCACACTGGGAAATGCTTTGTCAACACCCTTCGGAAAAACTACTCGCAACATTGCCACCCAAACGCTCCAAGGAGCAGGCCCTGCTACTGTCGATTTGAACCAATACAATTTGCCAGTCGAAACAATTGAAGAAGAGTGGTGTGCAGTCGTTGTCCAAAAGACGGCTGAAAATGAGGAGGGTATCTATCTGGGATGCAAAAGCAATTCGGAAGTCTTTGTCGACACATTTTTGACGACCTTTCCACGAAAAGAGGGTATGGGGATAGAACTACTGGAGCTTGCTGGAGGCAGAGACGATGACCTAGGTATTACTGTCGTATCTGGGCTTGTACCGGGTGGGTCGGCTGAAGGCTCGGAGATCATGACGGGTGATTCCATTGCGGAAGTTTCCTTGGTTCGAAGCAAAACCAAAATAGGTGACAATCGTCCTATATCCGAGCAAAACCAAGAATGGACTGTTAAAACAGAATGCTTCTCCTACGACGCTACAGTAAAGGCGATACAGTCGCTTCCCCCGATAATTGAAGGATACGAAGACTACTTCACCGTCAAAGTGCGGCGGCTCCGTTCTCGACCAAAAGTCCGCGTCAAGCTTCAGTATCCTCCTGAGCAGAACGAACCAGATGCTATCATTGAGATGAATGCAGGAGAGAACCTGCGACAAGGCATGTTGGTACGAGGGATCAAACTAAACGATCCACTAGCCAAACGGTTTGACACCAAATCGGGAGGCAATTGTGGGGCAGGTGGCCTATGCAGGACGTGTCAAGTGACTGTCATGAGCGGTGGTGAACTGCTGAATGATCAGCGAGTCGCTGAAAAGCAAATGTTGGCAGATAATTCTAGAGCAAGACTTGCCTGCAAGGCAATTGTTGGTTTCGGAATGCAAGAAGGAGACATGACAATCCGCGTCAATCCCAATCAGTGGTGATATGTAGGACTAGATCAATCATCATGATTCTTCATATTTTAATTTCATTGTTACATTAAAAGTGGAAAATCGTTTCTGTCACATTTCCTTCTAAACCATGCTTTAGGTTTACTTACTCATCAACGTCATCGCGGAATTGCGCGCTGCGCCTTGTTCTGGTGCCTCCAGATCCGCCGCTCCCACCACTAGAGCCTGCTTGCCGGCGCCGTCTAGCTTCCGCAGCATCAGCCCGCTTCTGCTTTTCAGTCCCCTTGGGAACTCCAAAAATTGGTTCCAGGGAAGGCCAGATATGTTTCTTCCACGCCTTGTGTACCTTCTTGTGCAAAAATGTCAGATTGTAACGAATATTTCTAGCTCCTGTCTTCAACACTTGTGGAGCATAGACGTTCCAGTAGCTGTGAATCCAAGTATCATAGCCCTCCTGCAGTTGTTCCATCGCCAAAGCCATAGGTGCTTCGTCTGCTTCCCAACCCATGAAGTAACCATAGTCTTGGTACTTGCGCTCGAGCTTCTTGATCATTTTGGGGTAATCACCATAGTACTTGGACAAGATGTCTGGAACATTCTCAATCTTTTCAGGATCGTGCTTCTCGTAGAAACTGAGAACTCGCTTGCGTGGGACACCCCCCATCCCCAAACGGAAACCAATTTGTCCCATGACATGGTGCTTGGACATGAAACCTCCAAGGTAATCACTAGCAAAAATCAATGCGGGCAAAAGAGTGGATCCTGTCATTAGAATCAACAAGATCAAAGGCGTTCTCTTGATTTGGCCCTTCTTTGTTGTGGGCGCTGTTGGCATTTTCATGTAATCATCCTCATCGCTAGCAGACTTGCTCTTCTTGCTCTTTTTCTTCTTCTTTGGCATGATGACTTCATCCTCTTCTTCGGTGGCCTCATCATCCGAGTCCTTTTCCTTGTCTCCGCTCATACCTGGAGGCAAAGGCATGTCACCGGTTTCTTCAAACTCCCCTTGGCCATTTGCCTCATCTCCAAACATATCCGAACTGACACGTTCGTCATCTTGTTTGCGATTGCGGCGTCTCAATTTTCCGGCTGCTCCTCGTGCCATAATTCAATTTCTAGTTTAGATTGCTGATAGGATCGTAGTCGCGGTCTTTTGTGAATAGATGTTGTTCTTTCAAAGTAAAACAAGCGTTGAAGTTCTTGTGATACCAAAGATGTTTTCATTTCATCATAGCCATCAAGTCGCACTGCTCCACGTGTTACGTTGGTTTTAGCCCATTTGGTTGATTAAGCCGATTAGAATCGAGTCAACTCAATCAATCAATAATCAATCAACCTTGAAACTCGATCCAAAACCCGAAACCTCCAACAGTGGGACATCCGACAACTGTACCGACAGTACTGTATGGTAGACCAATGTCTTCAAGTAGGACAGTAATGTTGCTGGGTGGTCTTCCAGCGAGTGGAAAGAGTACGCTGGCAAAGAAAATTCAATCTCACTTCGAAACCGACGGCAATTTATCATGCGTTCATTTGGAATATGATGTCTTTGAAGATGAAATTTCTTCGACCTTTCAAGATGTAGGATCAGGAACAAAACCACAGGAAGCAAGGGATAATACGATTACAGCTTGGAATGAAGCGCGAAAGGCTGCAGTTGCTAACCTGGAAGGTGTCCTTCGAAAAGCTCGTATAGAGGAATCTTTAGTTGTTTTAATGGATGACAACTATCACCTCAGGGGCATGCGAAAGCAAATTCATCGACTTCTTTTAGATCATGATCACGGTCCTGGTCAACAGCTTAACTTTGGTATCCTTTGGATGGAAACTGATGTGGAAACGTGTTTACAACGCAATGAATCACGAACGAGGCGAGTCCCAAAGCACGTCATTCAGAAAATGAAAGATACTTTGGAGAAACCACGTGCTAACTGGGAAGCATACTGCCTTTCAATATCTGATGAGACGCCATTCGGAGACATTCTAAACTTTATCAATAACTGTCAGGAAATCCAGGAACTGCCACAAGACTTGGTGGATCAGAAACAACAGGAGAAAGATCGAATTCAAACGTCCGAGAACCAACGACACGATTGGGACAACCTGCTGCGCTCCTGGGTAGGGCAAGTCGCCAAGTATGACAAGACACTAGCCAGAAGTGCCAATGCCGCTCGGAAAGAAGTGATGACTCAGATCAAAGCAACAGTTTCCGAGGTAAAGTCAGAAAGAGATTTGCTTGAGAGATTCATAGATTATGTTGTAGTATCCACTGATAGAGAAAGCATTCATGAAGAATTGAAGAGTGCATTGCAGGAATAACGATGAAAAAGTGAATGAATAGATCAGTAGAGTGATCTTGCCCAACGCGAAAGCTATTGTTTGTCGTTTGTTGTATTCTGTTGTATTCTGTTGTGTTGTGATATGATATGATGTGATATGATCGCTACATTGCTGTAATCTATTTTAATTTTGCTGGTTGTGCCACGCCACAACGTCGACATATTTTAGCTCGCCTCCAAAACAGTCCAATGCACTCCCAACGGTGGCATCGACCTTGTCGTTGCCTAGTCGCTTCACAAGTTCCAAATCTTCTATCGACCTTACACCTCCTGCATACGTCACTGGAATGGGCGAATGTTGACCCAACAGAACGACCAAGTCTTCAAGAATTCCACATTGCATTCCTTCCACATCGACACCATGAACCAAGAATTCATCACAGTAACTCGCCAACTCTTTCAGGCTTTCGGCGTTCACCTTGTAGTCAGTAAAGGTTTGCCACCGGTTTGTGACAACGTAGTAATCTCCTTCCGGTGCATCCGGCTTTCTGCGACATGATAGATCCAGGATCAATCGGTCTTTTCCGCAGATTTCTAACAGTTTCTTGAGTCGTTCCATGTGAATTTGACCGTTTGCAAAGACGTGAGATGTTACAATCACGTGAGAGGCTCCTGCTTCCAACCATTCCTTAGCATTCGTGTCGTTGATCCCCCCTCCAACTTGCAAGCCCTTTGAATAGGCACCCAAAGCAGCCTTCGCGGCCTCTGTATTTCCAGGTCCTAGCATGATCACATGTCCTCCCAACAGTTTATCCTTTTGATACATCGTGGCGTAGTCTTGCGATGGACGATCTGTCTCAAAGTTGGTGTTCAGTTTATCCGATTCTGTCTCATCATTCAAAGTAGAACCAACAATCTGCTTCACCTGTCCATTGTGAAGGTCGATACAAGGTCGGAACTTCATTTCTATCAATCTTTTGTGTGTTGGTTTCAAGAATATGATTGATGCGTTTTGTGATCGTCGTCGAAATAACGGTGTCCTGACAGACGTTGATTGTGGCGTTCACAAAATCATCACCACATCGCAACCAACGACAAAATTGCCACGAAAATCAACAGTTCAAAGAAAGCTCTTAAAGGAACCTCAAGATGAGATCTTCCTTGCTATTACCTGCATGCAATCTCCTTCTGGTATTCGCTTGTTTACAAGGTAAATCAAGCGCATTTCAATCCGGCTTTCGGTTAAGCTCTCCACGTTACCTGGAATTCAACCGACAACTTTCCAATAAAAATTATGATGACGGAGAAGTTGGAACAGGCGACAATTGGATTGAGAGATCATTTCCTGTGGATACAGAAGAAGGAATCAGTACGAAGAAAGTAGAGGACTACAATCTTGGCATCTCGGGAGAAGCCTTTCAAACTGGTTCGTTGAGTAAAAAGATGTTCGATGCAATTTGCTCCCGAACCTCCTTGGATATGAGCGACGAAATTCGGGAGGCCTTTGTTTTATATGCCATGGATTTCACAGCCAAAGAAGCTGCACGTGCAGCCTTATCACAAAACGGATTGGAGATGGTTCTACAAGAAGAAGAAGAAGACCAAGGAATGTGGGGAGACGTGGAAGCGATTCGTTTGTACAATGTAGAAACAGGCAGTGCCATTGCAAAGATGTATGATTCATTGGAAGATGCAGTCAAAGACTGGACGCCTGGTCAAACTTTTGATTTTGTAGCGCGACAAGTTCCTGCCAAGATCAGAGAGCTATCGTTGGACGAGCTCGTTGACGCCCTGGATCCTGAAGGCAAAATCCGTGCGGAAACTGGTGAAAAATCGGCACCTGACGAGGAGGCACTCTTATCAATCTTTGATGAGACAGACATTTCTTCGCTATCTGACTTGGCAGCAGACAACATTCGACGGACTGAGAATACTCCTCGTATAGCAACCAGAGAAGATGAAGCTTTTGCTGGCTTGTCCTCCAAAGGATATAATGTGATCAAGAGAAGCGATCTCTCTCTTACCGCGAGAAATGCAGATGGCTCTGAAAATGAAAAGAGTACGTCGGAGGAACCACTGTAGGCTGCATAGATGTAATGTACGTGCATTTCTGAGTCTCACCGTTCTTTGCCTTTGCATGTATTACCCAGCTCTTCTACACGTCATGGATGCACTAGTCTCACATGGAGTTTTGATCGTGGACATGTCAGATGGTGGGTCCAAGTTTGATGATACCAAGGTGCTTGCAGATATGTGGCAGGTCACTGGTGACTTTTTTGAAAAGGTGCAAGATGATGCTGTTGCAGCTGAATTGTTGCCTGGAATGGAGGTTGTAGCGGAGACTGGCTCTCAACATGCAAGAGTTGGATACTCGTCCTTCGATAACGGCTCCTTGAAGTTCCTGGAAACCAGAAGAGAGCGAAATTCGGGAGATATTCTCCCTAAAGAATTGACTGATGTCGTCGGTGCCGATGGCGTCCAATCTTTCTCGTCTGCCTTTGATGTGATTACAAGTGCCTGCAAAGATGTTGTGCGTATTGCAGTCGCAACTTGCAGTGTGGAGTACGGCGCCTTCCAAAAGGGTAAGAATCAAGGTGCACGAGCTTCCGAAGCTGCCAATCTTTTGGTCCAGGAGGTCATTGACGACGGGAAGCCCATGCGAAGTACAGACATTGAGCACAGTGAAGGAACCGTGAGTATGAGTCCACATCGCCTAGGCCAGTATTCTGAGAGCAGCGAGGCCGAGACTGCAGCCCGTGAGGTGTTTGGTGCCCATGTAGACGCCTCCTTCATTACTGCCGTTCCAGTTGCCGCAATTAGTGGGTTGGAGGTTTATGATGAAGATTCGGAGAAATGGTACCGTCCCGAACTGAAGGCACGAGAAACATGGGAAGCAGAAAAGAAAGAAAAAGGAGGAGATTCTTCCGCAGTGGTAGAAGAGCTGAAGTGTGGCGCTACCGTCCCATGGCATTCTAGATACCTCGTCGTCATGGCTGGCGAGCAACTCCAAGTTGCAACTCGAAATGAAATCCCTGCGACAGTTCACCGAGTGGTAGCAGCTAAGGATGGCCCATCCCGACTAAGTGCGCCAATACTTCTACGCCCAAGACCAGGAACCAAATTTCATGTGGACCGATACTTGGGAGGAACAATGGGAAATGCGTTGTTGCTGGAGTGTGACGGCAAGACAATGGAGGAGATCTATGACGCTACTCAACCCCAATCGTATCAGTAGAAAATAATTAGAGCAAATATCGACTGTCCTGAATAGCATTTTTATTGAGCGGTCTCTAATGGCAGAGTTGGGATTGATTTTATTTATGTTAGTTTGCTCGTCTTCGATGGCTTCCAGACTCACGGCGGCTCTTGCTTCCGTGCTCATCAGATCTACTTATCGTTTTCCCTCTTGTAGCAGGCATTAATTTCAGTGGTCTCTTCCTACTTCCACTACTGTCATATGACGCCTTCCATCGCAAGGATGGATCATTCCCATATTCTTCAATTTCATAGGCACGTCCACTTTCAATTCGCCTTTTTCGACGCTCGCGTTCCCGTTTAATTGCGTCCTCTCTATCCAATTCATCAAAGCTATAAATAGAGACGTTTGGTTTTGTGCGCTTTGATTGCCCCCGTTTCCCATACCTGGTGACAGCTTCGGTTGTACCCTGTAGTAGAGTTGGGACGATGATCGCCCTTGGTTCCTCCAGAGCCTTTCGAAACATTGCCGTTCTCCCAAGTTCAAGAACACCTCGGGATCCATTTCTCAACACAACATCCATGGCTGCTTTGCGCAACTTTGGTAAATCATTCCCGGACTTGCTTTTCTGCGATGCGCATAATGAAAGTGCCCGGACAACATTGATGGATGTAACAAGCTGTGCTGCAGCTACCTCGCACATCAGAGATAATCTGGGCATATTGGCTTCTTCTGCCAACTCAATGCCTGCAAGGGCGACTTGAAACGAAACAAGCGGACGACTGTCTTGCGCATATCGAGGATGCCCCGCTTTTGTCATCGGAAGTGGAGGAATAGGCCCCTTCTCTCCGGTTGGCCTTTCTTTGCAAGCAACAATGAATGCATTCAAGCCCAGAACGACGACTCGATTGGTATAGCAGTATTCAAGTAGCAGTTTTATGGCCTCGGGAGAGTGGTTTTGAACAGTGACTTTGAACAAATCTTTCTTCAGAGGTTCGCTCTGACCTCGATGCCTCGATGACAACACTGGCGAATCGGACCTCACCTTTGCGCACCCATCAAACCGAAGATCTTCCTCATCGTCGTTTTCGATTTCATTTGCTCCTGATGAAGCAGCAATTTCTGCGTTTTGGGCGTCGTTTTCATTGAACGGCATGACTTCGATACTGTTGTCGTCTTCATCCTCGTCAACCGCTTTCATTTCTGATTCCACCCTTGCTACCACAGATTTTGTGTCCTCGACATTGGGTGTGAATTCCAATGCTGTATCTTGCGCCAGAGCTGCCGCAAGTGCGTCAGTCTTTGCCTTCATGATAATATCATAAATCCAGGGACACCGTGCCTGCAAGATGGGAGTGTAAGCCTTGACCTTCGTCCACAAGACTTTTTGGTTTCTCCCCTTATCATCTACAAGCTTGCCTTGGCAGTCCAAGACTATATCAGCATATTTGTTCCATTTATCTGGCAGCAAAATTCGCATTTGGTCAAAGAAATGAGCATCCGCAATTCGTTGTTGTCGCTTTCGTTCTGCTTCAATTTCTCGCTCAATTGATTTGTTCGCTCGGACTTTGATGCGATCATTCTTCATCAACGCGCTGGTCTCGGCAGTATCGGACCCATTCAACAGTTGACAGTGTAGAAATTCAAGATCAGAGACCTCAATGTGGTCTCTTCGTTTCTGGCGATCATTACAGAACTCCACAAATCGCTTAAATACAGCTGCGAGTTTCGTATTCTTATCCATTCCAATGAATACTGTAGCACCAGGTCTAATAATTGGGTGATTAGGGGCAGCAGATATCTCTTCCTCGCATTCTAGGTAAAGCACCTGTCATTTTGCAATGAAAAACATGTGAGCAAACTTAAAATTGAAGGTGTCACGTAGCCAAAGTACTGTCCAGAACGTACCAAATCACATTCAGTGGTTGTTCGATTCGAATTCGAAGCGCCATCAGGGTTGACAGCAATTCCTCCATCTAAATCTCCATTTGCATCACGGTCGTTTCCGTCTTCCATTTCCATGTCAATGTTGTTTCCATTTCCTTCTTCCTGATCCCAAGGGGCTCCGGCTCCCAATCCATGATTGTTGTGATTGATTTCGTTGTTGTTCTCGTCGTTAATATTCTCCATCCTTTCACTTATGAGCTCAGGTTTCCGCTCTCCAATACCGTCCAGAAGGTTCCAAAGCTGTGAGTTTCACTGCTTCTGCCAATTCCGTTATCAAGATTACAACACCAACGGTCTCTCTTGTTATTCTGCTGCTGCGCCGCGGTTTGAGTTTTATACGTGATTGAACGATAACGGCTGCACAGATCGGAGTTATAGCGTTGGAGTAGGTACATGTACGTACACCATGTACCGGTAGTGCTGTGCTGGCATTTTCAAATAATCCCTTACAGAAGGTTCGAACTTAGTTCCTTTTGGCCAGAACTTGGACTAAGCACAAAGCAGTACAGTACAGTTCAGTACAGTATTATACCTACTGTATCTATCTGAGAGTGGTAGGACTACTATTGAAGCGCGGCGGAGAAGAATTACGATTCAGCAGCCAGGGCGATATCAGTGCTTAGCTGACATTGTATCTTTCCAACAGTTGTGTTGATGTGGGAGGTGGAGATCTCATGCCTGTGAGGAACAAAGTAAATGAATCGAGCTGTGGTTGTTCGTTCTGGTGGCCTTTCAAATCGAAAGCAATCTGACTCCACAGAAGTGGTCAACATACAGCAGTAAGACAGAAGGTACACGTACCTTGTACTCTTGGTGCAGCAAAAACACAAAAATACAAAAGTATTCGTAGTCAGACGCCTTACCGTTGGGCCAACGGGCCGGAATAAGCCCGCCCGGGATTCGAACCCGGAATCTTCTGATTTGCTACTCCTGCATTCCTTATCCGCCAGATTTTATTATAATATTTATAGATAAAAGGGAAAAGTAACAGCATCATGATTCTTTCACCAGGTTGTACTCGCACCATCGTAACCCAATTGGCCTATAGTATCCTTCCCTCTCTGATAACGCGTCGATCGTTTTTTAAGTACAGGAAAGCAACACAAGTGCAACCTCAGCCAAAGAATAACTAAGTACAACCTACAGCAAGAACCCCCCATGGATTGGTGGCTATTCCATCAGGAAGAAGCCACCAGGGCCACTATTGACTGAATACCACCAAAAGCCTAACAACCATTGTTTGATAAACAAGGCGATATTGCCCGATGCATGATTCTTTTGGACTCCTGGCTTTGGACAGAGCAGCAACTAGCTACCACTTCCCGTAACCTGACTGGCTGGACTGCCGAGTCCCGAGCAGATATATTAGAGCGATCCAAGGCCAACGGTCGTCGCCAATCTCAAGCCTAAGATCAATCATCTATCATCTACTCACAGCTGCTTCAGACCCCCGTAAATTCACCCCAATAGCAATAGCAATCACCGCCTATCATGCCCAACAGTAGCTACATCAATGCACTAGTACGCTCTCTCTACGATGAGAGTCAGGAGCCCAACATTATCACGTTAAGTTCCCTCTTCCATCCCCATCATGTTCCTTTCCCTACAGTTGTGTCATTCTTTTCTAAAGTTTCCTCTTGGAAGCTTTGTCAATAGTTGTCGTCTTCCAAGGGACAGAACAACAAATAACACTAGAAAAACGAAATTCCCAAAGGCCACAAAAGTTCAACAACTCCAGATCAGATTTTCAGCCAAGCAAGACATCGCGCTTACAATAATTCTGCCATTGCCAATAGTCAGAACGTACTTACACAGAGTAGGTACCCCTGCTAAACTGGCAGTAGAACTAGCCAAACAAGACATCGCGCTTACAATAATTCTGCCATTGCCAATAGTCAGAACGTACATACACAGAGTAGGTACCCCTGCTAAACTGGCAGTAGAACTAGCCAAACAAGACATAGCGCTTACAATAATTCTGCCATTACCAGTGGTCATAACACACAGTAGGTACCTGGTGCCCCTGCTAAAGTGGCAGTAGAACACACATGCATCCGCAGGTGCAAAAGTGAGACTGTCGCAATCGTAGTCAGACGCCTTGCCGTTGGGCCAACGGGCCATAGCAAGCCCGCCCGGGATTCGAACCCGGAATCTTCTGATTTACTACTGTCAGTGCTCTGGAAACCAAATTTTATCTACTTAATTTGCGTCCTAACCATAGCAAAGTTCAAAAGGAATTCATAACCGGTACATTTGCAGGCAAGTGAGTGGTGCTGATGCATGTACTGTCACAATGTGGCATTATTTGATTAGTTTCCACCTATTGATCCAATCCAAGGGCTGCCTTTAGAAGCCTTTTGTTTTCTTCTACTGTCTCATTGTCTATTTCTGAGAAGTCCAGGGATTCATAGATGTTGAAAATTTGGTATGCTTCGGCTTCCTCTGGTGCTTCCAAACCCAAATCTCCGTCAACAAAAGAGGCATAAAGGACAATTTCCTTGATCGGATCAACTGCATTGTCATACCGTCCTCTCAATAATTCGCTGGTAGTCAAACCCAGTGCTTGCTTCGACAGTCTCACAATTGTTGCTTCAAACATTTCTTCACACTCTTCAGCCTCCAAATTTAGACTCTCCTGGATTTCGGTGAGGATTTCACTGGTTTCGGCTGTAATCTCGCCAGACTTCAATCCAGGAATGATCTCGGATTCGAACATTCTGATGAGACGAGGCTTGGAAATGCCAACATCTTCTGCAAGGTCCATGCCCATCACATTGCACTTCTCTCGGAAGGCTTTCACCCGTTCAGGTGTAGGGTCATCCATGATGGTATTGATTTCCTCTGAAAGCACCTTCTTTTGGGATTGCATGAGCAGCTTTTCGCCTTGCTCTGCTGATAGACCGATCTTGCCCTGAATGTTTGCAAGAAACATCATGTCTTGTTGGTCAAGTGCTCCCTTTTGTGCCATTGATCGGGATACAAAGTTGTCATACACAGTGCTTCCAATGTTGCTGTTGATATCTTCCATTTTTTCGCTTGTCAGCCCAAGAATTCCCCCGAACGTTGCTCGAGAAGTCTCGTATCGAGAAGCTTGCTCTCCTTGATTTGTGAAAGCACCAACAACGAACTGACGGTATAGGGTCTCCGCCATTTCTTGGTCGATCGCTTCGGATCCGAGTGCTGTGATAGGGTATGAAGTCTCAAGTACGGGAACAGTTTCTCCATCAACTTCTTCGGTGCCGATTTCCTTCTCCTCTGCAATTTCGTTTTCGTTGTAAAAATCAACTAGGTTCATGATGTCGCTCATGATCTGAACCTCAGCGCCAACTCCCAGTACCCCCTGAGTTTACAACACAAGGTGAGAATGAGTATCACTTTCCCTTTCCCTTTCACGAAGTCACGAGACTGAACACAATCACTTACATCTGCCGCCTTTCCTGATTGGAACATATCTTGTCCCATATCCTTCCCGCGTCTTTTTGCTAGTTGCTCTTGTGAGAGCATCGTGCGTTCCATTTCACTGTTGATCCATTCAACCATGGGAACCATTTTTTCTTCGACAGCCTCAAGGAAGAGTTGCTTGGTATCTTCCTCTCGCACACCAAGACGATCTCTGAGGTCGTTCAATGCATCTTTAAGTTCGGGTCGAATCACACCGGTTGATCCCATAGCCTCAACGATACTTTTTCGGTAGACAGCTCCAAAATACTCCATGTGAGATGGATACGTGTCCTCCTTTTCAAGTCGGTACATCTCTCGGAGCGACTCAAGCGCCTCGTTCATTTCCTTTGTAGGAATTCCACTTGGAGACTTTTCACTGATGATAGATACAGCCTTAGCGTAATAAGAAGCACCTTGTTCTCGAAGGAAGTCGTCGGTAAGCTTGTACGCTTCGACTTCATCATTTATAGCCTTCTTCATATTCTTTGCAAGTTCAGGTGTGTAATCCGCAGTAATTTCATTTAGTGCTCGCACACAAACCTTTTGCAATTCGGGACCAAAGGTTGCTCGAGACTCAACCTCAGCTTGGTCGTCAGAGATTCCCAAGAGACCTTTCACTTCAGCCATTCGTGCGAACATTTCTTCGGAAATTTTCCCATCTTCAGAATTCCGAAGCGATCTGGATGAGAAAATCTTGTAGATCTTGATGCGTTCGTCGGGTCGCAAAAATCCATTGGCAGAATGTTTGTCCCAAGGGTCGCAAAAAGTTTTATCAAAATTCTCGAATTCATTCCAGCCAGATTTCTCCAAGATGGCAAGAAGAGCTTGCTTTGCCTCAAGCGCTTCAAGGAGGTTGTCATAGACTGCAACTTCATTGTTGACCTTGGCGAACTTGTTTGTTTGCTCGAGGGGACCTCCGAGGGCTTGCATTACCATGGAAGAAAGCAAATCCTTAGACTTCGCTTCTGGTAGCAAAAGCTCTTCTCTTCGGACCTCCATCTGCTCCCAGGCACCATCAGGGGTTCTTAGTCCATCCAAAACACCCTGTATGGCTTCCAGTGCTGTGACTTGATAAAGTGGAGTTGCTTCTGCGGCGATTTCGTAGGCTGCATCTTTAGGGGTTAAACCGAGAACTTCGGCAAGTTGGTCCAGCTATATAGGGAGTAAAAGGCCCGTTAGGTAAATACGCTGCAAAATAACGGGGAGCAATCTATCAATACTTACTCTTGCTTGTGTTCCCTCGCTAAACTTGGCAGAGTTCAACTCAACAACTTCATCATCCTCCCCCAAGCCAAGCAGTTCCTTGACTTCTTCATTGAAGGCTGCAACATGCATATCGAAGGCAGTTTGTTCGTCAATACCAAGGGTTTCCCGAGCGCGCTCCAAGGTAGAACCAGATACACTATTGGTTCCCAACTTGGTCCTGGTGGACTTCAATGCACGTGCATAGAATGGTTCTTGGACATCAGCAACTCGATCCATGGCCTCTGATAATGTGAGCTTCATTGCTTTGGCAACTCTTGTCATCTCAAACTGGAATGCCTCTGGAGTCTCTCCACCTTGGGTGAGTGCACGTTCCGTCAGGAACAAAAGCTTGTCCATTGCTTGGCGGTCTGGGTGATCGGGGTCGTCAAGGTCTTCCTCTGGGGTGAAGATGCATGTTTGGCGGAACCATTCAGCGGCGGCAGCAGAATGCGCTTCTCCAACTTGGAGATTTGACAAACTCAAAGCCTGCCTTAGTTTTGTCAACTCTTTCAACTCACTTGTTTTAGCGATGGGGTTGAATTTCACCATTCCAAGGAAGTATTTGCTGTATACATCAGAGCACATGCATTCAAATTCTTCGTCATCTACAATTCCAAATACTTCTTGCACTTCCTTGACGTATCCGGCTGTGGTCAACGGGTCGTCTAATCCGTGGTCCAAGATTGCTTGGGCAATGGCAGGTGGAGTCACAACTTCTGAAACCGAATCCAACTTTGATTTTCCAATCGCACCAGCAACACCAGTGACAAGTGCTCCAGCTGCATGAGCTGCCAATCGTCGGCTAGGAACCAGACCAAATCCCAAGGCTGCTGAAACAGGGACAGTGGCATATCCTGCAAGTTTCCAGAACGACGGCGACTTTCGAATCTGCTTTTCTAGAGGTGACACTGTTTTGGCATCAGTATATTCTTGCAACTCTTCCATTCCACCAGAAATTTCAGCAAACTTCAACGGTTGCAGAGTACTTCTGGGATTTTGATGAATTTGAGAGACTGACATCGGCTGTTTCACGGTGAAAGCATCTCCATTCTTGTTCTCTGCCAGAAGCAGCGCGACGACTGTCAAAGATGTGAATTTCATAATGGGGATGGCTTTTGTTTTGAATCCTTATTGGGATGCACAGCCTGTTTTTTGAACCGCTGATATAAATGGTTCGTAATCAAAGAAATACGTTGAGGCTTCGGTTGTCGAACGTCCACTGTCGCCAGTATCTTGGTGATGGGTTCAAGTACACAGTTTAGGGGCGCCATACCCGTGGAACTTGGCTTCCACGCGGCACCGATGATTTTGATGTGAAGTCTTGGTGAAGCCAAATGACGTACACTACCAAACGTATGACGTTCAGACGCATTAATCACACGAATCAAATGTGCCGAACCTTGAAACATGATTGGTGCAGGGAGAAAGTACTTTGATGTATCTTCTTCTCCGATCGGAAAATGCAAACGACGACAACCAACGACCACCTTATCTTTCAATCCCATTTTCTCGTCAAAATTATCAGAACACCATTGTAGTTGAAAACAATGAAATTCTCCGCAACCATTCTATCACTCCTCTTTGCCTCTGGTAAGTCTCGACCTATCCCATGTCCTTCACCAATTAGGCACAAAATGTGGTTGTGTGTTCTCGGCTTCTCTTTGATCCTCCCTTCTTACTGTTCGGATTTCTCTTCTCCTTTCAGGCTCTGCTTTTGCCCCAACGGAGTCTCGAGCACGCGGCTTGTCTGCTCTACAAATGGCTTCTGTCAAAAAAGTTCATGCCCGTGAAATCTTGGATTCCAGAGGAAACCCGACTGTTGAGGTACGATTGGCCAATCGGCGTTTGCATTCCATTTGTGTATCTTTCAATTTTCTGATTCGACATATCGGTGCAATTTATGTTTGGATCTTACTACTTTAGGTCGAGGTGACGACTGAAGACGGTATGTTCCGTGCTTCCGTTCCATCGGGTGCTTCGACTGGAGCCTATGAAGCCGTCGAGCTTAGGGATGGTGGTGATCGTTATCTAGGAAAGGGTGTTTTGCAGGCCGTTGCCAACGTCAACGATCTCCTTGGGCCTGCTGTAAATGGAATGGATGTCGTCGATCAAGATGCTATCGATAAGGTCATGCTTGATTTGGACGGTACCCCCAATAAGGCAAAGATGGGTGCCAATGCCATTTTGGGTGTCAGTTTAGCAGTTTCCAAGGCAGGAGCCGCCGCCAAGAATGTGCCACTCTACCAACACTATGCCGATCTTGCTGGAAATGATTTGAGCCAATTCACAATGCCTGTTCCATGCTTCAACGTCATCAACGGTGGATCCCATGCCGGAAACAAGTTGGCATTCCAAGAGTATTTCGTCATTCCCACTGGTGCCAAGAGTTTCGCCGAGGCCATGACTATTGGATGCGAGGTTTACCACACTTTGGGTAAGATCATCAAGGCCAAGTTCGGTGGTGATGCTACTCTCATTGGAGACGAAGGTGGCTTTGCACCTCCATGCGACAACCGCGAAGGATGCGAACTCATCATGGAAGCCATTGCCAAGGCCGGGTACGATGGAAAGTGCACCATTGGATTGGATGTTGCTGCTTCTGAATTCAAGGTGAAGGGAGAAGATGGATACGACTTGGACTTCAAGTACGACGGAAATGTCGTCTCTGGTGAGGGACTTGGTGACTTGTACCAAAGCCTTGCCGCCGACTTCCCAATTGTCACCATCGAGGACCCCTTTGACGAAGACGACTGGGAGAACTGGTCCAAATTCACCGCAAAGAACGGAGAAAAGTTCCAAGTTGTTGGTGACGATTTGACTGTTACCAACATTGAGAAGATTGCCAGAGCCGTGGACGAGAAGGCTTGCACCTGTTTGCTCCTCAAGGTGAACCAAATTGGATCCATCTCTGAAAGTATTTCTGCTGTCAAGATGGCCAAGCAAGCAGGATGGGGTGTCATGACATCTCACCGATCTGGAGAAACCGAAGATACCTATATTGCTGATCTTGCTGTTGGTCTATGCACTGGACAAATTAAGACTGGAGCACCATGCAGATCAGAGCGACTTGCCAAGTACAACCAATTGCTCCGTATTGAGGAAGAACTTGGAGCAAAGAATACTGTCTACGCTGGAGAGGGTTTCCGCACCACTGCCTGGATGGGATAAACAATTGGAAAGCTATAGATTATAAGCAGCATATGCAAGAGACATTTGGAGACGTGAATGAATAGATCTAGCAAATACACTGTTGAACTTTGCTAGCTTACTGGCAAAATAAAAGCTATATCTACTATAAAATATATAATTTGAGTTGTTTGTATCAGATCTTATTGTTCTCTAGTATTTACAGTTCTAAGGTTGATGTGTATGCGAGGCAATGATTTTCATTGACTAACAAGTTCCATTACTTGCTCTCTGTGAGCAGCCTTCATATTCTTTGCACACATGTACGGAGTCGAACCCTTTTTGGTCTTCTTCTTCTTTGATTCTGGAGCTGTAGAAATAAGCAAACGAATCGTGTCGACTGATTGGCCTACTCTGCAAGCAACATGAATCGGCAAAAAGCCCTGCTGATCTTTGACGAGTGCAGCTCCTGGGTGCGCCTTTAACAGATCTCCAACTATAGAATCCATCTTGGGATTCTTACATGCATAATGCATTGGAAGTCGACCTAGAGCATCCTTTACTTTGGCTGCCTTTGGACACAATTCGATCAACTTTATCAGAGATGTTGGTTCCATAACATTCATGCAAGCAACGTGCAACGGTGTTCTTTTGTAAACTGAATCTACTTTCACAAACCCCTTCGAATTAATCTGATACAACGTTGAAAGGAAAGAAGGCGGGGGTTGTCGCTTGCAAGCAACGTGAATAGCCAGAACCTTCACTTTTTTCACACCTTCATAGAACTGAGGAACATTAGTCGTCCATTTGATTTCAAGGGGATTGGTCCTGGCGAAGAAATCAGCTTCATTCCATCGATCCTCTTCAATGAAATTCAGTAGTTCTTCGTCAGCCCTGGCACCATGGTGATCGTTGTAAAAGCTCAAGAAGGACATGGACACAGAAAATTACAGTAATGAAACTGCGAATTTCAAATTTGCACTTCCATTCGCTGTGTTATTTTGCGGCCTTTTTATTGCGGCCTTTTTGTTTTTTTACTTTCACACAATTTATCTGCTTGAAATTCCGGATTCCATTGTTATTGAGTTTCCAAGTTCCAATTCGCCAATCCGGAGGTGATCACAGGACCCGGAGGTTCGTGACGTGGGGATACCAAACTTGAAACTGAAAACTGGGGTATCAAAGCTACTGTACCTTCTGCCAAGCTACAGTATCACCATGAAGTTCGCCTCCCTTCTTGTCGCCCTTGCCTCCAGTGTCTCTGCGTTTGCCCCTGCTTCCCATCAAAAGGCTTCCCAATCACTATGCTCTTCCATTAGTGAAATGCCTGGAAGCACAATGCCTTTCAAGACTTTTGATCCTTTGGGTCTTGCCACTCTTGGTTCTGATTCCACTCTCGCATGGTTCCGGGCTGCCGAGCTCAAGCACTCCCGCGTTGCTATGCTTGCCACCACTGGATATCTGGTCCAAGCCGTTGGAATCCACTTCCCTGGCATGCTCAGCCACGATGTCTCCTTCGAATCCTTGTCCGCGATGAAGCCCTTGGATGCATGGGATGCCGTTCCAGATGCAGGTAAGTCATTTTTTTCGGCCATCGCGACAATCTAAGTACAGCACATCGGAAATCAGGAGCGTATTGACGTCATTCTCACGGACTTCTTCTGCCTAATATCAACAGGAAAGCAACAAATTTACGGAATCATTTTCCTAGCTGAAATCATCAGCGAAGCCAACGGTGTTCACTATACAAAGGGAGGAGACCTTCCAACTATAATCTTCCCACCAATCAACTTCGGGTCGGTGAATGAATCCACAATGAAGGTTAAGAGAGACAGAGAATTGAACAACGGACGCCTTGCCATGATCTCCATCATGTCTTTTGTTGCTGCCGCCAACATCCCAGGATCCGTTCCTGCCCTTACTGGAAACCCAATGTTCTAAATATTGGTAGATGATTGACCAACTTTTTTCGCTTTTTTGCAAAATTTGAGCTTGAATCAGTCTCCAAAGTCCCTTCAAATTTCTCTCGGGGCGAGAGCTTAAGCATCGTTTTTTCAGTTCTGTAGCGAGGAGAACAACTAATACCATAGATTTCATTATTGTACTTTTAAAATACGACTTGAGCAGGCTTCTTATCTCATTCAATTGGTTCCATAGTACGTATGAAGGAAAGAAGTGGCCTGCATCTACGTTTTAGAAGCTAGTACCTGCCCCAACGCCAGGATGATTCATCATATCTGGTGGCAAGCCTGGTGTCAGTTTTGAGAACTGATGGCTGTCTAGGTTGTCCAATAGACCAGGAGGCTCAAATGGTGAGAACTGCGTCCCTCGTTCTTTCGGCGCCCTTTGTTGTTGCATTTGCCGCTCACTCATGGCGCGGTCCAAAGCCTCGCGTTGGTAGTCGTCGTAGACACGTCCCCTGAAGATATTGGGACCAACCAACATACTTAGTTCATAGGCGCACGAGACCGCAGCATGCTTGGACATGGCAGACGCTGTTCTGGATTCAATGTTTCGCATGAGTAGATCCATGAAAATTTCCAAGTACAACCGTTTGCAACGTTGCTTGCCAATGGCCTCCATCATGGTTGGTAGCTGTCTCCAAAGTGTGGTTCGTAAATCGTCCCCCTGCGGGAAATGCGAGACTCTACAAACGTCTGCAACTTGTCGAAGGAGCGGCAACAATATATCATCGGATAGAGCCGGAAGAGTCGAATTATCATAACTGCACTCGTCCACCAACTCACGAATCAAGTACAAACAACCGTCAGTCGCTTCCCAGGGCTGCTTGTCTCGATTGACTTCGCAGTTGGAGCAACCAATACGTCCAGCACCGGATTTATTGGAGTTTTTCTTTAGTTTCGGCGCCAGGGACCCACAGCTGTAGAGTTGTGAATCTGTGTGCGAGGCCATATCGTTCTGTAAAGCCTTGTGCTCTTCCAATGTCATGGCTGGTTGGTTGAGTGCCGCTGGCAAATTCTCATTGATAAACTTCATGAGACGATGGAAGAATTCTTCTCCATAGGCCTGACAGGCATCACCAAGTGCAACTGAAGCATCGGCCCGGACGCTCCAAATTTGGTCAGTCAACTGTTCGGTCCACCGAGTCCACAAAGTCTCCAATTCTGGACGGCACTCTTCTGGATAAGCTCGACAAAAGGTCCCACACGCCAGACAAGCTTCGTCACGGACTGGCCAAGATTCGTCATGAAAGCACATAATTAGAGCTTGTAACAATATTGGAACGTGAGGTTGCAAAGCTGCGTAGTGGACTTCGTCCATTCCTATCTTGCCCGCCAGTTCAGCAACCGCTTGGCAGGCGGCTTCTCGGACCACATGGTTGTCAGCGTCACACATCTGCACATAGTAACGGACAACGGGAGCGATAGATTGAGCCACAACTTCTATGCCAGACTCTGGGAACAAGAGCTTCCAAGTTTGATGGGAATACAACTTGACGCCTTGAGCCAAGTAAAATCGATTCAAGCACATTCGAGGAATCAAAGTAGGATAGAGTTGTTTCAAGTTGTCATTCGAGAACTTGCACGTTTCCTTGATAGTCTTCCAGAAGACACGGTTCAATACTGATGCTGCCATACGAACTTGTGACCAGTTGTCCGCCAAACCAGCTTTGAGAACCTTTACAATTGTCTTTCGCAAAGAGCCTGTTTCCAATAAGTGCCAATGTTTCTCGTTACTTCCAGCACTGACGGTCAACTGCTCCAATACTGCTATAGAAGCTGCTCGAACGTGACGATTGAGGTGAACAACGGCCGAATGCTCCGCGTTCTCTAAGAGTTGGTCCAACTGCAAGCCCGTTGTTTCGTAGTATTTATCTCCAAGAGAGGCAATCCAACAAGCTAGGCATTGCCAATTTGTCTCGAGTGCCCTCCAACCAGTAGTATCGTCCAGAGCACCAATTGAAGATTTACTGTATTTTTCAGGATTATCACGACCCTCTTCAATATGATCTTGGATTGATTTGACAATCTGGCTGTGAACGGCTTGGCGCTCGTCTTCGTGTTGAGCGTTGTCAATTCCAATGCTCCAAGTTGCGTGCGCACCCACAGCTTTTGCTACAAAGGTACGAACACGAGGTTCGTTGTGCTCCAGATACTTCAAACTGGCTTGGTGCAACCATGTAGCAACCTTCGAGAGCTGCTCCGGAGAGAATGAGCGCTCCGTCTTTGTTTCTGCATGTGATGCATTTTCCATGGGGACACGAGGCCCATCAATGTATACGGCTGAACTGGATTGATTGGCTGTGGCGTCGACCAGAATCTTGGTGGCCAGCAACAGCGAAACAGACAAGCCTTCCCAGCGTTCGCTTTCGTCGTTCATCAACATAAAGATTGCATCCAAGTAGTCCTTTGAAGATGTATCTTTCTCGAGGAGTTTCTTGGCAGCTTCGACAGCATTTGCAGAAACAGCGGGTTTACGCTTCTGAAGCGAGATCAGTGCTCTCGTGGGACTCGCAAAGTCCATTGTGAAGAGGTGTTTGGGGTTGAGTTGAATTGATTCAATCTTATGGTCGTGTCTTTTTTTGGGCTCCCATCGTCTGTTCGTCTTTCGACCAAACACGATCAATTTGCTACACATGTTAGGGGATTATACGGTAGAAGAGAATCAGAACCTAAAAAGGCAATGCATTCCGTTGTTGGAGAAAAAAATTCCAAGGACATTTTGAATGCAATTTAGCCTGTATTTCGTGTATTCTTATTCGATGTATTCAAGCCAGGCCTTTTTATCAAAGAATCATAATCCTTTACATCTCATCATCGTCATCTTCACCGATGTCCCCATATCGCCACATTCCAGAGCGGCTTCTGCGAGCATTTTCCTGTGCAACATTTAGTTCAGCGGCCAACTTCATGATGCTCGACCCATCGACCATACGCGATGCCAATGCTTTTGCGGAGGATGGCTTGAAAACTCTAGCAAGTCCAGCGGCAACGAGCTGAGTGTTAGCTGTTTCTCCAGACTCCGTAACAATAGAGGTGACAACCTTTCCAGATTCATCAGTTCCGTGAATACGTGCGACAATATCTTTACCCCAGCAGATGGACTGGAACATTTTTGCGCCATCAATACCATAGTCGTCGGTCAATGGTCGAGCCAATGCAAGGGCGAGACAGGCTTCCTTGGCGACAGCTGGGATCTTATCTGGGAGCAAACTGTCATCAAGAGGACGCAAATGTGTGGCAACTGGAACAGTGGCAACATTTCCGTGATCAATGAAGACAATCGTGACCTTCTCGGGGCTGAGCTTTTCCACGATCTTAGCTCTGTACCAACTCTTGCCAGAACCATCGTCAAACAACGCAGCGACGACTTTATGGACCTTTACGTCGCAAGGTGCTCCACCAGTTCCATTATTTGTGGTGAACAACTTCATGCTCTCTTCAATTACTTTCACGGTGTCGTCATTAACAATGTGGTAAAAGAAGTGCGCAGCACTGCGGATTTCGCTCACACGGATAGAAGCGACCTGCTCAGACACACTATCGTTCGTCTTCGTTTGAACCGCAGCGGTCGGTTGTTGTTCAACAGACCAAACTCCCATACGATTACTCTTTGCGGCAATTTGAGCATCGACAAGCTGCGGCGGTGCTTCTCCATAGTCAATCTTTCGTTGATCAACAGTAGCAAGACCAGCTCCAACCAACTCCATGGCAAAATCTCTTTCTTGGGCTCCAGAGCCAACGGTAATATTACCAGTGACGACTCCTCCATTGGTCACTCCTGTGCACGCAATGTCAACAGTTCGTTGCAGAACTGTCATACGGGCATGACGCTTGGAGGCATCACCAAATGGTTCTGCTGCCTTAGTTTGTCTGCTTCCGACGGGTGATGGCTGTGGGCACCTCAAGTTGGCTACAGCGAAAACGATGTGGCAGTTCTCAGCAGGGACAAACAACTTGTATCGGGCTCCATTGAAGCAATATTCAACAACGGCCTTGATCTTTCCTGCACGCATGAGGGCACCAGAGTATGCCTTGGCCTTTTTGGGATCAGTTAGATCATTGGTTGGGGTACGGCTGTATTCAGCATCGGAGTGAAGACCAACTTTGGCAGCCTTGGCAACAGCTTCGGCGGCACGGAGATCATCATATCTTGGAGAAGTTTCCTCACCATCTCTGTGAAATTGAGTGGTTGCAAGACCTTCGGAAATCAAAACTTCGCCAACATCTGCCTTGTTCTTGACCGCAACAGTACCGAACTGACGCTTTTCTGGCTTGTCTCCCATTGGGATTTCACGCTCGTAGTGAACTTGAACCTTGCATGGCTTACCAACGGTAAGAGAACGAAGTCTGTCCTTACATTCATAGGAGTAGTTTTCATCGGCACGGCCACTTCTGTTTCCAGCTCTTGGGGCACGGACAGATGCCAAGGAAACCTTGACAAGTTTGGTCTCGGAGTCATACAGTTGACCATCTGGCAAAATGTAAAGGGTATCTCCAGACAAAACTTCGACGACAATTCCAGAAATTTGTGCGGCACCACTCAACTTTGGTGGTTGGTAGGAATGCCATAATCCAGTTTTCGTTCTCTTGGAATTGGTTTCGGCGATTCGGAGGGCAGGAACATCCGCAGGATTCATCATGCGGGCAGTCCAGTCGGACATTTTTGCGAATCCATTCTTGAGCAATTCCACAGCAATATTTCCTTTTGGGTGATGGATGGTTCCGACGATGGTTGATCCAGACTTGTCAGTTCCATGTAATGAAATATCCAATTCTCTTTGAAGCAATCTCAATTCAACGAAGTCTCTGGCTTTCTCTGCGAACTCTTCTGGTGGCGTTGGTGGATCAGCACGTGAATTTCCGAGACGAGGGCAAGAGACACCAGCAAGGAATAGTGTGAAGCTAGCATATTGCAGGTCTCCCATTGCCGGATCGACGACTTGCATTCGGAAACGGTTACCGTCGAAAATATATTCGATAATACACTTGATCTTGCCATGGTTTCCGTGCTTTTTGCTCTTTTGTACCAAAGCGGAAGCCTCAAAGTCGTCACCAGAAGTCTTCAACTTACGGACTAAGGGCGATGAAGAGTGAATTCCAATACTGGCAGTCTTAGCTTCTTGGTATGCCGATTTCAACGCTTTTTTGTACTCATCCGCATCTTCACTATTGTCGTCCAAAACTGTATTCTTTGGGGTAGCATTTCCATTTCTAACAGCTTCTACGGCAATATTGATGGGTTGCGCAGTGCCTGGAGGAGTGAACATCAACAAACCATAAACACGATCTCCAGCCGATGCTCCTTGCTTTACAGTTTCAAATTGAACCATTTTGCCAGCAACCAAACGACGTAGCCATTCACGAGCATCGAAGGATCCTGGTTCGTCTACATTTCCGTTTCCTTTTGATGCCAATCTGAATTATTGGAAGAAGATGCCGTGGAAAGACATTCAAAAAGCATGTGAGATACATCCACCAATGCGAAGCCACGATGTGATGGACATGAAAACATTTGCGCTTTCAGACACCCGTCTTTGGAGAGTGATCCAATTCAACCCTATCCTCAGATGTGACATCTTTCTGTCATCAATCTTCTTAAGCTCACCTTGGAGAGAGGACAGATTCCAGGGTGAAAGTAACCTCAGGAGCCGTTCCAGTCGCGGTTGGCTTTCCGGTCAAGACGACAGTGTCGCCGCTAAGAACGTTCTTAACACGAGCAACACCTCTGCTGGGAAGGATTGTGGGAGCAGACATATTTTGTTTATGGGAATAGAGTAAGTGTCGAAAGGGAGTTGCGCGAGTGTGGAGGGACGAGAAAGGACGCCTTGGATGGGAATGATGTCCTTGGTCCTTGTTGGATCGGTCTTATTTTTCACCTGAGATCGAACAACGCGGAATCCACTAGAAATCCATACCACAAAAGATTCTCCAATAATCACCGCATATTGAATATTTCGCACGTATTTCAGGGGCGGGGGAGAACAGACGTATACGGGATGACGCAAGTACCGAAACAAAAATCAAAATCGCGCCGAATCAATCTATTATTCACAAAGAAAATCAAGCTTCAAGCTTCAACACCCAAGTCATCATCAACCTAAACCAATTGACAATGAATACCCAGCTTCGCTTTACCGCACTATTCACCCTTTTCCTGTTGCAAAATGCAAATTGCTTTGTGGCTGATTCCCGAAACTTCATCCGAGGCGAAACCATGTTGCATGCCAAATCATCCTCTGACGCTGATGTCAGCATCATGGAATCCAATGAGAATCCAGGAAGAAGAGACTTCTTAGCAGCCGCAACCATGTCTCTTGGTGCCGTTTTTCTCCCTGCGCTTCCAGCTTTCGCTGACGATGAAGACGCTGGAACAACCTTGCACATTCTAAACTACCCGGTTGATGGAAAGTGTGGCGAAGCCAAGGTGCCAGATGCAGGCGTATTCTTTGCAAAAACATTTGGCAAACTTGAAGATGGATCTTGCGCTGCTGAGGGATACGCTGTGGATGAAGGAACAGCAAATGGAACTGGAGAAAAGGATTCAAAGCGCACGTACAGCGTCTATGGAAAATAACAATGCACCATCATGGTCGAAATTATGATACTGCTTCCAGAATCATTGCTAAATTTCAACACACGTGTGGTTGGAAGCCTTAGCCTTATAGTTAAAGAACTTTCTGGCATTCGAGAATAATTGTATTGGCTTTTATCAAAAGGGCCGTTAACAGTGATGCGTTACCGACATAATCTTGGATTTTGGGACTGATTCATTTATTCGTTTTCCCAAGTCCATAGAGTAGATCGCCAGTCAAAAGCTTAGTTCGCCTTCTTCCTTGATTGATGCACTGCAATGGCAACGACTCCAGCGAGGACCAACAAACCTTCCGTCCAGAAACCTTGTCGAGTCTGTTGTTTTTTTCGCTCTTTTGCCTCGTTTGCGCCTTGCAAAAAGATGGATCGAAGTGGAAAGACGACATTGCAGGCATCGTCAATTACTTGCTGATCTACCTTCATTTCCTTTAGTGTCTCAGAAAAATGTCCCATCACGCGATCGAAATATGTTTCGTCGAGGCCTTTGTCAAAGAGTTGTTTGTGGCGGACCAAGATCAAGTGCTCTACATCAAAACTTTCTGGTACTTCAGTAAATGCTATACTCATGAGATTGAATTGATGCCATTTCAATATCATGAGATCGGCTCCATGAAAAAACTTTGCTAGTCGTTCGTCATTGATTTGTCGGTTGTAGAAGGTGTCTGTGGCTTTGCTGAGGACCTCCTTCCCGCCCAGTTTTTCGAGCATTCTATGCTTCCGTTCGTTTGCCCCATAGTGTAATAATGATGTTGACATAATGAATTAGAAATTGGTCAGTACGAGTTTTTTAGTGAGATTATTTGTGAGATTCTTGTAAGTGAAGTTGAGATGTGGATGGTTCGTGACATCTTTTCAAAGGAGTTCGGTTTTTCAGACTGACTCGTCTGCCTGTCAGCCTGCCTACACGTATTTGAGGGGAATGACTTTTGCTATGATTCCACCGTAAAAGACTCCTTTGGATATTGTCCCCTAATGGCATACGAATCGCAACCAGCGGTATGCATGATAACATTACCGGTAGGAGTACTGTCCCAGGTACCACCGCTGTTATCGCGCTGCAGCTTCAGAAGCAGACAGACAATAAATGCAAGCTTTAGCATAGCAAGGAATTGTTTATTAAATTTCAAGATTTCACAAAGAACTGATACTGTAGAACAAGTGTTTTTAGAAGCCTGGAATTCGGAGTTGATCACAGTATCTCCACAATACCTCTGGCGATACAAGACCGTCGACTTCGTGAACAATCGAATTCTTCACAGCAAAAGAGCCAACAATCTTGGCACTTGGTCCAACGACAATATCACCGTCCTCTTTCGCTCCAAATCCAAGAAAGCCACCAGATTTACTTCTTCCTACAGGGATTTCACCTCCCATCGTCACGACAGCAGCAATAACTGTGTTTGGTTTGCTTCCATCCTTTGGTCTTCCTTTCGTCCAGTCTTCTGTCTTTAACTCTGTCGCGGAAATGGATTCACCAGCAATGACATGATACAATCCCATCTTACGCCGGGTCTCGTCATTTCTTGGATCCTGTAGTTGAGCCATCTTCTTCTCTCCAAGTGCCTCAATCGCGGATTCGCTTGGAGCAAAAATGGTAGCTTTATTCCCTAATATTGCCTTCTTCATGTCATCATCGAGAAACAAATCACTGAAGGTGGGAAACTTCTTGCTCAAGAATTTTTCGATTTCATTAGTCTCAGAGTCTTCAACCAAAGCATCACCTGAGGCATCACTCTCTACGAAACTCCGCAAGTCTGGTCTTGGACTTCTGCTGGTATGGGGAAGCAGTGCGCTCGATTGAGCAAGAAGAGATAGCAGAAAGACGATTCGTGTCATCGTTTTGACTTGGCAAGAATAGAATGATAGAATAATAAATCAGGCGTAGAACGTTTTCTTCGATTGACGTCGAACTTTCTATGTCGATTGACTCCCTCGAACCAACTTTATTACCTCCGGGTTCCTAGTATTGGATACTGTAGAGAAGGGATACTGTAGAGAAGGGATACTGTACTGCTGCAGTGCTGGATAGAGAAAGGGATACTTTACTGTACCGGTACCGTACGAGTACCAGGTAGCCTGGTATCTAGACTTAGCTCTAGACCACAGCAGGATTTTTCACCATTTCATAGCGTTTTATAAGGGGGAGAAGAATACTCGTCCATTTGCACCTTTCGATCCTAAAGCTGTCCGAATACGTCTCCACTCCGACCATGATATTCCTGGTCATTGTCTACCCTGGTACCCTGGCCCTACAGTACCCTTCTATGCTCTTGGACTTTTCAAATAAGTCTCCAGTTATAAGTGGTGTCCAAAGTAAAAATAGTGGCTGAGCGAAAAGAAGTTGAAACTTGGTGGTTTGTAATGGTTCTCGCATCAGTAACAATCTCTACATAAAATATACAAGCAGTGACGGCATGATTAAACCTCAAATCTAGTCTGCAGCGACTGTAGCAAGTGAGATTTCTTTCAATTGGTTGGCATTTAGTTTAACGGTCGTTGATGGTAACATCAACCTCGACTCCAGGTTCGATTGGGATGCTGGTCACTTTCTTGACGACATCAGATGGAGCGTGCAAGTCGATCAAACGCTTGTGGATGCGCATTTCGAACTTGTCCCAGGTGTTGGTACCCTCGCCGGATGGTGCCTTACGGGTGGTGATCTTCAACTTCTTGGTTGGAAGACGAACAGGTCCGCTAACGTGCAACTTTTGGTCCAAAGAGGCCTTCTTCAAATCAGCGCAGACCTTTTCCAAGTTCTGGACGTTACGAGAAGTAAGTGTGATACGGATGCGGTGGACAACCTCGTCAGCTGGGGCGGCAGCGACATCTTTCTTGGGTGGGAATGACATTTTCTAATAAATCTACTTCAGACTGCGCGTTGAGACGATTTGTGTGAGATGATATTGACTGTGATTCATTCATTCATTCGTCATTGGTGATGTGAATGCGTTGACGTACCTAGAGCAAAGTGAGAAGGCTTTTGTTGCTATGTTTGAAACAGCTTGAAAGTCGTCTATGCGTGGATTGAAGCGGGTAAGTTCCTGTTTCAACCAATGTGGTTTGGACTACCCACCAGTATCAATCCAGATACCGCTTACTAAGAGTTGAAAAAGACAGATATAGGCCTTTCAAGAATGGGGTCGTATGCGTCGCACTCGAACAAGTCGACTTTTTATTCAGAAGTCATTCACGACATGATACTGTGTGCACAAGATGGAGAAGAATGGAGGCATCTACAGATTGGCGTTTGATTGTTACTACAGCGGTGACATTGGGGTATGCATTTTACAGATGGATTAAAACGTCTGGTGAACAAAAGATCAAAGACGGAATCATCTGCTGTTCGAACAAAGACTGCATTCGGTGCCAGAGATATCATCAAGTTCAAAAGTCGGCACAGTCACGATACCCATGGATAGCGAGAGATGTGAAAAAAGAATACCCAGAACAATCGCTGGAAAGAGTCCGACGATCGATACAGAACCCAACCATCGCAAAAAGTAGGGTCCAAGCGCCTACAGTACTGATGCTCCGAAACCTGCCGTCGCAATCGGTAGTAACAATTATGCATAAGGATTTACATGAGCGCTTTCAGGATATTCAAATTCCTTCGAGAATCTTGCAAGAAGCGCAGAATGCCCTAGATCATATGTGGTCAACAAACGATTCTCACAAAGGCACTTGGAAAGTGCTGCCATTCATGAATCAAGGTTGTTGGGTTTTCGATGTGTGCAAAAGGTGTCCAAAAACTTTCCAGTTCATCGAGTCACTGCCAAATCTTCTCGACGATTGCTTGTTTGGGAATGCCATGATTTCGAAAATTTCTCCTGGAACAGTGATAGAGCCTCATTGTGGACCAACGAACATCCGACACCGCCTTCAGATGGCGTTGCAGATTCCGTCCAAACGTTGTGAAATGTCTCTTCAAGTTAGCGACTCGAGATTGGAATGGGGCAAGGAGGGTGACTATTTCGTCTTTGACGACTCCTTTATTCATTCTGTGAACTTTACGAGTCAACCTGGTGCCCATCCGACAGCTGCAGAAGAGCGAATTGTGCTCATTGTGGACTTGTGGCATCCCGAATTGACTCCGGCCGAGAAATGCGTGCTACAGAACGTCTACCCTCCATCCTCTTCTTGAAACTGGATGAAGCTCGGTTGAAAGTGAGTAGGAAATGCCTATCATGTTTATATATTATGTGAGGAGAACTTAACAGTTGAAGTTAGCAACCGCTTTCAGATCAACTTTGTTGACTTTGGCAGCAAATCGGAGACTGCACAAACTTTCATGGAAATGACTCTGCAATGGATTGCAGCAAACGATGGCAAGAGTCTTCGAGTTCCCTCCAAGACTATTTTGCAGCAAATGCGTCAACTTGGATTCCCTGTATGGCACATTCTTATCGCCTGCTTGGAGCTTCTCGATCACATTTGATAGGACACTCAAAGAAGTGTTGATGTGTTTGGTTTCTCGGAGCAATGAACTTCCGACTCTTTCATTTGCATTACTCTTTCCTAGACGCTCCGATCCAGCAAGGTCGCACACATGCAGTTTGCCAACTCGTTGAGCCCCTTCTTTTGTTTGAACTTTAAAGAAGATTGTGAAAATCATGTGACTTCTGGATGATACTGCATTGGAGGATGTTGCTTTAACACATCGTCGCTTTTGAGCTCTCTCGAGAATACGATGAACCTCTTCTTGGCTGCTGACTGGCACGATTTTACTCCCAACAGCTTCATTAGCTGATATTTTCAAGGTGAGCTCTTGACCGTCAGGACCGCTGTTAGGTACAAGTAAGTCCCGGACTTTTTCATTATAGACTTCTAGTAGTTCAACTGCTAGCTCAACTTTCTTTTCCCCGCGAGATAAATTGACCATGTCAGTCTTGGCGCTGAAAAGCATGTTGACAGCTCGTGAAACAATGCCTTCGTTGCCATTTTCCCCAAGCATGGTAAATGTCTGCATATGAGGGTGAAAATGAAATGAGTGCATGTTCTTTTTAGGGCACAAGCATACCAGCCACTCAGAAACCAATACATACCTTTCCAGATCCAGTCTGCCCATATGCAAATACGCAGACATTAAAACCATCAATTGCGCTTTGGACCAATGGTTCAGTAGCATTCCAGACATCTTCTTGACCATGTGACGGGTCGAAGATGTGATCAAACCCGAATGTCCATTTCTTCCTGCGTGCGCTCAAACCTCCGCGATCCTTGAATGGTTCTGTCACTTCCACAATATTCTTTGTTGGGTCATCAGATCCAAATCCTTGCGACTTCTTTGCCATGCGTTCGTCAAGACCAACCAATTGCCCGGGAAAGTGGAATGGACTTTGGTCTTCGATTTCTTGGAGCTTTCTCTTCTGGCCACGTGTAGCAAGCTTTTTGGTGTATTCTTGTGGTTGCTCTGATTCATTGTCAAGTGCTGGTCTCACACGAACATAGACGCGAATATTTCCGCTTAGCTGCATCACTCGGTTGTGAAGATCGCGACGAACTTGATCACTCGCCCGCAATTTCTGAAATAGCGCCTCTTCGCGTTCGTCGAAAGTGGCCATACGGGTCTGGGCATCATCACGCTCTCGAGTAGTCTTCTGCAGCTTGCTTTCAAGCTCTACAATCTTGTGTTGCATCACCATTCTCGCTTTGTCGCTTTCTTCCAAAGACGCAGATTTCTTTTCACCTGTGGAGACGAGATCATCCATAAAAGTTTTGTTTTCATCAATTATCTCATTGGCCTTCGCAAGTTTTTCTTCGAGCTCCTTTTTCTCTTTTGTTGCTTTATCCAATGCCTGCATCGATTTGTCCAAAGAATTTTGAAGCGCTTGGTTTCGCTTTTCCATATCGAGCTTGAGGTTTTGCAGGCTCTCGCCCATGTTGTTCACTTTTTCTGTCTCGGAGGCGAGATCTTCTTCTGCAGATGCAAGATTCAGTTCGAGTTCGTCAATCAAAGTCTTTTTGTCGCAAAGATCTTTCTCCATTTTCTCGAAAACCCCGACGCTCTTCTCGTTCAACTCTTGGAAGTTTCTTCTTTCGTCCTCATTCTGCTCGCCCATGGTCTTGATTGTATCTTTTAGACCTTCGATTTCCTTCTCGTATTGCAACATCTTTTGTCTCGCCTCTTTTGCGGCTTCTTCAAGACGATCAATTTTGGCCAACGCATCTGCAAGCTGTTTTTCGGATTCTGGCAACAGTTCCTCTTCGAACATATGGATCTGCTCTTCATAATCAGCTGTTCTTCCAACCAACGAATCATAATTTTTTTTCACTCGTTCGAGTTCTTTCGTCAGTTCGAAATTAACCTGGTTCAACGAGTCTTGGTCACCTCTCAATGTCGTTTTCTCCGTGTCGATCTCCGCCCTGAGTGCCTCAAGCCTAACTTTGCTGTCAGCTAGATTCTCACGTGTTGTGGCAATTTCCTTTTCAAGATTGGTCACCTTTTCTTTGAGAGACAACTTCTCATCTTGAAGGGCATCTCTCTGATTTTCCAACTTTTTTCGAGCTTCCTCAAGATCACGAATCTTGATTTCAGCCTCACGCTGGGTTACTTCAAGTTCTGCAGCTAGACGAGAGTTGCTGGATATCAATCGGTCATGTTCGGATGAATACCTGGACTCCAACTCGTTTGCTTTTGATTTCCAAGCCTCCTTCTCTTCTACAAGAGATGAGTTTGTTTTCGCCAACTCTTCATTGCGCAATTGCTCGCGCTGTGCCTTGAGATCAAAGGCCCGAAGTTGCTCCTGTGTGTCACCTGGTTGCTTTTTGTTCTGTTCCACTAGTTGTTGGATTACTTCCGTCAGACTGCTGACCTCCTCGGCGATGCGATCCGTGTTTGTTTCACCAGAAGTTGTGGCTTCAAACGAAGAAACATGGCTCCTGGCTTCAATATCAACCTCCATGTCTTGCGGGGTTGCTATCATACCACTAGACTTCATTGGCATGTCAATAGTTTCCTTCTTTGCATGCAAGGAGTCTTCGCTGTCGAACTTCAGGGTAGCACGAGGACCTCTTTCACCATATTCATCTTTGGGTGGAGAAAAGTTGAACCGACTAACAGACAATCGCTTCTTCTTTGCAGATCTTGTTTCTCGAGGTGACCTGTTGCCTCTTTCTTCGGCGACTGCATCGAATAGAATAGGTGGGGTTAGGTTGTGTTGTGCAGCTGCTCAAATTGGTGAATCGTGTCGTACCTTTCCAGTAAGGTGTTGGTGATGGCGGAACTTTCAAGCCATCGTTTTCCTTCCCTTGTTCACTGAATTTCACTGATTGGTTTTCTTCATCGTGAGTTTCAATGTTCATGCTCTTGTTTTCCTTTTCTTGAACTTTGTTCTTCTTCCGAGTTTGTCTTGTTTGTCGGCGAGTAATCACTTTTTGTGTCATTTCACGTTTTTTCAATTTGTCCAACTTTGATGGGTTTACCTGAGTTGACCCGTGAATTGTTGATGGTAAAGATAGACGCCTGGAGACATTAGAGTCAACACTGCTGTTTGAGAAGCGCCTAGCAAGCGGCATCGTTTCTAGTTTTGATGGTTTGATGATGATTGAGAATTTCAAGATTACCAATTTTTTTGAATTTCAAGAAAATAACGGAAAACATAGGTGCTGACTTAGTGCTATTCAACTGAGCCTGCCCCACTTTTTTGACCGACAATGACGGACATCAGAGCTTCAATGCGGAATTTTACAAGCAATGGATGATGGTACGAATTCTAGTCCGCAATGGCACAAACAGCTGCAAGAATACGACCAAATGGAGTAAGCACTACAAATTCCAATCCACTGTTAAAGAATCCCCTCTTCAGCAGGAATGGTTTACAAATAGATGAAAGCGAATTGATGGAAGATGAAGAACCTGAACACGATATTCTGCCGCTTGATGAAGTCAAATTACTGCAAGAAAGAGCGAAGACTTTGGAACACCCAATGCCTGTTTTAAACTTTTCTCCAGCAAGTGGTGGTGGAGTTTTACAGCGTGTACAACTGGTTGGAATCTTCCCTACTACAAGATGGCTTCAGGATCCCACCATGCCAGCTGATGTGAAAGAACTTTTTGGAGGTACCCCTTTCCATGCATTGGGAGAATATCGAGTGGGATACCTGGATTTACAAGAAAGCATATTGACAGCGACGCATAGGCATAAACTACTCATGATTGTGAATACTGGGGCTCCTGGTTTGGAAACAGGTTACTGGGGTGGTGCGTTTGATCGATTGACAAACAAATGCCTCGCCAAGTTTAAATGCACTGGAGAACTAGAAACCACAGTGAAAGAAGAGTCAAACCCTGGTGGAGGAGATTTCTTTGTAGGATTTGACAATACCGATTTTCCGGAGTTTGTGGATGGCAAAACACCACCCGGGATATGTGTGACACCATTTGAAAAGTTGCTTGGAGTCACTGCCCAGTTTATGATACGGTTGCAGTGGACTGGAGTGGTACATGATTCAATGATTGACATTGTAGACAAATCCTCTCGAGATGAGAGGAAGCAACGCGCACAAAATAGATTTAAAACCAGATAACAACACTCATTAGAGGTTCTCATCGTCACCTTGAAGCCTAGCCCGATGCTCAGAAGACGACCATATTGATAAAGAAAGAATGATTATTTTTTACTTATTCTGTTTTCCTTCGAGGAGATCAGCTGGTGTCAATCCCTTAGAGTCGCGATCCGTATGGGGAACTCCAGCCTTCATCAACAACTTGGTTATTGGTTCATTTCTTTGTTCAAATGCCCACCACATCGGACCTCTTCCGTCCTTGCTTCTCATGAACGCAATAGCAGGTTCTTCCTTCAACCATTGCTCAAGCTCGTTTACTTTGTTTGAAGCAATAAGATTCCACATCAATGTCGTGTCCTCGGTGTCTTGCCATTTATTGTACAATTCGTCTGCTCTTTCCTTTGCTCCCTTACCTCCCCCCGACTTTTTCTTATCTGTAATCTCCTGACGTTCCCGCATACGAGCATCTCGAGCAGCCTTAGCCGGATCGTTGAGAGCTTCAAAGTACTGCTTTTGGTATTCTTCATCTGCGTCACCACGGTTGAAATCTTCAAGTTGGGCAAAGTCCTTCTTTCCAGATAAAACGTGTTGCAATCCAGGAGGATAGGTTCCTGGACAGAACCAACTTCCTTCAGTATCACATTTTCGGTTGCTTGCAACCCATTCCTTAGACTCCTGAGATACACCCAAGATCTTGTAAATACGGACACGCCCGTACTTCGATCTGTAGACCTCCACCCACTTCTTGGGATCGGCCTCGACATCGGGCTTCACCTTGTTTCCGTGAAGACGGTACAACAACGATCTTTCCATCATTGGTGATGGTGACCCTTCTCGATCCTGGTTTGCAGCAAAAGAAGAGAGGTTTAGAACGATGTAAATATGAGATGAAAATATATTTTCCAATGTAACGTACCACAAATCCAAAAGCTCGGCATGTTGGATCACCAGCAGGGCAGTGATTACGGTATACAGAGTTGGCGATACGAGCAAGATGAGGACTCTTTGCCAAGTCGTCACCACCGCCACCACCCCAAACTAGAACGTAGTCGGCCATGTGACGAGCAATTTCGTAACCTTCTTCTTCGGAGGTAGTCAACGCTTTGCCCAAGAGCGCAATGTGCTCGTGGTTCCATGTGTTTCCGTCAGCAAGAGTAGTTCGGTTTGCAATAGCAGTGATTTGGTATCCGTAATCCCACCATGCCATGATTCGAGAATCTTCAGGAGTGTTATCCTTTAGCCACGTATATGCATCACGATAGTCATCTACCTTGATAATTCGCCCATCACGCAACCTTGCCTTAACAATAATTGTTGGATTCGACAGATCGCCTGAGAGCTTCCAGCAGTACGAAGCAAAGTTAATTGCAAGGATATAACCCATCAAAACGATCATTGCAGCCAACGATCTCTTCACAATGACACCTTCACTGCTATTGACAGCACTGTCCCACGAGGCCTTAAGGGAAGAAAAGTCATCCGACGAAGCGTTAGTGCTCGTAGTCTTCTTGCCCTTCTTGTTCTTTCCACGCTTCGAGCCAATGTTGCCATCGTTTGTTTTGTTGCTATCGGCAGTTGATGGCTTCTTTTCTTGCGTATCCCAGAACTGCCTGATGCACCATGCGAACACTCTTCCAGCAGCAATACCTCCCAGAACGCTAGCAATCGGAGCTGTCAGCAGAATCAAACGGACCATCTTGTGAGAAAAGAAATAAGCTGCAGCCCCCCAGACGAGCAAAAAACTAGATGCGTCGCTCAAGTTAGCGAATACCATCATGAACCCAATTGGGGCAAGACTACACACATGGTGCAAATATTGGAAATATGCGCGAGAACTTGCAGGTTGATGCTCTGCAACAGAGTCGACCAGTGGGTTTCCTGTCTTTGTATGCTTCACAAATAGACCTCTGACACGAGACGACAAAGGTCCAAAGTAACCCTTTGGTGCCAATGCCATGATCAAGACAGCTCCCAGAGCTGCAGCAGCGGCAAAAACCTGAATTCTCAGTAATAGTAGTCCTGTTCTCGACATTTTCTTCTTGCCTTTGATAACATCGCAGACTTTCAGCAGCTGATAAGCTAGGAATACAGCACATGGACCAAGCTGCTCAAGCGACTTCAAAGGAGCCCAGCCGACAACAGGAACCTGAATTGCCAATGCTGTACCGATGAAATAGAAAAGAGAGTAGCTGGTGTAGACTTTATTGGAGAATCGTCCTGCAGCGACCAAGCCGGCTGCGTGCACCCCCACCATATTCACAACAAAGATATAACCACCCCAAGCTGCAACCATGTAAAAATAGGCCAAAGCTGACAGGGCACCCCACCACGCCGACTGCTCATTTCGGAGACTACGAACCCAGCAGTAAAATGTGATCACCATGGCAGAAACAGCGATGGACTCGTTATCGTATCCTCCACCAACACTTCTCATCAAATGAGCTGGTACAATGGCCATCATGCCCAAGGCAAAAACACCACACTCGACTGCCGGCGACATGTATCCCAATGCCATTGGTCGTTTCACTCCTTTTAGTTCCGTGCGTTTTCCTTTGACGAGATCAATCAACCATTGAAGGATATTTGAAGATGAATTTTCAGGGAGGGCACACTCATAGGCTAACATTCCTGTAAACACGCTCGCGATAGCACCAAACCAGGCTGGCATGTAACAACAAATGTCGTTCAAAGACCAAGACTGCAACAGATATCTCTTGATGTACACGGCTGTAAATTGCATACCAGGAAATATTGTAGTTCCTACAGGTCTTCCTAGGGGATACCATACCATCGTGTCGAACCATTGGAAGAATTTCTTGGCACCATGGTCAAATAGATACTGGAAAAAATATGACAGGTGAGCTAACTTGAGAAAGACGATGGTTTCAACGGCAATCATAACTTTTAACTCACTTCCGTTGCCCGAAAGTTAAAGTAAGGATCGAACTCATGTATCACAGGTCCGTACTCTTTGATAGCTGCCAATCGAATGTCATAAGCTGTGAAGATGATTGTTCCAATCGCATATGCGGCAATGCCAAACCAAGCCCAGGAATAAATCTCATCTGCCTGAGACTTCGATGCTGCTTTCTTGGCCATATTCAACAATAAGCAAATTCTTGTCTTTCACCAATTAATCAACGTATTTGACTGACAGATAAAGCGTTGCCCTTCTCTCTGTCGATATCCTTTTGGTTTTGTCGCCCACCAAAATTAACCGTCCCGGAGAAGCATTGCGAAGGATGCGGTAAAGGATATTTGACTAGAAGGATTGAACGGTCGTCAATGCAAAAAACTTTATTAACCGCTAAGTTAGTCCTACTGCAGCTCTCATTCCTATTACTCTCCTGGGCGACGCCCGTCAGAATCCTTCAATTGATCCGAGACACCAAGCTTTGCGAGTACTTCAGCCATCTTTGGGCGGTTGTATTCGTGAGCCCACCACATGGGCCCTCTACCATCTGCAGAACGAATGTGCGCTAGTTCAGGATATTGCTGCAGCGCATCAATAAACTCTCTTCCATTGCCCGACGAAATGAGATCCCACATCAGACTTGAGCGTTCGTTGTCCTCCCAATGTTCATTCAGTACTTTGATGGCTTCCTCGTCAACTTTTTCGAAAGATGGTTTCTTCATCTTTTTCTTTGATCCTGCTCCCCCTTTATTGCTATCGAGAAACACAATGGAAATGAGTTCGTGCTAAAGTACGTCCACAAGGAACCCAAACGTCCCACTTACTTCAAGTTTTCAAAGTACTGCTTCTGGTACTCGGCATCGCCGGAGACACCACGATTGAAATCTTCCAGCTGTGCGAAATCTTTCTTTTCCTTCAAGATCTTCTCGAGAGCAGGAGGATATTGGCCTGGACAAAACCACGAATCTGGAGCGTCGCATTTCCTGTTATTCTTTACCCATTCTTTGGACTCCTTGGAAACACTCATGACCTTGAAGATTCGAACCTTGCCGTTCTTGCTCATGTAAACCTCCTTGAATCTTTGGGTGGAATTGGCTGTTTAGCATTGAACGAAACATTTTTTTGGCTGCGAGGATCCAGACTTACCGATTGCGGTCCGCTTCAACACCTGGAGCGATATTGTGACTGTGTAAACTATATAAAAGACTTTCCTCCATCTCTGGTGTAGGCTCCCCTTGTCGCTATGAAAAATTCGACTGTAAGTAACAATCATTGGTGAAGTACCACCATATACGTGATTCACTTACGTAGAATCCAAAATCCCGGCATGTGGGTTCGCGGCATAAGCCTCGGTAGACAGAGTTTGCGATTCTCCGCAAGTGTGGGCTCTTGGCAACATCATCTCCACCACCACCGGCCCAAACCAATACGTAGTCAGCTAAATGCCTTGTGATTCGATGGGCATCCTTCAATGGACTTGTCAAGATGCGACCTAGGAGTGCAATGTGCTCATGATTCCATGTATTGCCATCGGCGATAGTTGTTCGGTTGGCAATGCCAGTGATTTGGTATCCATAGTCCCACCAAGCCATGATTCTAGCATCTTCAGGAGTATTATCACGCAACCAAAAGTATGCTTGACGATAATCATCAATGATGTAGTCACCATGTTTCATGATGATGGTTGGGTGAGACAAAGCATGTGACATTTGCTCGGCCTTGTCACGGAAACTGTCCACAGCTGGCATAATTTCCATAATGGCCCATGTAGCGATGAGAAGTCGCACGAGACGAGTCCATAGTGGGTCACCACCGTTGTTGTCTGGCCCCGACTCCGATTTGTCGTTTCCATCGCCGCTTCCTGTGGTGTCCTTCTTCGACATGCCTTTCTTCTGCTTCTTCTTTTCCTTTGACTTCTCTACTTTTGGTTTCTCTACTTCTGCCAATTCTGTGGCCGTGACTTCCTCTTCTTCAAACATAAAGTCAATGGAAGGCCGGGCATCGCCAAAGATCGCAGCCATTGCCCATGCCCATCCATACCCAAGGGCGATACCTCCACAAATACTTGCGATGGGGGCTGTGAGAAGGATCAATCGTACCATTCTGTGACTGAAAAAGTAGGCAGCTACACCATACGTGATCAAAAAGCTACTGGCAGGGGTGCATCCGATTAGCCCGACTATTCCAAAACCGATGGGTGCAATATGAACGGCAACATCGAGATATTGCTCATACGCTTGCGGGGATGCTGCTTGATGCTCAGCCACAGAGTCGACCAAGGGATTTCCAGTTTTTGTGTGCTTTACAAACAAGCCTCTCACGCGAGATGAGATTGGTCCAAAGTATCCAATGGAATACAGGTAGTACAATACTGGCAAGGCAACAATCATTCCTCCCAAGACAACATAAGTGCGGACCTTCCACTTGTTCACCTTCTTGTATTTTTGCTCCAGAATTCTCATAAGTTGCAATACTTGAAACCCAAGGAATACCCCGAGTGGACCCAGCTGCTCAAGGGATTTGATAGGTGTCCAGCCTACCACAGGGACTTGGATAGCCAAGAAAGTGCCCACGATATAAAAGCTAGTGTACGATTTGTACAAGTGATCCCAAGGTGTTATTCTCAGAAGGAAAAGGATCACTGCATGTACACCAATAAGGTTGATGACGAAGACGTAGCCACCCCATGCTGCTACCATGTAAAGATAAGCGAAACCAGTGATAGTACCGAGTACAATCGAATAGCTTGGACTGGCGAGTGTCCAAACCCAGAACCAGAATGTCAGTTGCATCGCAGTCGTTGCGACACTCTCGTTGTCATATCCTCCCCCAATACTACGCATCAAGTGAGCAGGAACAACGCTCATAATAGAAGCTGTGAACACAGCCGACTCCAATGCGGGAGGATTCTTGAAGGTAGGCAGACCCCAAGTAGAACCAGTCATGTTTTTCAATTGTTTCTCAGCGAATTTGGCAGCAGGGATGAGGAGTTTCTCAGTCAGGAAAGAAACAACAGGAAGATTCTGTAGGATAGATTTCTTCTTCGATGATTTGATGGAATCGACTGCCACATAACACACAGCAGCCGTAGCGAGTGTTGCGAGAACACCAAACCAGGCTGGAACTAAGCAGCAAATGTCATTGATGCTCCAATCGGGTAAGATGAACATTTTGATCCACATACTCGTAAATTGCATTCCAGGGAAGATGGTGGTTCCAACGGGACGTCCAAGAGGGTACCAAGATTGATAATCGAACCAATGAAAGAATTTAGTGGTACCATGCTGCCAAAGATATTCAGCAGCACGATAGTTGAAATAAGGATCAAATTCGTGGATGACTCTTCCATACTCCTCAATTGCTTTCATGCGTATTGTAAAGGCATCTTTACAAGCATTCAGAAGAATTTGGGAAAATCCAACAATGTACAATCCACAGAGAATGAAGTACGCCGTGCTTGAGAGAATGCTCGACTTGTTGGATGGATCGGTTGTTGTTGGTGTTGACATGTTATTGTGGTCTGCAATGATTACTTTCTCAGCTCAAAAGGAAGCAAATTGTTCAACAAATAAGCTCAATTGTGGACTGGCAGTTCCTTAAGGCTATACCACCTTCCTACTGTAGTCGATTGCTTTGATGATGTCCGGTGGAGTTTTCAGTCCAATGACTTCCACAGATCTATTTGTTTCACGGATGCTTGGAATTTCCATCTGCGGTGTCGCGCGATTTCAATCGAAGCGCGCGTAAATCGACTCTATTTCTCCACTTATCCAACTCGGTTGGTACGTCAGCAAACACATCACAAAGAAAAGTTTCGAAGATCCACTCAAGATCCACTCACTCAATCAATCGTACTGACACAACAGATTTCCAAATCAGATAAAACAAAGTACCATGAAGATTGTTGCCCCGTTGATCGCTCTTTTCGCTTCTGCTTCGGTAAGTCTCAATTGGAGAGCAGAATAGCCAAAATTTGGAAGTAGGCAGCTAGGCTCTCACCACCACTCCAATCACAGGCATTTGCCCCTGCTTCCGTTTCTTCTCGCCAAAACATGGCCCTCAACGCCGAGGACGTCCCATTGGCCAATGGTTCCATGTCATTCAACCGCGTCTGTAGAGAGTGGCGATGCAAGTACGAGGGAGATAAGGCTACCTCCGAATCCCTCGAGGCCATCTCCAAGGTCGTTGACGAGTACCTACCTGATCTCAAGAAGCTCAGTGATGGCGTCAAGGTCAATCGTTTGGTCTGCGGAGGATGCTTGGACTTCAAGCTTATGACCACTGTTCCTCTCGAGGACTTTGGCCCATGGGAAGAAAGGTAAGATGTTCTGGTGTTGCACGTACAGGTATTTTTCGAGCTTCAATGGCGCTAACCCAGCTTCATCGTTCGGTTGCAGTGGATACGCCCCAGAGAAGGACTTTTTGGAGAAGATCAAAGCCATCCCAGGTGTCTCCCAAGTGGAAACACAAACGATCACAAACATGGAGATCTAAGCTACCGCCAAAATAGAATAGCTAACATGAATAATATACCCCATAGCGATGGAATAAATTTTGTTGTAGCAAAAAATAGTGTATAAGCTTTGCAAGAACCTGCTTACATTGTGGGTTCCGTGTCGAGAACAGGGGAATCAAGACGCTTCTTTTTCTTTGTCCGGACCGAAGAGTCCATAGCATCCGTGGATAATTCTTCCCCAGCCATTTCGGTGGAAATTTGGGAGTATGATGATTTTCCGATGCCTCCGATGACCTTGTCCACCGGAACTTGCAACACTTGACCATCACTGGTTCTTGTAATTTCCACATTGTAATGTGATCGATCGTCAGCGTCGACACCGAGTCCAACAACAGCGTCATCACCGCGTTTCAAGAATCCTCGAACAATGGCATCACTGATCGCGTCCTCGAAGAATCTTTGTGCAGCACGACGCATCGGTCGGGCTCCAAATTGCGCAGCATTGCTGCTTCCTTCTTCCGTCACCTTTTGTGACAACTCCGGGCTCAACTTTAATGTCAACTCCTGTTCGGTTTGTGCTCGTTGCACCGTTCGGTCAAGGATCAAATCAGCAATGCTGTTCAAGTTCGCATCCGAAAGCGGCGAGAAAACGACGATTTCATCCATACGGTTGAGCAGTTCAGGCTTCATCGCATATTCGAGTTCTTCCTTCACGACCTCCGAAAGACTGGCGTGCAACGCTTCTTCAACATCTTGGCTGCCGTTCATTCCCTCATCTCGCGCAGCCGCTTCCAATCGTGACATGTCGACAATTCTCTTACTTCCAACGTTGGATGTCATGATAAGGATTGTATTCTTGAAGTTCACCGTTCGGCCTTGTCCATCAGTAAGCATTCCATCTTCCAAAATTTGCAACAGAATGTTTAGCACATCGCTATGTGCTTTCTCCAATTCATCCAGCAAAATGACAGCGTGTGGTGCTCTTCGAACTGCTTCTGTCAATTGGCCACCTTCTTCGTACCCAATATACCCAGGTGGTGGCCCCGTCAATCTAGCAACCGAGTGCTTTTCCATGTATTCTGACATGTCAATTCGAATCATGTCTTTTTCGGAACCAAAATATTGCTCGGCAAGAGTTTTGCACAACTCTGTCTTTCCTGTGGCAATGGATTAGCAAAATTCCAACATTCAGAATGCATGGAACACAAGGAATCACGTACCTGTTCCAGTTGGGCCGCAAAACATAAACGACGCGATTGGACGGTTTGGATCACGCAAACCAGATCTTGCTCGACGTACGGCTCGGGACACAGACTGGATAGCTCGTCTTTGGCCTTTGACCCGAGTTCCAATATCAGCTTCCAAGTCAACCAATCGATCCATCTCATCCGATTCTAACTTTCCAAGAGGAATTGAAGCCCACTCACTGATCACTGCTGCAATAGTATGCTCGGTCACAACTGGCAAAACCGCAACGGCTTCATCAGCAGCCTCAACACCGTCAGTATATTCCTCCAAGTGAGTGATTGCTCCGGCTTCATCCAGTAGATCAATTGCCTGTGCCGTTGTGAGATATTTGTGAGTCTTGCTCTGAGATTAAACCTTTACTGTGCTTCTCCATTCATTCTGCGTACCTTATCTGGCAAGAAACGATCCGAAATGTAGCGTTCGGATAGTTTAGCAGCGGCTACCAGACTCTCTGGGGTATACTTAACTCTGTGATGCTCTTCATAAGAGGCAACAATCGCTCTCAAGATCTCGGTCGTTTCCGCAACTGAGGGCTCCTTGACCATGCATGGTTGCAATCTTCGCTCAAGTGCTGCATCTTTTTCAATATATTTGCGATATTCGGAGATTGTTGTCGCACCGATTACTTGAAGCTGTCCGCGTGCCAAAGCTGGTTTTAGAAGGTTAGCAGCATCCATACCTCCTTCTGCAGCTCCAGCGCCTACCAAGTTATGAATTTCATCAATAAAGAGAATTGTCGGCGGTGCCTTTGGTGCTGTCACCTCTTGGATGATGGCTTGCAAGCGTTCTTCGAATTCCCCCCTGTATTTTGTACCCGCAACAAGAGTAGAAAGTTCCAATGACATGAGCCGTGTTCCCTTCAATCTCGGAGGACATTCAGGAGATACAAGAATTTGAGCGATTCCTTCTGCGATGGCTGTCTTTCCAACACCTGGCTCTCCAATCAAGCAAACATTGTTCTTGCGACGTCGGACCAAGGTACGCATGCACGATTGGATCTCCTTGTCACGCCCCTGCACGATATCCAATAGTCCATCTTTGGCTTGTGCCGTCAAATCAATTCCGACTTCATCCAATGTCTTTGTACCCGCGCCTTCTCCGATTCCAGTCACTAAATCACGTTCCTTTTCCAAGTTTTCTTGCAGATGTCCCAACAGAGACTCACATACTTCGATAGCCTTGACTTTTGGATCAATTTTGGTGATGACAGCATACGCTCCATTCTTGACATTGTCTGTCACTGCGGTAGATGGGTTTCCTTCCTTAAATTCCATCATTGCTAGAAATAAGTGTTGTGATTGGATCGATTTGGATCCCATTTGGTCGGCCATATTTCCAGCAGACTTGAGGACCTTTTGCACATCTCGGCTGAACGGCAAATCATCGTCTGGATCTTGTTTTTTGAAGAATGCTCCAAGTTTATTTGATTCTCCCTCGGGCGGGTACATCGCTTGGAGAGCTTGAGTTGTCTTTCTCCAGGTAATCCCATATTGATTGAAGGTGCGCTCCATGGCAGGAGATCCAGGCATATCGACGACGCCTGCAATAAGGAAGGGAGCTTCTAATTGCTTCTGATCACACTTTTGAGCCTCTCTCTGTGCAGTCACAATGGCACCAATACAATCTTCTGACATGCGTTCAAACACCATTTGGTGTGATAATTCAGTATTTCGTTGGTTTGTGAGAACACGACCGCTACTTCTTGGTTGCATGAAAGCAGAGACATCACTGGGCCATATTATTGAAGCAAACAGTATGATCAGGAACCCAGTAATTGATTGGAAGGGAAGGATCATGGTTCGGATGTTAATAACTGGCTGTATACCTTCTTTGTGATTGATCATTGACCCTCTGTTGTTGCGATGAGGTGGTGGTCGAAAGAAAAAATCTGTCTTTTCCGATCGAAGTAGTCACAATGATCGAAGGAGTCGGTTGTAGTATCTTTGCAAAAACATAACGCAACCACAAAACAACATCCTTGTCCATCATCCAAGAAGTATGAAACGGCTTCTACCATTGTGTTGCCTGTTGTGGGCACCAGCCACATTGGCATTGAAATCCTCAAAACAACCCCCTGTCACAATCCCTCCAAGCATCCCCGAAACGACAATACAAGTTTCCAAATCGCGATTTGAGCGTTACATCGATAAAGTGTTTGCCAGTGCAGACTCGAACAAAGACGGCAAGATCAATTTTACGGAAGTGTACGAGCTGGTATTGAAAATTTATGTCCAGTTGAACCGACAAGCGCCGGTTCCACCACCATCTCGAGAAACAGTGATGAAGGTCTATCAAAAGTCCGACGAAAACAAAGATGAATATTTGACGAGGGAGGAGTTTGAAGTCGTGGTGAAGGAAGTCAGCGAGAGAGCATTTGTCAGAGTGGCAATAATGAAGCTGATGAAAGTAGTGGGGGCTCCTCTCCTGGCGGAGTATTTGATTCGGACGCTTGCTGAGAAGGAATGGCCTTCAGAATTAGTTACCACTCTTGTTCCTGCGCAATATCAAGAAAAAGTATGGCCCATCATTTCGTCAAGATCGTTTTGGAGGTCAGTCCTCATCATACTAGGAGTAGCGTTCTTAGGACATTTCGTCCTGGGCATTGTCGACATGACAATTTCGATGGTAGCAGGGGACGAAAAGAGAGATACTGTGGTGTACTAAGAATATATGTTATTACTAGAATGTGTTGTATGAAGTAGGGCCTGCCCTTGCAATATTCTCGATGAAGTTACCAAGTCAAAAAAGCAACTACTACTGTACTGTAGAATAATATGTGTTGCAAGACAAAACATTTCAAGCTCTTTTTAAAAAAGACGAAGCATAGTCCTGATGACGGCAAGACAGGCTCAGGTCTGTCATTGCACCACAGTTCTCTACAGTACGAGTACAGACGGGCGCTGACGTTCATGTTGTCACTCTGAACTCATCAACGGAAGAGAAGAAGAATCATCTTTGTCGATCGTCGAGTAACTCATTAGCCGCTGAAAAGCTCGTGGGAATTGCTCGTTCTACAATCCATAAAGCAATTATTAATCACCGAAACAATACTATAGCATCAGGCTACATATTGGTTGAAGCGCTAGTCAATTTTGCCTGAAAAACTCTTTTTCCTGTGGAGACATTAGAATATCGGAACAATGGTCTTTCAATTGATGGCAACGCATCCATCGACTGCGAGAATGGCTTTGCAATGGCAGAGAGCCAATTTGTTTCAAACATGGACGAAAAACAGCTCAAGGAATTCAACAACTCGATACTATGAACTTCTTGCTGTATGGAAGAGAAACTATGCACGGATGTACGCTCGTCGGGTGCTGGAGATAGCAGCGGCATCCGCTGCATCCTATCGCCTCAAGACACAGATGGAGGCAGCGATCGAACAACCTTCTGAGTGGGTGGACTGGCAAAAGAAAGATTGGGAAGAGACCGCTATGGCAACGCTTGGAAAGACCAAACTTTCCCGCTTCTGGATGGCATCGCGACGATTGATAAATCTTGCCTTGTTGTCCAGTCCTCTGTTGGTGTTGATGCCCCTTTCCCATGTCAGTACTACTGCAAAGGATGTTACCTGGAGGTATGCCCTCTGGGGAATCGAACAGGCCGGCCCTACTTGGATCAAACTAGTGCAATGGGCATCAACAAGACACGATTTGTTTTCACCTGAATTCTGCGTCTACTTCGGAAAGCTTCGTGATGAAACCGAAGGACACTCTTGGAAAGAAACAAAGCGAATATTGGAGGAAGAGTTTGGAGCAGCCCAAGACGTGATAGAAATGGAAACGACTCCTATTGGTAGTGGTTGTATTGCACAGGTTTATCGTGGCCGATTGAAGAAGCCCACCGCCTTGTATCCTGCCAACACAAAGATTGCCATCAAAGTGCAGCATCCAGGCATCTGGACTAAAGTGTGTGTAGATTTTTACTTGCTTCACAAGGTAACAAGTTTTCTGGAGGGTATCCCAAGGCTCAGTCTACAATATCTCAGCTTGGGCGATACCATTCGCCAATTCCGAAACAGCATGTTGCCGCAGTTGGACCTCACCCTCGAGGCTTCTCATCTGACAAGGTTCAACAAGAACTTTGCTAATGATGAACAAGTGGGCTTTCCTGAACCAGTCAACGATCTAACGTCGCGCCATGTACTAGTCGAAACTTTTTGCGAAGGAACGCCTATCATGGAGTACACAAAGCCGGGAACACCAAAGCAAGAACGAGAACAACTTGCGATGCTTGGCCTGAAGACCACTTTGAAAATGATTTTTTTGCATGATTTTGTCCACGGTGATCTCCACCCAGGCAACATTCTGGTAACTGGCAAGTACCCGAAGCTAAAGATGCAATTGCTAGATTGTGGATTGGTTTTGGAAATGGGTCCAGAGCAGCATGTGAACTTGGTAAAGATTTTGGGAGCCTTTACACGCAAAAATGGGAAACTAGCTGGGGAACTACTGGTAGATTTGAAATCCGATTCTCAAGCAGGACCGAAGGAAATGGATGTTTTCATTCGCGGAATGGTGGAAATTTGCAAAATGGATGATGATTCAGTAAGTTGTTTGTTCTGAAATGACATTTGGACACAACCAAAGGCTGGGTACACTAATATTTTATGTGTATTTCAGAACTTTATCGAAAAGGTTGGAGACTATATTGCGGACATTTGTTACTTGGCTTGCTCAAACAGAGTAAAGCTTGAAGGAGCGTTTGTCAACGCTTCGTTGGCTGTTGAAATCATGGAGGGTCTAGCTAGTGCTCTTTATCCTGATATGCGTGTTCAACAAGTGGCCTTGCCTCTAATTGTACAAGCTGAAGTGATGCATCGATTGGGAATGCACTAGGTGTTATGAATGCGATGTTATAAGATATTTTAGATTAGATCCAGTTTGTTTGTTTGTAGCCAGTCAAAGTCAATTTTATAAGCTTGAACTCTCATCACATTGCTTACGGACGATGAATGAAGTTTCGGCAGCGGGTATACCGTGATTGGCCCCAGGGGTGTAGTGTAGGAGATACGCCTTGTAATCTCCATCTGGCAAAGGCCATGTGGTCCGAGCGGTTTCATCGGGTGAGCGAGGGCCGAACAGCAGAATATCGTAGGCAACCTCCCCAACACACTCTTGCGTCCCGCAAGTTCCTAACCAGAGCAAGGGTTCTATGTCCCCTGGTGTTTCGTCGTCCTTGTAGATTGCAATGAGATCTTCCTCGTGCGGATCGCAATTTTCAAAAGTTATCTGGATTGTATCAATCCCACTGTTGTAACACTGAACGTCCGTGCGGATGAGATCCTCGCAGTCATTGTTACAGGATCGACCCAACGGATTTGCTCTGAAGGTCTCTGACTCTGAAATGACTTCTATGGTCTCGTTCCCTCTTGCCAACACTGCCTTGTAATCCCCTGCACTGAGAGGGAAGAAGTTCCACGCAATTTCATCGCTGGGACCAAGTTCACCAAAAAGTAGACCACCCTTTGCGGCTTTACAACCATCATCTAGGCTGCCACAAGTTGTTAACCACAATGGAGCCTCAAACAATAGCTCCGGATGCTTTGAAAAATCGTAGGCTGCTGGATAGATTCCGACGTAATCTTCGACACTTGGTTTGCTATTGTGGAAGAATACATGAAGATCTTCGCCGTATTCGAAACAGTTGTATTCCAACCAAACTGCATCTTCTCTTACTTCACATAGGCCACACGTCACTGAGCACAAGTTACGTCTAGATGTTGGAAGAATACCCGTCTTTTCTGGACTACAGTCACCAGATTCCTCAACTTCTTCACAATTAATGAAGGGATCATCTCGGCATCTCGGATGGTTACCAGCTATGAACCAATCTTCTTCTGCTGCACTACTCTCCTCTCCATCTTCATCTGCCTCATGTATTGAGACATAGAGGCCGGTATCATGTAAGTCTTGATCATCAGCATACTCTTGTTCCAAAAGATCACCATCAGTTTCTCCGTATTCAGTATCTTCATCCAGCTCGACAGGAAAGTCTCGTTCTTCCGCCTCTAAAGCATTTGCATGTGCAACCAATTGAACAACCAACAGAAGTAGGAGGAATGAGCGACGGTGTTTGGATGACGACATGGTCATGTTTGATATTTTCGGAATTCAACGGAAAGATGTCTTGAAAATTGTGAGATGATGTGAACGATGCAAATTTTAACACGCGCCGGCGAGTCACCAAACTCGCCAACTAAAAGAACCCGGATAAAACAAAAAATGGCGGAAAACAATGATGGTAGTCCTCATGTTGAACACCAGCTTGACTCCAGGATGAAAGGGACAATATTAATAGTTCAAATAATCACACTGTCGTTGGTCGCTAAGGAAGTTATAGCCTTGAGCTACAGCACTTGCGATTCCGATTCCATTCCAGCGAATTCGAAAGCAAGCAACCTCGTCCCGAACCAATTTCATAAGTTGTGTCCAGGAGTCCCAAACTCTGCAGTCGGAGGCTTGAAGCATCCAATATGTGGTGATGGAACGCCCTTTTCTTTCTTCTTCGCAAAACCAACTCAACGAAAAATGAATACCAACAAACTATGTAAGTATTAATACAAGCAAGAACACGACCAGTACGGAACGCCGCTAGTCGCTCACATTTTTTGTTGCTTATGTAGTGATCGAATTCATGGGAGGGGGCGCTTGTTGGGATGCTAATACTTGCGGGCAACAACAGGGCTACTTGACATTTCCAGAGCAGCTCAACAACTTTGTGGGCTATAGCTGTTCCGAAGTCAATGCTTCGCAAGGGGATAAACAATTCAACATGTTGTGTGCACAGAGCAATGTAGGAGGAGTTGATTTTACCGAATACAACACAGTGATTGTTCCCTATTGCACTCAGGATGTTCATGTGGGAAGTCAATCCGTTACCTACGATGACGGATCCGTCATCAACCACGGTGAGTAGGTATAGAGCCTTTTGCATTCCCTTTGCAAAAAGAAACTGATCTCATCTTTCCTAAAGTTGGAGGTGCAAACACAATGGCCGTAATGGAATGGATTTTTGAGAATTTCCGATCTCCATCGCACATAGTTCTGACGGGATGTTCCGCTGGAGGTACAGCACTGCCAATTGCTTATGACATGCTCAACAGTAAGTTTCAATGGTTGGATGGGACGAAAGGAATGAGTTGCTAATCAACCGATTTCTGTTGACATCTAGTGCATTACAATCGATGGACGAGGTCTCCTCCAGGCATACGATCGGTACAGATTAGTACAGTGGCTGATTCTTCAGTTTACCTCACCCCAACCTACTTTTTGGAGAATGCTTTTGGAAACTGGGATGCAGGACCGATTATGAAGAAACTTAGTTTCCCGTTCAACAAATACAAGGATAACGAAAATTACAGCACAGAAGTATGGAATCATGTTCTCAAAAGAGGACCCAACTCAGACCAATGGGGTTTCATTACCTATAACAATGATCCCATCTCGCAAATGTACTACTCGTACATGGGAGGAATGTACGCAGACGATGATGGCTACAATGGGAACGGGCGACTGCTTGAAGATGTTTCAGATGCATGGTGGTCGTCGCTATCTGAATCTTTGACATATGTGCAAAAGAAGCATAGGAACGTGCAAACATTTATCATGGACGGAGAAGGTCATTGTACCTTTGGATGGTATTACGCTATGCAACAAGGGTCCGAGTTTGATGACTGGATCAAGAGTATTATCAAAGAAAAGGGAGTTTTCGGTCGAACGAGCCCAGCAGTACCTTCGTTCGCTATTGCCGCGCTTTTGGGAGGGCTGATTGCATTGGGAGCCATCAATAGTCGCAAGAAGCGTGATATTGGCGTTGATGATGGCGTGCTTTTGAACGAGGGTGAGAAAAGGCGATCTTCGTCTCAGCTGTTGCATTCTACATTCGCAAAGTTTTCTGGATTTTGCACTCGATTCAGCGGTTGCCCAATCACTGCCGGATACTTTGCAATAGTCACTATATACTTTGCGACAATGCTCGTCTCGCAAGGGTTTGCACACCCTGCCAACAATCCAAGTTTGGGCCCAAGAGCTACATCCTTGAGCACCTTTGGAATCAATAACCCATCCTTGATTGTCTACAACTCTCAGTTGCTCAGACTAATGACATCAGGATTCTTGTGCAGCGGCATTCTTACCTTTGCGATCCTAGCATTCACTCTACACCGTCATACGAGAAACCTTGAAAAAGAGATCGGTAGCAGCAAGGAATTCTGCATCTTAATGCTTGCAGTGATGCTTGGCAGCAATCTCATTTACGCTTGCGTGGCAGGAGGGGCGAGTTGCGCAACCATTGCCACAGTTCTCGGAATGAACACGCTATCAATAGTCCTCCCAAGAAACACGTCGGCATCTGAGACACCTGCTACCCCAACGCCGACGTGTTCAACTATCACAATTTTCATTTTTGCTGCATTGGCTTTACCCTTCAACAGTTGGATAATAAATTTCGCAAGCATATGTGTTGGTCTATTCTTGGGTTATGCTGTGGTTGAAAGACAAATGCAAGAAGTTGCATCTGACCTGAAAACAGGGCAGTCTCTCTACACTGCCAAGCGAAACCCATTAATGGGCTTCTTTGCTTTTTGCATGATTTTGTTCTGCCTTCTCGCTTTTCGGGCCATTAGACCAAACAGGTTGTACACGAGCCCTTTTCTCACTGGGTGCGACCTAGCATACGTTGAACTTCCATCCGATATTGTGGGTTCCTACTACGACAACAGGAGGCTAGACGCGGCTGGGGATGGTGCTGATACACTTTGTGCCGAGTTCTGCGTCCCTCACCTTGCTGCGAGACCAGTAGTCTGGGGTGCGTCTACATATTCCGGATACGCCGTGTCGAGTGGTCAATGTGCAGACAAGGGATATGATACACATATCGCTGACAAGACATTCTCCAAGGCGACTTATTCTGTAGATGTCGAGGTCTACACAAGTTCTAACAATGGACACAATTGAGTTATCTGAATACAAACAATACTAAAATAATCCAACGCCTCTATCTATTATAATATACTTCTATCTAATTCAACAATGCACAGTTTCACTTTCTTTCTCCCCAATTTTGCAACGGATATCAGCACGAGTCATTCCAAAACAGCTTCGTCCATATTGTTGGTATACGGATACGACCTCTGGATGAAGAAGCTCGAAAGTGCCATCACCCATACAAGCAGCAATTTCGAGTCCCGAGTGCGCAAATCTCTTGTCATTTAAATAGATGCCAATGGAATCATAGCATTTCTTAATGCGCTCTCGATAGTCCTCAAGGATTTCAAAACCATCGCTCTCTCCCATCGATGCAATCAAAAAAAATCGTGCTTCATCGAACGCTGCTTGGGGCAACAGATCCTCCCGCAAGGGAAAATCAAAATCAGCGCCGTAAGCAGAACACTCGGCTTGTAAAATCGCCAAGGAAAGTAAAAGGATTGGACCAAGATGTCTGATAAATTCGCCATTGAAATGCACCTTGTAGCCCATCACTTTCCCGTTCGAACGGGGAAGCTTCATCGTGAGAGGACAGAGGCAACAAAGAAGCCCATCTGTCTGGCTGTATTGTCGAGGATCGAACAGGCCATCTTTCGACAGGAGAATGAAACATCTTGGATAGGACTTTTTTTCAATGAATAGCTTGAGGGACTTTCCTGTTTCAAACTTTCCATTGATTCTTGTGGTCAATCTGGTAGTTTCCTCCTCGTAGTTGTTGAAATGCCCCTGTAGTTTCACGGTTTCTGAAACTTGAACTCCTTGAACTTTGAGAATATTTTTTGCCATCGTTGCGGCTTTGGCTTGACCAACATGTGTCCTCTCTATTTCCACCTTCACTGATTTAAACTCCTTCTCAACTATGGTACGAGTTTGCTCTCCCTGTTCCGCCAGCTCCATGGCTGCTGCTTCCAACCCATCGAGTTGCACCGCTTGTGTGCTTCTTACATCTTCAACCTTGCCACTTATATCTTCCAAGGATGTATGAACCAAGGACATTTTGTCGCTGGTTTCTTTCAGCAGCAAGCGAAATTCTTCAGTGTAGTCTCCATTAGACTTCTCGGCTGATGTAGCCTTATGTCTGTCTGGGTGAAAAAATTCATGCATCAGCACTTCTTTCATGGTTGGTCGCTCAGATGGATTTTTTCTCAGAAGTTGCGACAACAAATCCTTTGCAAGATTGTCTCGAACGTTGCTTGCAACAACCTTCTTTAGATCTGTTTCTTCCCAAGCATGAAGGAATAGAAATGTGTTTCCATCTGTAATATCATCATCTCTATCGGTGGTAAACAAAGACTGACCAGCACACATCATATACAGCAAAACTCCAAAAGACCAGACGTCAAGCGAAGGATCTGCCATGACGAGGTCATAGGGAAGTCCTTCCTTGAGAGGTTCAGCATTCCAGATTTTTTCCATTTTTCCAGTGATTAAATTCTGCTCTTCTTTTATATCCTCCATCTGCAAAAAGGTTCGAACAACAAATCCTTGAAAAGGCCGAGTCGTTGTGAATTGCGGTTGGCGTTTTTGTCGTTCCGCTGATGATTCTTTTTCGAAGTATTTGACAAACATTTCTTTCTCATCGAAGCTTTGGAGCCGGTAAATCAACTCTGGAGGAAGCACCCCAGATGAGAATTTTGCACCAACAAAGTCACCATCGATACGTGCAGATGAATCCAAGTCGATCAAACAAAGGCGGTAGTTCATTCGGAGGATGTTGGACATTTTAAGATCACCATGGACGAGCCGCTTGGTGTGCAGGTGTTCCAGTCCCTCACCAACCTCTTTCATCAATTTTCTTATGGTGACCGTATCAGGACGTTCGCTTCGGAAAATGGTGTCTAGATTGCGATCGCCATAAGGCATTACAACGATACAAGAGTAATCTCGTGCATCGTGCACATCTGACCCGCCGACTGACTCATCAAGGACAAGATAATCACCGATGAAGCCAGATATGGAGTCTTCTGGTACTTCACTTCTATCGTGAGCCCGAAGAATATTCACAACATATTTGTTGTCCAGGTCGATTCTCCCCTCCAGCTCTCTCTGGAACTGATCGTCTTTTCTCATGAACTTGAGTGCAACATTCCGCCCAAGCTGTTCTTGACAAAATGCGATGAATTCGTTTCTATCGATGGCTCCAGTCTTGTCAATATCAGCTCGAGCGAAATACGTTGCAGCCATTCTCAAGCCATCTTGATTCACATCCTCTCGTGAGACAAGCATGAGATCACGAATAGCCGCGAAAAAGCCTTCAATTCTAAGCATCGAGGTTGCATGAGTACCGTGTTTGTCAAATATGGATCCATAATACTGGTGCATTTTGTAGTCTTCAGCCTTCAGAACAAGACAGGTGGACGATTTGTGGATGGGCGGACCCTGCGCAAGGTCGTAGCGGCCGAGGAAGAGGAGCCTCTCTTCAAAGGTTTCCCGAATGCTTGATGTAGCAAATTTCAAGGCGACCCGTCCATCTCTATCCTTTGAGTTAGCAAGAACTCGCAGAGTTTCAAGATCTGCTTTGTGAAAGAAGTCGATTAATGAGCGGAAATCATCAGTTTCGTCCTCAAGATGGTGCGCCAAGAACTGAACCCAACCATGCTGCCGACGAACCGAGAACTCTTCGCTGCAGAAGGAAGAAATGACGGATTGAATGTAAGCAGATTTGGTCTCTCGAAGCTTAGATCGTTCAGATTCCTGGTTCGTTAACAGCTCTCGTTCCTTGATAGGTCCAATGGAATAGAGGTAAATCAAGCTTTCCTTCGTTATTGTTCCTTCCGATTGCGTTCGGTACAGTAGATGAATTCGGATGGAGAGAGCTAGGTTTTGTCCATCTACATCAATAGATTTTAAGCTTGGATTGTCGCCGAAAACTTCGTCGCCGAAGAATGTAATCGTTCCTGGCACAACGATTGTCGACAACGACTCACAGCCCGAAAAACTACCGTTTCCAATTGTCTCGAGCGTTCGAGTTGCGCCGAAATCGACTTCGTTCAGTAGATTGCAGAATTTATAGGCCCCATCACCAATCACAATCAAATTCGATGGAAATCGGACGACTCGTAGAGATTTGCATCCAAAAAACGCCTTCTCCTTGATTATTTCAAGAGATAAAGCTTGAGTGAAGTCGACATCTTCAAGGTGAATACATCCTCGAAATGCACATTGCGCGATTTCTTTGACTGATGACGGGAACCCTACCGTTCTCAGGCTTTCACAGGCATCGAAGGAGGAAATTCCAATCCTGAACAATCGGAAAGCCGCTGAGAAGTCAATATCACGCAAAGTCTTGCGCCCTTGAGCGCCACGATCCTCTATTACTTTAACCTCTGGATTGACACGCAGATGAATCAAATCATTTGGGCACTTTCCATTCTCGCTATACACGAAGGTGCCCGAAAAGTTGAACGCATCTTCGCCAATGTCCGGAGTGGACATTACATCGATCTCCCGCAGCGACTCGCATCCATAGAATGCCATTTCTCCAATTCTCTCAAGTGGTGCACCCAATTTCACGCACGAGAGATTTCCACACTGCAGGTAAGCTTTTTGTTCACAAACCTTCAGGCTGAATGGAAAAGTAACCTCATCCAAAGAGGAACAGTAACCAAAAGCGTACGCTCCGATTCTCTCGAGCGCTTCTGCATTGCTAAAGTCAGTAATCTCCAACGCTTCACATCGCTGAAAAGCTCCCTCAGATATAAGGTTCAGGCTTTGTGGAAATTTCACTTCCTCCAAGGCCACACAACCAGCAAAGGAATAGTCCCCGACTCTTTGAAGAACATTTGCATTCGAAAAATCAATCGATTCCAGTCCACTACAGCCCTCAAAGGCCCTCTTTCCAATCACCCAAAGGTTGGACGGAAAGGCGACCCTTGTAAGGGATTCACAACGGTAAAATCCGCTCTTTGAGATAGCCTGGAGGTTGATAGATTCCAAAAAGTCGATTTCAGCAAGCTTCGCACAGCCTTCGAAGGCCCCTTGTTCGATTGTCCTCAAGTTAGAAGACAGCTTGACAGTTCTCAACGCATAACTGTGGGAAAAGGCACCTTCTCCTATTCCAGCAAGCTTGGTTGCGAGGGAGAAGTCTATTTCTGATAACTTCGCGCATCTTTGGAACGCTCCCTTTGCCAATAGCTTTAGATTGAGTGGGAATACGACCTTATACAAAGAACTACAACACAGGAATGATTCTTCGCTAATCATTTCAAGTCTGGTTGCAGAAGTAAAATCAAGCTCCCTCATGCCGCTATACTCAAACGTTCTTTTTCCAATCACGACCAAATGTTGCGGAAGAGTAACTTTGCGAAGCGCAGAACATCGCGACAGACATTCTTCCTCGAGTACCTGAAGCACTGAAGTTTGACCAAAGTCAATGGACTCCAAAGCGTGGCAGTTCTTGAACGCTGTCTTGGCAACAAGTTGAAGGTTTGGACTCAGTTTCACACTTTTCAGTTTCTCACAATTCATGAACGCCTCCTCTTCAATTTTTGCAAGAGAGAGATCACCACCAAAGTCGATTTCTTCAAATCCACAGTGTTGAAACGCTGTCTTTGACACAACTTTCAAGTAGGGTGGCAACTTGATCTCCTTCAAGTCCGTACATCTGGAGAATGTGCTATCCTCAATTCGCTCCAAGCCTACTGCCTGGCTCATGTCAACATGAGTGAAACCACAATAACGAAAGGCTCGCGTTGCAACCGAAGTAAGCTTCTTTGGGAATGAAACTTTCTTTACAGAAGTGCATTTAAAGAAAGCGTGATACCCAATTGATAATAGCGATTCAGCCTCGCTGAAATCAATGTCCACTAGTTTCGAGCATCCATTGAATGCCTCTTTCGAGATGACCTCGAGATTCTTTGGAAATTTTGCTCCTTTCAGAGCAGAACAGTAATAGAAGGAGTCTTCTCCGATCACTTTCAAACTATCTGCTTTGCTAAAATCAACCTTCTCGATCTTCTTACAATCTTTGAATGCCCCGTAGGGGATCTCGATAACAGACGAATCAATTTTGACGCTGGTGGCTTCCTTGGGGACAGCTGCTTTGCCATCATAGACAAAAACCTCAAGGGCTTGTTCCATGTCCATTGTTCCTGAGTCAGGTATTAGGACTGCTTGTTACTGCTTTCGTAGTTTGCACATACCACCGCACCACTACTGGTAAGTCTCAATGAAAGCTTAGGGGGGGAAAGGGCAAAAGAGGAGGGGGGGAAGGAAGAGGAAGAAGAAGAAAAGAAGGAGGTTTTCAAGAGTTCTTTTGCGGTGATCGCGGTATTGCAAAACAAAATACATGTACTCTTGCTCTTCTCACACACGGGTCCGACTAGTCAACAATATCGATTTTGAATAAATGAGCATCAACCAACACACCATGACACAAGAAGCCAATCCTTCTCGTCCCAGCTGGACGAACAAACTGGGAAAAACTATCGCATGAGTAACAAGCCTCTACAATTAAATTGTGCTACCAATATCGGCAGCAATTGATAGAAATCAGTGAAGCAGAAGCATGGATGTATAGCAAAACTTTCCATCAAGGATTTTTTCATTTACAAGCCATTCGTCAGATGAAGTTGGCATCCAGGGCTACAAAACGTCCCCATATTTTTGATAGTATGTATAAGGAAGGAATTCGAACTGTGTATCTGTTGGTTTATCTATGATGCTATGCTGTTATTCCTCTCATTGTGTTGTGTTCGTTGTCACTGTCGAAAAAAAACTTGCGCAGAATCCGTAATTTGAATAATCGCGTTATGTTTCCAACCCATCTTGGTTTACCGATACTTTGCTGAAATCCTTGTTGTGATGTAGGTTTCTACTGTTTTGAGTATAAATTGGTAGAGATACGTAGAGATCTACGATTGAGTACTGTGTCATCTCTGTGAATTCCCTAATTAAATACTTCAAATGCCACCTCCTCGACCAATTGAGTATCTGCCTTTTCCCATTCAATGCAATGAATTTGTGTGTCTGTTGGTTCGAATGAGTCAAATCGTGTGACATCTGCTTTCACTTTCCTCTCACCTATCATATTTGCCATGATCTTGTCCAACCCTGCGAAGCGAGCTATCCTATCAGTGATAACACCTATTCCTCGCGACAAATGGTTTGAAGTAGCCGCAATAACTTTCGGAACTACGACAATCGCTGGAATGGTGGCAACAGCTACTGGGTTTGTAAATCCAGCGGACGATTGGCATCCTACCAACAATCCCGTCAAACCGCTTTCAGCTTTCTTCTTTCCTTCTCTGGTAGAAGAAGTCTTTCGGAGGGGGGCTTTACTGCCCCACAGTATTTTGAATGTTCCAACTCGCAGTATCATATTCTCAGCCTGCACTCCTGTACTAGCGATCCAAGTTATAAGCCACCCGATTGCCGCCAAGACGTTGTGGCCACGAGGCAAAGGTATCTTTGACGACCCCAGATTTCTGCTGTTGGCAACCATAGTATTAGGAGCTGCAACAATGTCGTTTATCGTTAGCGGGGGAAGCGCATGGGCAGCCGCAGTGACACACGGACTTCCAGTTGCATTGTGGAGAGACTTCTTCAATGGTGAAGCCAGACTTGCAGGGAAGAGTCATCATCAATGACTCGGAGTTCCTGCACAATTAATTTTCACTTGAAAATCATAAAAGGGATGAGAGCACCTTGGCGCCCCGCGACCGTATTCAGACCATACGCTTGCGTCATACTACTGTCCAGCGATTTACCTGGCCCTCGTGTATGACGATTCAAGTTGCGACCTAAAAAGTTGACAGAAAAGCCATACCGGTAGCTGCCAACGATTTTGCAGCTCTCTTGCTGAGAGGAGTCCACTACATGGCTAACAATTTGATGAGTCCATGTTAACACTCCACTACTGTACCGGTAGTATTACTACAAACATAGATTACTCTAGTCTTTAGACTGTCCCATACGATCCACTTTTGGCTTCTGCTTCGACCAGATTTGCCCCCTCTTCATTCTCTTCTGTATCGCCATGCTGCTTACAACTGCTGTGTAGTTCATTTGCATCTTTCATAAATTGGCCAGTGGTAAAATAAAATCCAAAGGCTGCCAACAACCCAAAAATCATACCATTGGTAATACTGTACGTCAACGGCATCAATATGATTGTCAAAAAGGCGGGAAGGGCATCACTCATTTTATCCCAATCAATTTTAGCTGCCTCACCCATCATCATGACTCCTACCATGACCAAGACGGGAGCCGTTGCCACATCAGGAACCGAACTGAAGAGAGGCGCCAAGAACAAACTTGCCGCAAAGTAACACCCAATCACGACTGCTGTCAACCCAGTGCGACCTGATACACATTTTGGGAAAGCTACAGTTAACTTTCATTTTATCAATGTTGCAATGTTTCCAATTCCAGTAGCACCTACCTCCCTCTCGTACACCACTAGCAGTCTCCACGCAGACAATAATTGGAGTAGAACCAGTCAATGCAGCGAGGATCGTGCCTACTCCGGAAGCAACAAACGCCCAAGTCGATCCGGGAATTTCACCATCCTCTTTCATGATTCCACCTAAGGTGGCCAACCCAAAGATAACTCCTGAAATATCAAAAATACAAATCAATACAAAGCAACCAATGGCCGGATAAATCACGTTTCCGATGCTCAAATCCCATAGAACGCTGGGGTCAAAATAATGATTGGAATTGTAGAGAGGAAGTTGAAAAATTTGGGTTGGCCAGGAATCTTTGAAGATCCAGTCAACCACAGTCAACACAATGATACCAATCAAAATGGCGCCCTTCGTATCGTGATGCAGCAACGAGGCAACCAACAGGATTCCAATCAGGCAAAGTTGGAGCTCCGAATCACTCCATACGGGACCCAGTTCAACCAGTGTCTTGGGATTAGCCACAATGATGCCAACCGTCACCAATCCAATCATCGCGATCAACAACCCCATGCCAACGACAATTGCCAGTTTGATGGCTTGAGGGACGGTTCTCATCAAAACGGCAGTACCACCGGAAAGACTAATGGCCAATACAAAAATTCCAGACCACCAACAGGCACTGAGGGCTTGTGGCAAGGTGCACATCTCTGCCTGGACCAAACCGAAGGTAAGATAGGCACTGAGGCCAAGCCCAGGGGCACAGCCGAATGGTAGATTGCCAAAAAATCCAATGATGAAACAAGATACCGTGGCAGATAGAGCAGTTGCAAAGACTGCATCATCATGATCAACACCAGCTTCCGACATGATTTTGGGATTCACCAAGAGTAGATACGATAGGGTCAAAAAGGAAGCCGTCCCTGCACGAACCTCCGTCGCGATATCAGTTCCTCGTTCTGCCAATTGAAACTGACGCTCAAGGAGGTCACATATGGTGATTCCAAAGGAAGTTTGTGACATGACGAACGTGGTGAACAATATGAAAAGGGTGCGTCGTCAGAGTGATAGCCTGTTGCTGGTATACGTTGCGTTGATCCCTCTGCAGCAGCAGATGACTCTTTGTACTGGCTGATAGCGTACCGGTACCATACTTCGTCGTCTGAGTTCGGAATTTTGGATCTTTTGGTTGCAGTTTTTCAGGCAGGCGGGGTATCTTCATCACTTGCTCGACTGACTCACTCGAGTCGCAAACGCGCCGGCCTGAAGGTACAGGAGACTCACAGCCCAAACCAAAAAGTACTGTATCATACATTGGCTGCAACTACTGTACTGTGGTAATACCGTCGATCTATGTGTAATGTTGCGTGGTATGTTACAAAGCGAGCAACGGTACCGTCAAAAATACTGCCAAAAAGGCATAAAAGTAATAGTGCGTTTGACACAGATGACTCGAAATTCATATGTATTTTGAGCAACGGTACCGTAGTTATGTTACTTTCGTAACACTCCACATATAATGTACCGGTACCATGAACAATGACAACACTTAACATTTATGACCAGTACACGTATTTCATACAGGAATCACTGCATCCGTGATCTAATCTAAGCTCTTTAGAGCCATTCCAGCACCGATACCTCCCATTACGATGCCAAGCACTGCAGAAATCATGGCAACAAAGACTCCCAAGTCTTCACCCTTTCGCCTTTGCTTCTTGACTATAGCTCCGTACATCATCGCTGGGAAGACATAGGTCAATGCATTTCCAAGCATTGCTCCCCCAAATGCAAGGACAAAACTGACATCGGTCAAAGAAATTGCCAGGTAAGTGATTCCTGCCAGAAGCCCAATCGTGACAAAGTTCATGATTCCTGCAGATCGCCGCTCCATTGGAACCTTTGCGAGATCCAGGAATCCATCCCTGCATCCCATGAATGCGAGAGGATACGAAAACAGCAGTGAAAATGAAACAGCAATCCGGCTGATTCCCATCAAACTGTCGCTTCCAGCATAGTTGTTGAGAACGAGTCCATCACAGGCCTTCCCGAACGTCAAGAATCCAACAAGAGTAATGAACCCCATGAGGAAGATAGAAATTCCAAAGCCCCAGGACACCACCGAATTGAATCTTTGAACATTATTGTTTCGAAGTTCCGTGTAAAACTTGGGAGCATTGAAATGTGCCTAGTACATCGATGGAGATTTAAAAAGCACAATCATTAGCACAATTCACGAGTCAGCTGTTTCCATTGAATTTCTCCACACTTTCACTTACCATATAAGCAGTGCTCAACATGCACACCAAAATTAACGCATTCGATGACAGAACACCCTTCATTCCAATCTCTCCAAACTTTGGCTTCAAATGACGTGCCAGCTCCCCGACAAGCTCGCCGCCACCATTCACACTATAGCTTCCATCCAACCACCGAGCTGCCATGGCACAGGTGGTATATACCATCCCAAAAACTCCAATGAAAGAATATGGTGCCAACGATTTCAAATCCTTCTTCAAGCATAGTGGAGCTAAGATAAGGAGGGTAACACTCAAGAGTGTCTTGTTTCTATCAGTTTCCAGAAGGCTGGAGAAGGTATCTCCCAGCACCATTGAAAATGCAAGACAGGCAAGGAATGTTTTGAGAGTTCCAAACCAAGCAGGGATCCAGGAACTGTCCTCGCCCACGCTGAGGCTCCATGCTTCTCGATAACTTCTGGCGCCAGTATAGGAACATACTTTTCCAATCAATGAGAAACCATATCCAGACATGACACCAATGACGATTATCAGCATAGCTGCAGGCACAAAGGCAGAGGGAGCACTACCATAAGCAGCGACGCCTGCAGGCAAACTCAGCACACCAACACCGACAATCGCTTTCACCAGCGAGATGATCTCACTAGCAACGCTCGCTCCTTCTGGTTCAATCTTCAACTTTTTTGGATTTTTCACAATCATCGGCTTGACAGCCACTGGCTTATTGAATGCTTCAATGAGAGACGTTTCAGGCTTTTCTTGCCGAGATGCGAGAATGGATCCGCCAAGAGCAGCGGAAGCAACCGCTAGTCCAACACCCACAATGGATTTGGTAACACCACTCGTTGCCTCTTCCGATGCATCCTTGGACGATTCTACAACTCGCTCCGGAGCTGTTGGAGGCGGTGGTGATAGTGGAACCTTTGCAACCTCTCGTGCAGTCCTCTTTTTCTCGGTACGAGTAGAAGATCTCTTAACGGTAGGTCGTTGTCCATGAAACGATTCGTACCCAACAACGCCCCATGATTTCTCAGGAATCCCAATCGGAAGTTTTTTCGACGACGCTACAAGAGTGATATTCGATATCGCAGCCAGCAAAATCAAGGGTCCCTTTGGCTTGACCATCGTGATTGGTGAGTTGCTTCGGAATACCGGGTATGATACGCGTCGGTTGTCCATAAAAAAGAATCCAAAACTGATATCCTTCAATGCGATCACGTCTGGCCTTTGCTCGATCATCCAGAATTTTTTGGACAATCATTGATAAGCCGTGTTCCCTGCACGAACGGGTACACCCAAAATCAAAATTTACTAGTAATTTCCCCCTTTTACGGGTACACCCTAAATCAAAATTTACTAGTAATTTCCCCCTTTTTCGACATTATTACACCTTATCGAACAGTTTTCCAATTTAACTTCCACACACAACCTTCCCTATTGTTAGTTGAGTTACATGGTGTATTTGGATCTTCAGTGGCCAAATTTGGCGAAGAGGACTTAGTGGCTGAAATTCCGGTCGGAGTAGTCAAATATGCGTAGATTTTGTACTGGCTCTACATATGAGGCAATTTGTGGTTAAGATGTGGGCAATATTGTACCTTCAACAAACTATTTTCGATTCTGGCTTCTGCACAAAACGTGCGCAATCTGTAACTGGGCTAGATGGTGTACTTGGATCTCATTTTGGCAATATTTGACTTAGCGTTGGAGTTGGTGATTTTGAGATCGCTGATTGAGAATCCTCAAATGAATCGACTACCACGACAAGCTCAAAAAACCTCCAAATTATCACCTAATACTGCTTATTTCTCTATGCGAAATGTTGACAACCTCCATCCAAGTACTCAATCTAGCTCTATTACAAATACCGAATGGTGTGTGCAGAAGCCAGAATTGAAAATAGTTTGTTGAAGGTACCATATTGCTTACATCTTGACCACAAATTGCCTCATGTGTAGAGCCAGTAGTACAAAATCTACGCATATTTGACTACTCCGACCGGAATTTCAGCCACTGAGTCCTCTTCGCCAAATTTGGCCACTGAAGATCCAAATACACCATGTAACTCAACTATCAACTAACAATAGGGAAGGTTGTGTGTGGAAGTTAAATTGGAAAACTGTTCGAAAAGGTTTGAACCTTTGATCTTCGATGACCTTACAGTATTCGTACACTCGTACGGTACCGTACGAAAAGCAAGGTTGTGAAAGCCGACAAGTCATTATTTTACGGAACTCGGCTCTTTTGATAGGTTGGGTAAGACGTTTGCATCTGTATAGGCAGAGGCTCTCATGCCAGTGTTAAATCTAGGAGGAGGCCGCGATGACTGAGACTTCGTATGAAATATTGACTAACCCAAGGTATGTCAACATGCGTATGTGTCATACAACATGTTCAGGCGCAGCCGTCAAGGTTATCTTTCTACTAATTATAAGGATGACTCAAGGGGTAGAGCTAATGCATGATGATTTGGGCGAATATACTACGAGCAAATATGGGAATGTGTATATTCCCATTATCCCGATGCCTGAGAAAACTACTACTCGAATGCCAATACCTGAGCAAGTATAAGAAAAATTAGAAAAATTAGCTACCCCCGACGAGAGGACATGGCCGATAGATATCGAGGTGACTCTCAATTCAACTAGGTATCCTGAAAAGATTGTAGAGCACAATGGTCCGCGTCTCCAACAGAACTCGTGCGGAGACTGACTGGGTAAACCTGCATTTCCCGAAGCAAATACGTCGCCTTATTACGACCTCTCTATCTCTGGGATGTTGACAAACTACTACATGTCATACGGTAGTGGTGTTGCGTGGATAAATACAGGGGACGGTATGCGTATTAGAAAGATCGGGACGAAATCATCAATGAAGTACGCTCGCATCCTGTGTCAATAGTTTATCGACAGTGGTACATGATGGGCTTGTGCGGGTCGAGACTATTAACCAGAACCCGACTCTGATGCCTCAGGCTACCGTAAGTGTTATGTACTCATCTGGCTCACCGAGTAAGATATACGATTAGGCAGACGGGGCAGCGTCGGGCTTCTACACCCGCTCCGACGGTAAGGTAGTTCTAACAAGGGTAGCAGGTGGCGTTAACCGGAGGAACGCGCTAATACTGGCGGCAGACGCCTCTGAGTGGTTACCATTACAAAAAGCAAGGTTGTGAAAGTTGGTAAGGACCAGAAGTCATTCTTTTACGGAACTCGACTCTTTCTCTTGATTGAAAGAAAGACCCTGATCGTAGTGTGAAAGATAGTCTTTAAGTTAACCCGATCCCGCCTCTCCCTGGGAGGTTGCAGCGAACCAAATTTTGGTTCACCGCCGGGGATCGGGCTTGACAGCTAGTAACAACTTTTAGCCCAATGACCCCCCTAATCTACTAGACTCAGGTGGCACGAAGTCTGCGGACTCTGGAGCGTGTGTGGAGCAACTGTAGAATAGCGGAGCACTCGCGTACATCATAGTTCAACCTACAAAAACATTATTTGTTTTAGCGTTTAAGTACATTGATCTTTCTCAATCCATCCCTGCAAAATGTTCAATAATCTTATTGGATGATTCGTGACGATCCCTGCTGCACCGTTCTCAATTGCGTAGGACAGGGTCTCAGCTGTGTCAATTGTCCAGGCAATGATAGGCATGCCTCGGATTTTCGAAAAGTAATCCTTTTCAAACTTGTACGAGGCGACATATGAGCGAATTGAAGGGTTGCTCTGAACAGTCCCTTTTACCTTTGCAATATTCCTATCGTTGTCCTCTCGATCTCGCAAAACCAAGCCCACGTTTCCGCGAGATGGGTTCGGTCCTACATGTTTCAGCATATCAACGCCAGGTCCGATCTCGCCTTCCTTTAGTGGGTTAGCGCAAATAGCAACATTGTCTCGAATGCCTAGATCTACCAGCTTGTCAAGAATGTCATCCATGTGTTTGGCAGTCAGATTGGGACCCTTGAGATCCACATTGAACAACGGTCCTTCAAGATAATTAGACCCTTTGGCGTAAAACGGCTTCTTTGTGGCCTCATTATTGACAAGTGATGCATAGTGCTCAAAGACCGTGTACAGTAGAGGGTATCCTTCTTTGTCCGCACCCAATTTCCGCATTTCTTCCAAAGTGTAAGCGGCAGAATCAAAATTTTGGGAATTGTTAGGGCTGATTCTGGGTATCAGTCGAACTGGATGGGACGCTAGCAACTGTCCATCCTTGGTGGTGACAGCGTCAATATCGAAGCATTTGATTCCCTTTGCCCAGAATGCCGACATTGCCTTTAGCGAACCAACAACTTGATTTTCCGGTGGATCGAGTAGCTGATGGGAACAGATCCTGAATTGTTTCAGAGCTGAGCATTGTGGGTTAAGATGTAATTCATGAGCCCCACGAAGACTGCTTCGGGAAGAAGAGGAAAACGCCAAGAGAAGGACACAAAATAGAACTGTCGCGGATGTCACTCGTTGTATCTGTCGATGATTCTTGTTTGGTGACAAGGGCTTTGCATTGGGACCTGTTTTTTGGAGACAAATCATCGCTTCATGGTATGTATACCGAAATGAGCTGTGCAATGGTGGGGTCTGTTGTTGTTGTTGTTGTTGCTGTCCACTGCAGGGAACGTTCACGGTTTCAGGTTGACCTTCTCAGGTTGGCATTGGCGAAGAGATTTTTCTCATTGCGTCCTTCCGTCACTCGTTGGTGATAAAAATCAATAACCAATCGATCGATCTGACAACAACACGAAGACAAAAATCATCAACAACACCATGGCAACTGGTACTAACAAGAGAAAGACAAGCTCACCACCTGCTGGCTACGTCTGCAATCTTTGTAAGATAGGAGGCCATTGGATTCAACAATGTCCCCAAAAATCCAAGTCGAAGAAAAGAAAGACAGGCCACATCCCAGTGCCTGGCGTGGATCCATCGCAAAAGGATATCGAACTAGCAAGAGAGCTACAGAAGCTAAAAGCTCCAAACTGCTTTTGCGGCAAACCTTCGCGTCTAAAGAAAGTTAAAAAATCAAATGTCAATGAAAATTCAAGGGCAGTTGGGAAGTACTTCTTCTTCTGTGCATCCAAGAAATCAGACGATCCCTGTCGTTTCGCGAGACCTGTAAAAGAACATCGCCAACGCAGCAAGGGCCAAAGTGCCAAGGCGGATGAAAGCAACCCGACAATTAACGAAAAAACAGTCGAATCAGCAGCACAAGATCCAGGCGCCAGTTGCTCAGGCAATGATGACGAAGACAACAACGATCTTGCGAGCAAGAAAAAGTCAGGCAAGACCGAAGAGTCGCCTCCTCAGGTCTCAGATGGTTCAAAGAGTGGAGACAGCTCTAGCGATACCTCTAGTGTTGATACCTCAAGCGTTGGCTCTAGTAGCTCAGATGACAGCTCTGATGAAGAGTAGTCTTTGTGTACTAATATAGTCCTATGTTGTACTATTACGTTCTCTAATACATCAAGTGTAGTATCAAGTCATTTCTTTTTTGGCGGCAGCAGTAGAAGACCAATTTCCAGTTTGCCCATTGAAGCTTTGCTGCGACATTGATTGTGTAGAGCGCTGTTTTGCCTTCTCCAAGTCTAATTTCCACTTTTTCTTCACTGCCTCTGATTGTGCTGGTGCTTGCTGAAAGAAACTGGCTAGTTCTCTACAAAGTCCTTGGTATCCTCCTACCACAGGATTCCCTCCAACACCTCTGGACTGATGCATCGTCAAAGTTCTCATATGGTGACGCATCCACTTTGGAAGGTTCTTTTGGGCTCGGCAGATACCATCATTGGGTGATCCATCATCACAGTGCCTCGAATCCATCATCACAACCACACCATAGTCCGCACCATGTCGAATGCACCGACCAAGAGCTTGGGCCAGTGCACGGTAGGCCTGTTGAGAATACCATTCTTCGCCCGGTAAGAGACTTGTGTTTTTGTTGATACGCCGTTGCTCGTCATTGTAGCACCTCTTGGCTTTGATCGCTCGATCAGCAAAGGAAGGAAATGGGAGACCAACACAAATCACGCAGCGAGCATTGTCATCGTTGAACGAAATTCCTTCACTCATCTTTCCCCGAAAGACTGCCAGCAATATGCAATTGCCAGTCTGCTTGATTTGCTCCGCATATTCTGCCTTTGCTTCTTCAAACTTCTCTTGGTTACCAGTAGGCTCGACTATGACTTTTCCTTTTGAGCAAAGAAGACGACCCCAAATTTCTGGTGATTTGAACTGGTTGCGCATGAAGTTGAAACCGGTCGGGTTCCAACAGTTGATACATTTGTTAAGAAAGCTATAGCTTGGCAAAAAAACCAAAACACCCCCGCGTGGTATTGCTTCTATAAGTGTGGCAATTGCTTCTCCAAGTCGAGGGAAGTACGACGGATTCTTGTAGTTGTTGTAGTTTACAGTGAGGGGTGATCCATCAGGGAAGTGCCCAATAGAAACAGCAAACAGTTGCTTTTGGAGGTTGACAACATGATTGGCTTCCAACGGTTTGGGCCGGACCTGAAGTCTTCCATTTTTCAATGGAATCTCCGAATCCTTTATCTTGCTGTCATTGACAGCAGAGGGCAACTGGTCAGAGGAGCCCTGAGATAGCTTTGTTGGGCTGGAAGAATTGGGGGATTGAGACAAAGGTTTCTCTTTTGGTGGATAGAGACCCAATTCCGAACAGAGCGAGGGAATAGGTGCCAGAGATCCAGAAGCAAGGATCACACTATGACATTTTTCTCGAAGATCTTCCAACATTACGCCCGGAGAAAGTAATCGGAGAACTAGATGACATTCCCACTGTGGAATACCTCCATCGCAGAATGCACCATGGAAAACAGGTTGGCGCCCAGGGACCAAATACCCCCTTTCGTTCTTAGTTGTGCATGGTTCATGCCAGCATGCGGAACGGGGTACGTTCGGATGAGCTTCTGTGCTTGGAAAAGCATGCGGAAGCCTTCGTGGTTTCCTGCGCCATTTTTGCTGTTCCATAAGCGCTTTGTATTCCTCTTCGTCCATACCTGTTGCATAATCCATGTTCCCATTTGGTTTCATTGTCAAGGCTAAATAAAAATGTCTGTAGCAAAAGTGTCAGTTTTGGTTTGATAGAAGAATGGATGTGTCTGAGGCTGCACACAGAAACACACACATGCACACACACTGACGTACTCTGGGGATCTGGAAGCAATGGCAAATTTCTGGAAGAGGCCGAGTACTTCCAGCAAAGCTGAATTGGACTCAGAATTAGCCTCCATTGCTTTACTAGTAAGGTGCGACTCTAGAACTTCTGCTTGCCTGAGAAGGACTTCGCACTTCAACTTAGTAGCCTGCAATTCCTCCAGCATACTGGCACAACCGACAGTTTTCCCCTGGATGCCGTATCCACTGGGTCCAGAATACTTAACTTCTACTTCATGGTCGTCAGGGAGACTTCGTTTCTTATGTTCCGCTCTGATTTTCTCAAAACCTATTCGAGAAGAAAATGAGACTACGTATCAATTTTTATATGGTAAAGAAAAGCAATGAACTGTACCTGGACTGGATTCAAACCTGAGCCTCTCGTTTCTCATGTACGACACAAGCCGCTCGATGAAAAGAAGGAGCTCATGAGCAACTTCAGGATATGACATTTGCTTTGATGTACCAACCCCACCCTCCATCTCTATGCAGAGAAAATCGTCTTCTTCGCGGATTCGTTGATGTATGACTACAAGCAAGGAATTCATCATTTGGCAAAGATCAAGCTCTCGAAAGTCACCACTGCCGCTCTCTTTAAGTGTGTCCTCGACATTGTGCGCCTCGTCAAGTACTACTATCGAGTCTTTGAGCGATATTTGCATGGATTTCCGAATCGATGCATCTAGAATGTAGTTGTATGGAGCAAAAATAAGATCAGCGTGGGATTTCAAAGCCCGCGACATGTAATAGGGACAGGCAGATTCTTCGGAGTAGGATGCTACCATCGAAGTATCTCTTTGGTTCACTTCCTTGTTCTCGTAGTCCCTCATGACATCAAGAATCAGAGGATCCTCAGTCACAGTCATTATTCTTTCGACCATTTGATCCACATTAGTCCACATTGAATCTTCCCCATTCACGGCAACAATCCAATCTCCTGCTCTAAGACTGCGTGTCTCGGCTGCAGGAGTCCCATTTCGAAGCGAGTTCACTATACAACCACCGCCTTCGCGGCTTGACAACAGTATCCCAAATGACCCTTTTCCATCTTCTCTATAAAGAGCAATGCCTTTTTCCAAGTTTGGGTTCTTTCCAAATGCCACCAGATCTTCTATATCGTGGACTCCCAACTTAGATGCCTCTCCACCCACGGAACACGTTGCAATCCGGTGGGTGTTCCAAATATACCGAGATTGCATTGCTGACATATTTTTGCGGTTTGTGAGGTTCATATAGTGCGAGCATATGGGTTTTTCTTGCCTTGCATTCCCTCGGGTCTCTTGCTCGTCATCATCACCATTCTCAGTGTTATGTAACTGTTCTTCCTCTCTTGTGTGCGGTATGTACGGGCGGTCGTCATCGTAGCGAGATAATGATTGTACGATCAGCTGCTTCCTTCGCCTATCTGTCTCACGTTTGCGTTCTTGGCATGCAGCAGTGACGTTGATTCCTTTCTTCCCCACCACATCCCTATGTTTCAAATAAAAATGAGAGATTTGTAAAACAAACAGAAAACCATGTTTTGGTGCCTTACTGGTTGATACAAAGCCGATCTCTGCTTCCAAGCAAAGTCATTCTTGGTCTGTATGGAGTCTTTTTCAACGAAGCCACCATTTGCGCAACCTGACTGTGAGTGCGAGAGCAATATATTATCTTTGGTGCGCTCTTTGCTTTCGTAGATTCAATGATCATATCGACATCATCATTCGATTCCGGTGTCGATGCCTCCTTTTGCATCTTTGCATGATATCTTTGCCAGCCGAGGACGCTACATAAGATCGCAGCTGACTTCCCCGTTCCAGTTGGCGATTCTATGACAACATGAAGCTTTCGCTTCAGTGCCCTAATAATATGCAATGCCATTTGCCGTTGAGGGGGAAGAATAGCTGGAAATGGCCACCCTATCTTGACTCCTTCGACGAAAAATGAATTCTGAAGTTTCAGTTGACCAATGTCGCCATCCATAGATAACTCAGAGATGCGGAGTATGTCGTCCGAGTCTGTCATTTTAACAGCATGGGATAGTTGCTCCGCTAGGACTTCGGTTATCCTCATGTCTGAAGCTCCCTTTTCGCGTCTCCTTCTTCCGTAAGTGTCTAGATGACTTTCTCCGTCGTCATGCTGTTCTTGATGGTATCTTTCCCCTTGACGACTTTGCACAACTTCGTCAGATTGATCTTGCTGCCGACGTTCCAAAAGTCTTCGGTTTCCTTGTCGTAAGTGGTTTGATGGTGCGTGACTCATTTGTATCAAATCAATGATGTCTCTGGCGGCGTCTGAATTATTCCCTTGTTCGTCTTTTGAGGCTTTCTTCTTTTTTGGAACCGATTGCAATCGACAATGGTGTTCCCAGTTTTTACAATCCTTAGCTGGGGTATTGCATATGACACAGAAGCACTTGTCACACATTTTCATTGGATCAGAATCATAGGGATGGAGACCGCAATCTTTTCTTGCGTGGGGATATATTATGTTTGGGTTTGTTGTGTTCTGGGAGACTACCATCGGAGATTCAGAAAGCAAGTCGATTGCAGCTGCAGTAGCTACGGCTCTTGGAGGTGTGATGACTTCCACTTCCATGGCATCATTATCATCATTAGGATTACCAATATCATTCTCGTCTTCATCAATGATTACAACCTGATCGTTTGGTGGAGGCACCGCCTGTCGTTTCACTGATGATCCCTTGGCGCCATTTCCATTTTTCAGTTGTCGCTTTCCGTTGCTACTGTCGGTAGATCCCTCATGAGTTTCTGCATTTTTCATAGTACATCTATTGACCGTCACTAGGATTGGATTATGTCTCGTTGACTTTCATCTATTCTTGTGTTTCAGTCGAAGTAGTCAGTCAATCGCGGATAGGACTGCATGCACTTGAAACAACTACCGGTACCCCCCTACAGGTTCTAACAAAGTGTAAACAATGAAAAGAAGCACAAATAAACCCGCAAACTACTATTCTTTTAGAAGCAAAGTAGCACCTTTGTTGAAACGGCGAAAGCCAACAACCAAATACTATTTCATCTATTGCAGAGCCAACTTGGTTCCAACGGCACCCATGACAACACCCAAAGCGGCAATGAGCTTGCACAACTTGGTTTCCAAAGTGCTCTTTCCCTTTTGTGTCTTGAGGAACATGATGGTAGGGTAGATGAAGACCAAAGCGGTACCGAAGGTAGCTCCTCCGACACTAGCGACCAATCCCAAATCGGTCAACTTGGCGGCTGCCAAAGTGGTACCTGCCAATACTCCCAAAGTCAACTTGTTGAAGAGGGAGTTATTTCTTCCTTCTTGTGGGACCTTGAAGAGATCCAAAAGACCGTCACGGGTTCCGCTGAAAAGCAATGGATACGATCCAGTGACACTAATTGCCACAGCGATGCGACTCATGCTCATGAGAAAATCTTTCGTGGAGTAGTTGTTCAAAATAAGCCCATTCGAGGCGGCACCAAAAGTCAAGAATCCCAAGGCAGTCATAGCAGCGTAAATCAAAATGGCAGAACCGAAACTCCAGGCGATCACTTGGTAAAATCGGGACATGGTATTATTCTTGAGTTCCGCCAAGAATTTGGGAGCGTTAAAATGGGCAATGTAGGCGTTGGAAAGCATGCAAGTCAAAATGAGGGACTTGGCACTCAAGGCAGCCTTGGCTCCGCTAGCGCCAAAGGTTGGGGCGACAAGAGCAGTGGCCAAGTACTTTCCTCCCGAAGCGTAGGCTCCTCCAAAGTATCGCATGGCCATGGCAAACATGGTGTACAGCATACCTATAATACCAACAAGAGAGAAAGGTGCAAGACTAGCCAAGTTCTTCATCAAGCACAGCGGTAACAAGACAATGCCAGTGACTCCAAGGAGGGATTGGGTACGGGTGGCAACAATTCCAACACTGGACAACAGGTTGACCATGGTATCTGCCAAGATCATGGAATAACTCAAGTTTCCGAACCAACAGTCAATGAAGCAAGAAAAGGCAATGATGAAGGAAGTACTCTTGCCAACGGAAACATCCCAAGCTTCTGCGTAACTCATGGTGTTGGTTGTTCGGCAGACACGTCCAATCAATCCAAAAGTGTATGCAGAGATGGCACCCATGACAGCAATCAAAAGAGCGGCGGGAGCGACTGCGGATGGGGCATTTCCAAAGGCGGCGACACCTGATGGATATGATGAGAAAAGGTGGACAATATTGAGTTAGTTACAGCAGTGTATAACAGATGCAAATGGATGGTGTCATGACGACGACAAGACAATATAAAATCACCTACCTGCAGGCAAGCTGAGAACTCCTGCTCCGACTATGCTTTTAATTAGATTGAAAACCTCATTAGGGATAGTCGCAGTACCTCCACCTTGCTCTCCTCCTCGGGGAGCCTCAGCAGCAACATCGGAGGAAAGCCGAGTTTTGGGTGTCATGACACTGGGATTGGCAATGGCATGTTGGCGCGTGGGTGTCACCAAAGCAGTGGTGGCTTGGCAGCAAAGAGCTACGAGAAGAATATTGCGAGCGACTCTCATGCTGTTGTAATAGTGCTTGGTGTGAGGGAAATATGATAGGTGCAAGCACACACGAGAAGCGCCAAAAGGATATGCCTAAAGGATCTCATCAAAAAACGTCTGATCGCTCAAAATTTCTTGAGCCAATCAAGTTGCGTCCTTCCACCGGCAGTGGGAAATGACTTTCTCATCGCGCGCAGTGCAGACGTTACAAATCCAGATGCCGAAAGATTGAAGATCCGATCGAACGATGATATCGCTTCAACAACTTTTGACATATCCAAAAGAGTAAGAATGCAATTATCCAAAGCTACTCTTTTGGCTGTTTGCCTAGCGGCACCCACTTCGGCGTTTGCCCCATCCGCTTCCAATGGATTGCTTCGAGATGCACCCACTGCGCTGCCATCATCCCCCATGATGTCCTCCTCTAGGAGCAGCCGCCACCAGAGCATGGTCGCACCATCCCTCATGGCTGCTGCCGTTGACGACGCTGCCGAAGAAAGCATTCCTGAGGGAACCGCCACTGTCACGGAGCTCATTTTTAACCTGGTGAAGGGCATCGTCGGTAGGTTTGATGTGAAGTTCAATTTGATTGATTGATTTATGATATTCATTTTTGCTGTCTTTGCAAATGAGAAAGTCTAACATCCTGGCTATGATATTTTTATTACTATAGGAGCCGGTGTCTTGAGTTTACCTGCTGGTATTGCCGCTTGGGCTAATGCTCCTTCGGCTGTGGTTCCTGCCGTGGCACTTATTGCTGGCATTGGAGGTCTCTCGGGTTATGGATTTGCATTGATTGGTCGTTGCTGTGCCTACACCAACTCCAAGTCTTACCGAGAAGCCTGGGGAAAGACAGTCAACGAATCCACCAGTTGGCTTCCTGCTGTTGCGGTTACCTTCAAGACGCTTTCGGCCATTTTGGCGTACAGTATGATCTTGGGTGACACCTTTGTCAGTCTTTTGACCACTGCTGGATTCAGTGTTGCCAAGACTCCCGTCCTGCTAGCACTAACCTCAACTGTCTTGCTTCCACTTTGTTTGCTGAAAAACTTATCCGCTTTGGCCCCCTTTTCCTTGGTCGGTAGTCTTGGTATGATGTACACCGCTGTCGCCATGGTAATGCGTTATGCAACCAAGGCTTACACCAAGACTGGACGTTTTGGAACTGACTGTGCCGCAGCACTTCGTCCCGCTTTTGGAAGTGTTGGAGCCGAAGGAATCATGACTCCTTCAGCTGCAATTTTGGTTGGCATGTTGAGTACTGCTTACATGGCCCATTTCAATGCCCCAAAGGTGAGTTGTTTCATATTGTCAAATGGTTGATAATCTTCCCCTTCAATCAACCCTAAACATTCGCTAAACTTTCAACCCATCAATCTGCTTTCGAATAGTTCTACAATGAGCTCAAGGACAAGACCCTTCCAAAGTACTACAAGGTTGTCGGAACTTCTTTCGGAATCTCCATTAGCATCTTTGCCCTTATCGCTGCTATCGGTTTCTTGACTTTTGGATCTGCCGCCAGTGGATTGATCCTCAATAACTACTCAACTAAGGACAGTCTCATGAGTTTGTCCCGCATTGCCGTGGCCATTTCTTTGGTCTTTTCTTACCCACTTGCCTTTGTCGGAGCTCGTGACGGTGTTTCGGACCTTCTCAAGCTCAAAAGTACTCCCAAGACACAAAATGTTGTTACTTTGGCTATCTTGTCCGCTGTTACCTTTGCTGCCTTGAACATTGCCGATGTCAGCTTTGTGTTGGCACTCGCTGGTGCCACTCTTGGTAATGCTTTGATTTACATTTTCCCAGCATTCATGTTCAGAGGAGCCATCAGAGACAAGCCTGATGCCACTCCAGGGCAAAAGAGAGAAGTCAAGTTTGCCATGGGATCCGCTGTACTTGGATTGTTGATGGGTACGCTCGGTGTCAAGATGACATTGTCATCCTTGTAAATCCCGTTTCAAATGGACATGCAGCATTTCAAACTGGATCAGCAAAACCAATATTTTTTAAAACGTTGCGTCTGGACAGCGGGATGCTATGCCAAAAAGTAGCCTGCAAACAAGGGCAGCACCATTATCGTCTGCAACGAATATATGTTTAAACTGCTACCATCTACAGCAAGTTTTGGGAGGCTACAAGAGATGCAAAAGATTAAAAAGTCTAAAGGAATTGAAAAGTGTACAAGTAGTCTAATGGGTCGATGTATCAAATCTTTTTCCGGACAAAAGGTCCGGAGACGTAGAATCCTACTACGAAAACCTCCAAGTCCAGAGTGGTAAGTTGGGGGCAAATCCGGGGGAATAAAATCAAAAAAATTACAAGTTGAAAACATCTAGAAAGTATGGTAAGAGCAAGAAAAGAGCATCTATATCATTGATCATGTATTGCAGTGGTGGAAATATGTTCCATCCGTCATAGGTTGAATAGTCCGTTTAATTCTGGCATGACTTGTGGCCTGAGCATCCACACAAGCGCCCTCAAGTACAACGTCAGCATTTGTCATCATGCACCACCTTCTCACTTGCCCGCGCCGCTTCTGGAACAGTTATATGTCCAAATTTCTTTTCAAATTCATCACCATCGCTGAGATCGCCTCTTGGACTTCCTTGGTATTTCATTGGGTCTTGACTCTCTCAGTGGTTTATTGTTGCTAGTCCGCTTTTCCCCTGGTCCCTTTGCCCATGTGCTGTCACTACTGCCCCATGCAAAGAGGACCGCCGAGCGCTTGATTGCCAACCTCGACCTGATTGACTTCATTGTCCTACACCACTACCACTGCGGTAGGGCCAAAACTTGCTCTCTCTTCTTGACCTCTTGTTTCGTTTCCGACTAGTCCCTGGTGAATAGTCCGCTCCCCCTACTTCCAAGATCTCCATCACCATCTTAGATCTCCAACTGATTGATCTCCACTGCTTTCGCTCGCTACTGCTTCTTGCTTCTCAGAAGCCTTGAATATTTTGTGGTCCCTCTTGCAACTCGCTACTATTATCTATTGGTTTCACCATTCCATTGCTATGAACCCCGCCTTATCCCGTTGATAGAACGCTTTTGTCGTCTACTCAGTGTGTCAATAGGCACGAATCGATCACAAAAAGATTGCTGATTGTTGTTCTGTAAGAGTTGGCTGAAATTCATCGCCAAACTATTGGATTGAATGCCAGGCCCAAAGGAGCCAATCACCGGTGTAGAATCGGTTTCATGGTGAGATTACAACAGAATGGGAGAAGAAGCCAAGAAGATGTCAGATATCCATTACGTTTCGCAGCAGCCAACACTTCGCATACATAGAACATCTCGCCCAAAATCCAAAGGGAATCCTCCAATAAGTGCCTCCTGTGCGTGTCATCTAAAGATAGTGTGAAGGTGGGTTGTTGCCATCTTGACCGGCACGGAATCCCAACTGCTCCATATCACAATTCTAAAGATTTCGAACTGGATTCTAAATGATGTAGCGAAGTTGGGCCATTTCGTGTTTGTTGTTGCTTGGCATCTCTTGTTTGGATTTCCAAAGCGGCAACCACGTCGTCCTACAGGGACACAACAATTGTTTCGCTGCAATTCCCGGTGCCCCAATCCTGAGAGAAGGGGTAGCTCATCGTTACAGCCATCAGATATGACTCCTATAATGTTGTAGTTGTAATTTTTAGAGTCTCTCAGCGTCAATACGGCTTTTCGCATTCTTGGGTTGTCACAGGGATTATGCGTTTTATTGTTGTTATGTTGTTTGGAAAAATATATCATCAACAATATTTTTGTTATTTTTCCAGTCAAAGTAGTATACGATCATTGTGGTACAAACTTTGTATTCCAACCGAAGTCTAATTTTCTATTTGAAGATCTCCGGACATGTTTCCGGAGAATGTTTAGCTGAAACTCGTTATGTTCTTGCACCCATGTAGAAGCTGGTTCAAAGTGGTACATTTTGGTATCCCCCAATCCGACATGCTGTAATTTCCAGTTATTTTCAAAATCTGGGCAAAAAGTCCGGAGAAAGGGCTCAGTCCTACTAGTCGTGTCCGGAAACTCACATCTAATCTAATCTCGTAGTCCTCAGTCGTGTACTTTGCCAAAAAAACAGTCGTGTACACAACAAAGATATCAAACTCAACACATGATGCTGTTTCGATGGCATCGAAAGAACAACAAACGAAAGCAAGACAATGGCGAGCCCAAGTCCCGGCTCAAGCAACATACGTCAAATGCAATCCGTAGGGAGTGCCCGAATGATTTCCGATCGCCGTCAACTGGCTGGAATTCTGTTGTTGCTGGGGGTTTGCGCAACGATTGAACCATTGGTAGACATATCCATATTCGTTGGAAAAGAGGGATTCAAAGATGGGACGCCGGTAATGATAGCTTCGTTCGCTGCTGCTTTGGTACAAGTTGTATTCGGGTGCCTGGCTACTGCCGTTGGATTTTTGCATCTTGTTCTGGATTATGGAAGTCCAGCTCTATCCGGCGCTCTCGTCGTGGCAGTGCAAGGGGCGTGGGCACCATTTGTCATTCGACTTTACAAACTTGTCGAACAAACGATTCGACCATATGAACTAAAGACGTTTGAATCGCTTTCTGGAGTTGGAGCAACTGCAAAAGAAGAATATGTATCCAACCCATTCATTTCAGATGAATACGTACCAACAATTCGCGATGTCCGAATAGTCGGATCCACTGGAATAGTGGGAGAACTGAGCTACATGTTCGCTTTTTATGGGGGTTTGGCATTCTGTGCATTTGCGATAGATGCCTTTGACAGATACAAACCGACTGCTCGAGATGGGCGATTCTATCGGGGGCGTCACCTGCTGTATTCGTTTGTATTGGCACTCGCTGGGTTGAGTCAACTTTTGCTTGGAGCTTACATTCTTTTCGGATTCGGAAGTGGCCCTCTACATCATTCCATCAGTAAGTTGTCAGCTACATGGTTGAGTTCTTCAGCTGTTGTCTAATGTTACTGTTTTCTTCAGCTGTTGCAATGTATACGGTGTACTATCCCGAAATGACGATTACCATGGGGGCATTACAAATGATTGTTGGGTATTTTGGAATTGCTCGACACCTTGATATCGTACCAGCCGGTGCTGGCAACCATCAGTTTCAAGCAGCTATCTTGTTTCAGTGGATTTCAATGTTAGCCGTGCAATACTTGACTCAAATAAGTCTGAGTTTCGAAGGTGAATATCCAAGGGGACTACCAGAAATGGTTCTGCTTAGTGTTGGGCTGAGTGCTTTCCCAGCTTTCCTTGACTACAAGATGAGGACGACACCATTCAACATTCCACCGTCCTTCTACGACCTCCACGAAGATCCAAAGTCATTTCCAACTGATATGCAAGGAATCGCCAACCGAGGTCTTATTCTTCATTACACGTCCGATGACGACGAGGAAATGGCAAATCAAATGCCTGAACTGGAGGAAGAGCCACTTATTCAACCAAACAATATAGATACCTTTCAAGACGAAGAAGACAGTGACGATGAAGACGATGTTGTAGATCCTTCCGACCCAAATCACACAGACAACTCCAGACGGTCGCATGGAAGCGATAGTATAGACCCACCAACCGATCCATTGGCTGTGGATGCGTCTGAAGATGACGAATCAGAACAGCCCTTTGACTCGGACTCAGATCCACCTGTCCCATCGCGAAGAAGCAGCCAGATGCATCCACTTGCTTCTACCAAATTCTTTGGCGAAGAGATGCAACAACAACTGGAAGATTCAATAATCGACGATTCTCTGATAGACGACAGTAATCCGCAGATCGAAGCAATTCAAGATGATGAGGGGGACGACGGTCCGGAAATTGATGCGATTGACTCTTTGTTCCGAGAAAAAGCGCATCATAGAAGCAGCGACGTTACAGAAATGGCGTCCAATCAGTTGAAAGATTTGGAATCACTTCCAATGGAATCCTCAGATAATGAGGAAGATAATGAATACAATCTAGATAGAAAACAGAAGAAAGAGCGATCGCACTCCCGAGACCCTCCTGGAGTGACAAAATCAAAGTCGTATTCAAGTCATGATGAAAGTTCTGACACCCCAGATGACGACACTGATGCTTTGGATGAGAAGCTTCAAGAGATCGAAAGAGACTTATACACAGATTCAATGGAGCAATTCCGGCAGTCGCTGGTACACATATTATAGTAGATTTGTTGCATTTTAATGATTATTCGTACATTCGTCGCTATGGACCAGTACCTCGTCCTTGTGTATCACTACCACCAGTCCACTGATATTGTTGTTTCACTTCTGAGTTTCTGAATCTGAGCCCGGTACTAGTTTCATACACTCCAAGTACTCGAGCACCTTCGGCCCAGTAAGTCTTTCCACCTGAAGCTCTTCGTTTGCAATCCCGAAATTGCAATAATTGATTTTTCGTGTTCAATGGTATCAGCTTGCAGTGCTTGCAAAGATGGTTCTTTGCCATGTTCTGTGCAGCTTGGTAGAGTCCATCCAATGTGGCGGAGTAGTAAACTGCACCCCTGGCTCGTTCCCAGCTTTCTAGGCGGGTGCAGTGCCGGCATCTAATCCCGACCTGTTGTAAAAGAAGCGCACTTTAGAAAAGAGCAAAATATCGTCGATTGGAGACAAAAACGAAGCGAAATATTTTTCTCACCTGCCCTTGCTCAATGGCTTTGTTTCGACCTTGAGCATTCCATTGAACATCGTCAAAGTTGCTAAAATATGAAGAGAGTATCGTTAGTTAGTGATTCATTTTTCCTACAGTGCGAAAACATAGATGATGGGTCGTACGCTTCGAAGAGTTCAATTTGCTTTCGGAGTAAGCATTGATATTCAGATAGACTCTCGTCGTCACAGTCCATGTACATGACTATGGGACTCTGACCGTTCTTGGTGGGTGGGAGGTTGCCCACATCAGGTACCGCTCGAGACAAGGATGTTGCAGTCCCCACTGCATTACCCATGTTTGCACTAAGGCTAGCCAATAAATTATTTCCCTGTTGATATTGAAGATGTTGTGCTTCGGTCGCCTGAGCCAATGCACTTGTTGGCCACAGCGCCTGTCTGGAAGCAACCCCCATCGAAAAATTATTCGATGGTGTCGTTGGATTCTGTGTGGGTGGGAGGGATAAGAGTTGTTGAAGCTGATGCATTTGTTGTGTCCGAGCAGCAGCGATGACACTTGGAAGAAAAGAATTCACTCTCATTTGCTGATTGATCCCTTGAGACTGCAAACCCGTAAGGTAAGCGCCAAACTGCAAGGATGAAGCTGATGGCTGAAAGAGGCGCATAATATCAGGATTCTGAGCAATGATGTTGCCGAGGTCCAAGTGCGCCGCAGCTGCTGTGTGTTGTCCTGTTATTGGAGTTTGCACCAGCGTAGCAGAAGAATCATTCTCATCATCGTTCACCTCGTTTTGGTTTGCATTCTTTTTGTTCATTTCAATTGGATGACTATAGTATGCTATCAATCATTGGCGGTGAACAATTTTTATGTTTCTTTGTCAAATATGTGAACTACAGTTCAGTATTTTGTGCGAAAACTTCAACTTTTTTCCGTTCCTCCGAGCTTTTGATCTTCAAGTTTTAAGTGTGTTGGTCAATTACAATTATATATGACACTGCCTTCCATGTCAAAAAGCGTTAAATAAAAAATATGTCGAGCCAACAATTCCTCCGTCTGGTGTCCCTCAAAAAGGCAAACTCATTTAACGCGAAGAAATGGTCGCTCGAAAAGAAATAAAGGGAGGCGAAGGGTCAAACAGGATACGTCACGTCCACTGCCGGTATTTTGGTACGGGAGCTTCGTTGGTAACATGCCTGGTCCCCGCTCAACGCGTCGATAGTGCCAACAAGTTTGTATTTGCAACGCGCGGACACGGAAACCCAAAGGATTTGTTGCACTTTCGTGGATCGGACTTTTTCTCAACGAACTTTTTGTTTTTTCTTGTTCGACAACGAACAAATTGGGGGATTTTCGTGAATCGAATTCAAAAATAAAAATTCCCCATTTTCTTGCGGTAAGTCCCGCAGCAAGACTGCACCAGTGCCATAAACGAGAATAGGTTCGGGCATGACAACAGCAGATCTGCTTGGACCATGAACCCCGAAGTTTTCAACGACGAGGACGAGGCAGCCGCATGTGAAGATGTTCGTCGAATGGCGGAGGCACTCTCACCTCAAATGTCGGCGCTGGAAGATATTCTGAAAGACTACTCGGCTGAATCTGATGTTGACATGGATCATCAACCACAGTCTGGTTTCCTTGACGATGATGATTCCATTGATGGAGAAATGGAACGACTTTTGACATCAGAACAATCTCTTAGAGATGAATTACAATTTGCAGAAGACTTGAATGCCATGATGACGCCGTCAAGAGCGGAGGGCAACGGTACAACGAATCAGTTTTCACTTGAAACTTTGGACTCGGTTCAGAAGAGACTGTACGAAGACCCCCCAGACAACGAGGTACCTTCTTCGTACACACTAGATGATCATGCAGGATATTTGAAAATACGAACTGAAAAAGTAGGGGGATGGTACTACTGTGATATGACCAAGTACTTGGCTCCAGCTGGTGCTGACGACAACGAACTTGTCAAGGATTACTGCTTGCCTGTGCCCTTTCGGAAGCTGAAGCGATTGTACAGTGGATTGAGCTATCAAGAAGTTGCCCATAGTAAACGATCGTCACTTTCGACCCCAGCAAAACTCCTGCAGACCCCAACAAAAGTGTATCAAGCAGTGGCGGGGACGCGAACTCCAAGGGCATCCTTGACGCCCATCACACCGTCGCGAACTAGAACACCCGGAAACGCGCCCGCAACTCCCAGCACTCCCATGCCACCCCCCCCACCCCCTCCAATGCCACAAGAAGAGCCTTTACCAGTCAGAACTGTTGCGATTCGTCTTCGTTGTGATGTGCTCTGCGGAGCAGTTATGGATGCGGTGCACCATGCGTTTGATGTCTTGCCAGAGGATACTACATCGCAAATAATCAAGCGTCAAGGTGGACACTTGAGAGGTGCGGTGTACCATGCCTCGAAATCATTGGCCTATGTGGCAGACATTCAATTGTGTACCCAGAAGAGTGATGCTCTTGAACGACGTTTGATTGTTCGGTATTATCATGTCCAGGATGATCCCGAAGCCATGAATGAACTCGGTCAAGCTTTGCAGCGAAAGAAAAAGATCGAGCCAGAAGAGGTGACTCTCGAGACAATTGGAGATGGGGGAGCCGAGCAGGATTTGTTTGGAAATCAACACATGAAGCAATCATGTAGTCTGATTCAGCGGTTAATGGCAGCACAACAAGGAGGGGGTGCTAGCAAGATGGATCAGAAGCAACAGTCAAGTTGGTTGGGTTTGCAGAATTTCTCATCCTATGAATCCAAGAGCGAGATGCAGCGGTCAATTGGACGTCACTTGTTGTCCAATTTCAAAGCTTGTCCATCGGTTCGAGAGGAAAACAAAAAGGCAAATCCAACCATTCGTCGATTGACGCTTCCAAGTTTATCTCATAGGGATTGGCCACTTTTGGAAATTTCGTGGGAATTTACGAGAATTATCTTGGATGAACTCGATAATCGAGACTGCACCTTCAACACCCTTTCCACACTTCCCTTTGGACAGTTCCCTTGTCTTCCAACTTTGGATGTCCATTATTGCTCACAGCTAAGACGAATCAGTCGAGAAGCAATGATAACGCAATTACTCAAATCAGCAAAAGAACTGGAAGACTACGCAAAAACAGCACAATATAATTGTGCAGTGTGCATAACACTGCTCGCACCAATGCTGGATCTATATGGCATACCTCCAATGGGTCTTCCCCAAGTATCGAAACCTTTGGATCATTATCCACTAGAGTTCACCCCACCCCAAGTATCCTGTCCTCCGTGGGGAAGTCTGGTCATGGAAGCGCTGAACAAGGTGGCTGCAAGAACGCCAACGGGCGAGATAACTGATGACGAGGCGGTCAAAATGGTGTATCAAGCTCTTGTGAAGCAGGATGATGAGGAACAAGCCGCCCGATTGGGTCGTAAGAATGCCCAGATTATGGATCGACTAGCAAAGCTGCAATCGCACCAACGTCTTTTGGTTACCAAGATCCGAGATTCTCACGCTTTCAGCGCAAAGGCAAAGGCGGAGGCGGATAGCTATTTGAAGCGGGCACAAGCTGCATCGAACGAAGGGACGCAAGCGTTCCCATCACATCTCGAAAGTTCTGTTCCGCTCTTGAGTTTTAGGATATCACTTGGTGCATCTTCGTCAGGATACTGCTACGTCACACCGAGTCAAATTCTTTTTACAACCAAGAGCATCCCGATTGTTGGAGGCAAGACCACAACCGTTTTCGATCTGGAAAAGGTTGACTTTCAAGTGATAGAGGGGGCAACATCAACGTTATTAAATCCTTTCCCATATACTATGAATGTGGTTTCAAAACGCTCGGGGCAAGTCTTTTATGGCTTCCGACCAGCAGTCGGGCCAGTCAGATTGCAAAAGTTCTTGTCAGTCATCCAAAGTTTTGCCGGAGAAGAAACTCCTGATGAGTTTTCCCGTGTTGTCGGAAATGTTCAAGCTGTTGAAGAAGATGGGGATATCAATTTAAGCGAACCTCAATCGGATGAATTGTCAATATGACCAAATCTGCTACGGCAGATGCCTGCAGTTGTTTCTATATGTAGTTAAACGTAAGCTGAAATTTTGATTCTATTCTATTGTACGGTTATAATACGCATTCCGAACCATACCCCAAATGGCGGATCTGCGTTATATCATAGCCTTGACGTTATTTGGTCTTCTTGGTTTTGCTTTTGGTTGCCCGGAATGTGCTCTCTGAATCAATGGTTGTGATGATGATTTGAGAGCTAGCTGTCTCGTGGTCTCTGGGGAATATGGACTTGTTGCGACTGACATTGGGAATCTGCCACCTTGTTCATAGGTGGCCAAACTTCCTAGCTCAACGTCAGGTTTGTTCTGCACTCTTCCGATTTCTTTCTCAAGCTTCTGTTCTGCTTGTACCGATGTCATGAAGGTATTCAGATCGACGACTTTGCCACTCTTTGTTCTCTTGTTCTTGCTTAGCTTCCAATCATCCCTACCACTGACTTCTTTCTTCTTCCCACACAATCCACCAAATGGTGGATAGAACGGCCATCCAAGAATGTATGGATTCAAAATGATTGGCACTACAACTGCAAACAAGGCCATGAGCGCAGGCGGCCCAGCGAACAGTGCATTGGAAAGTAGATCATCGCCTGTAGGAATAGCAGTGTAATCCCAATCCATGCTCTCCAATACGGTTACGTAAGACAGGCACAGAAGGTAGAAAGCAATCATCAAACTTCCAGAATTGAACCGGAGCGTGTCCCAAAGTGCAGTGCACCGACTGATGTGAATGGTATCTTTGTTCGTGGCCGAGACGATAGCACTTTTCGACATCAGATGATCCATTGAACCAAGAAAGAAGTAGTTCCCCATGACAGTGTAGAAAAGGATTTGGAAGAGCATCGAATATCTGACCATTTTGTAAATCAAATGGCAAACACCGCGCTTTCGGTACTTTGGAAAGAGAAGGTTCTTGTTGATCATGTGCATGCGAACCATGGAAAACAAAAAGGTAGAATATCCAATGACATAGTACACCACAATACTCAATATCAATACGCCGGCACTGTTGAAGGCCATAAGATAGCTTACTTCCGATTCCTTGTCGATAATTTTGGCAATGGCTGCGGTGGAAAACACTAGAAGATATGCTCCACCACTCGTGTAGGAAAACAAGTACGCCGTAAGAAAGATCTTGTAGTAACTTGGAATGTCTGATCGTAGAAATGTGTTGAACAGCGGAGAGAAAATTCCCTGTCCGATCCAGCTATTAATAGGATTGAACATGAGTTCGTGTCCTGGAAATGGGAAGCAACGTGTGAGCCGAACGTGTGGAACACTTGCAATCCAGCAACAGGCAAAGCAACAGCAAGCCAGACTTACCTCCCAATGCAAACTTTCGGTGTCGACCAGCCTCTTCGTCAAAGGTTCTTGTGATTCCCTCTTGGAACTCGCAGTCGGGATAGGCAACATATCTACCATTGAATCCAAGATTGTAGAGATGGATCATCAACTCAAAATCCTCGGAAACGTGACACTCGGACCAGTACTCTGTACTACCGTGATCCTGCAGGTTGTTCAAACCGACCTGATCAACGCTAAGAAAAGGTAGCCCAATGTTGTGCAGCCACCGTTGCGTCTTTCGCAGTGTTCGGATACGTCCGCATTGTTTCACAGCCTCACTTCTCAGAAAGATGGAATGTCCAACCAATGGAGGGTGACAACCGAGAATAGAACTTAACAGGAAATGACCTTGGTATAGCGCATCCGTATACGCTGACAGCATGTTGATGTAATATGATTCTCCGCGCTGGTCGTCCAATGTCTGAAAGAAAAAAATAAGAGTTAGTTAGCGTGACCACATCCAACGACAGTCATCAACCAGTAACAGACGTCGCTGCCAAGAGGACGCACCTTTGTTGCATGCTGAGTAAACCCCAAAAACTTATCGTTCAAAAACTCAGGCACGGTCTTAAGAATGACTGTTTCGGCCATGCGGGCATCGGCATCGTTGACAATGATGAGGTGGCCGATCGAAATGTCATTCCCAAACATGGTATCTCTGGATCCGTCCGAGTTGTGCGATACTTCCAAAAAGGATTGCTCTAGGGAAAAATCATTCGTCTTGGCAACCTGTTCGGCACCCCACACAAGTCGTAAATGTGAATTGAGATTGGAAGCCTTCTTGAACTTTCCTCTTCGGTCCCAGGTGGACCGTGCTACGAATCCAATATCGTAGTGATAGTAAAAGAGCATTCTATGAAAGACTTCGTAGACACTGTGACTCTTGAGACCCTTCAAGTGGCGGCGAGACGGCCGTGGAACTCGTTGGAGGAGCTGACTCAGTTTGAATATCTTTCCATCCGTTTTCGAAATTGTTTCCCAAAGCATTTCTGCCGCCGCAAAGTTATTCTTTAGGAATGCCATGATTCCATCATCACAAACAACAATATTGCAACGTGCTCTACTTTTTCGCATATAGTAGTCTCTCGATCTCATGCAGCTTTTCAGAGTTGGCATCACTACTTCTTGTAGCGATTCTTTGTACACTGGGATTTGGATTGTTACATTGGACCATGAAGCGGTTGCAGCCTTTTCTTCCGGTATCATGGAGCAGTACTTTGTATTTGTCTTGAACGCTCGCGATGGAATGAAGCATTTGAATATGCTGGATACAGTGAAATATGAGTTCCAAAACAGCCCAAAAAATGAAAGAATACCTGATTGATGCGGTAGAATGATTGATGTTAGGTTAGAGAAACTACAAAACACAAGTAGATAGAAACTGAAGGCTTACCAAGGATAACCTCCACAATGATTCTTCCAATAGACGAATAGTTCCAGATAGCGAGTACAAATATAGATATGCACCAACCAAATGTCAGGGTGAATGCAATAGCGGAAGCATATCGTGCAATTTGCAGTGGTTCTGTTGGTCGAGTGGATGGTCTGTTTGCCGGCTTGGCCCATGGTGAACCTGGAATTTCATGTACCCCCTCATTCAGCACTGCTGTTTTCTTGGGATCAAAGAAGATTCGATTGGGGTTTTCGTCATCGTCAGCATACTCATTGTAGCTGTTCTCGTCAAAGAATTCTTCAACATCATCATCCTCACTGTGCCCAAATGGATTGAATTGGTAAAAATTTTCCTTTGGAGAGCGTCGGCCGTCGTTGCCATAGGTTACCTCCACATCATTCTCGTTGTCGGGGGAATGTCGTCTCATTGCTCTGCTCTTGTAACAATATGATATTTGATGTTCTTTCGACGTGTGAATTGAGTTTATGATTTACCAATGCCAAGAGAAAATTGTTTCAAACCAATCGTTTCGTAGTTTCAGTCTTGACAGGAAAAATGGCAATAGATACAATGTGACAGTCTTGAGCCCTTTTTGTTCTTGATACGACAGAGGTAAGCTTCCACTCAAGATGATGGTATGAATGTCTCACTTATTGCATTCGAGTCGACCGATCAAAGTGGTCCGTTGAAATTTTTGATCAAATTGACTTTCTGTACCACTTCTACTATCGGCACGCGCTCACCATTTATTTGGCCTGAGTCTTGGGGAAAATCGCACATGTATTTTTCAGTCACGGGCCAAAAGCACATGAAAAACTTTGGTGGCCCGAAGTTTCTTCGTGCCGCTCGATGAGATTTTGAAAATGTTGGTCGCCGTCATTGTTTTTCCCTTCCGACATTTTACAGTAGAATTTGGTGTGAAGAGAGACTACAGTAGACCTGTGATACCGGTACCGATACCCCCTACATACAGTACTGTGGTATGGTACAGCAGAGCCAACCGACCATGTTTCGCTCACTCTAGCAGGTAGTGTGATATTAATTTTCTTGTTTTGAAGTCATTCTTTACATAGGGTTTGTTTGGCAGACTATGCTGCTGCTTCTTCATATTTTTTACCTGCGTTCCGACCTGCCTGGTCGTACCTAGGGGAGTACTTTACAGCTCTACTCTATTTCCAAGTCTAACAATATTATACTAGCTGCTTCTTCTCAAAATTCCCAACATTTGAAAAAGATACCGGTCGCAGCCACAGGAGCTATTCCTAGCTCAGCTATCAGCCAACTCGCTCATGACAGCATGTACTGGGTCCGTCATCTTTTGGCCTTTGGAGCATGCTGGGAACATGTGCGCCTCTTCACCAGCAATGGATCTCGATGGATTAGTAGTAGCCAAACAGCTTCCAATGTCCTTGGCCAGCTGCTTCATACAATGGCGTCGATTCATCATTTGATTTCTTATGGACTGCAACGCGATCCAAAAGCAGTTGCACAACCTCCACAAGACCGCAATGACATTGCCTGACCCAATGACGCCAATCCCGGAGTTCGTCTTGCTTCAATATCTGTTGGTCTGTGCATTCAAATTGGCATCATGATCGAGCGATTCTCGAACCGCACTTTCATCGCTCACGGTATGCAACGTTGTAAAACCGCTTCGTGTAGTTGCCTCCGTATTGGCAACTTGACCTACGGTACAGTACATAAGAATTGGAACGCTGCGGAGACGCATGGTCGCCTGACCGTCGTTCATAGAGTCAATGTTGAATCCGTTGGTTCGACCGCTTTCTTTACGTTAGAGCCAGCGACGACTGTACTGTGGTACCGGTAGTACCAGGTACCTATTCCTCTATACCGGACACGTTGCGACCGAATATGGTAGAGCCAAAACCGACCAAATTTCGCTTGCTGGCCTGATGTTAGGATTACTATTGCTTTATTTCATTCCATTTCATTTCATTTTAGTAGTAGTACTAGTGTACAATTTGCGAGTTAGGGTTTCTTTGGCAGACTGCTGCTGCTACTGCTGCTACTTTTGCGAGAGAGTCGTTCCTTTTGCTGTCGTTTGGACAAGGGAATGAGCCATTCCATTGCTGACTGGATTCCTACCCCTGTCTTGGCAGATCCACAACACAGTCCAGTCATGGGGTTATGATAGTGTGGCAGCAAATAATTGGTGCCATAGATTTTGTCCGTCAGCCGAACATTGGCATTCCCAAAAATATGTCCCAATACCAAGAATGGAACGTCGTCCGGTATCGCCTTTCGAACTTGCTCTAATACTTCTTGTTGCTTCGCAGCATCCAATGGTTCCTTCGTGTCCTCTCCCTCTTCTTTGTGGTCACCACTATCATCACCACCCAATTTCCAACAATAGACTACACCATCGCAATCATCGTAATATTTGTCCCACAAATCGTGCATTGTGCCACCGACATCAAACAAGTTCACTTGAACACCATACATATTGATCTTGCCCAAATTGGTTCCGACTGCAGATTCAAACAAATGAAATGAAAAATAGAATCGTTAGTGAATGTGATGCATCATCAGCATCGACAACCCAAGTCATAACAAGACACAGTCTCAGTAGGCCACTCTGTACTCACTGGTCGGTCGAATCTTATCCAAAGACAACATTTTCGAATTGTATTTGCGATCCACTTCCTTGTCGTTGGCTTGCAACAAGGCTGCCTTTACAGCATCTTGCGTCATTCTTGGTGCAGCTGCTGCTCTTGATCCAACCGTTTGTGGAATGTTGCTAATGCTCGTCCGTTTGGGGGCGATTCCATTCGTTGCTGTTTTTGTTTTTGCTGATGGTGGTGAAGCGTCACCACCATTAATATCCAAGGCTTCATCAACGTTGAACTCTTTTGAATGTGTCCGTTGTCGTCCCTTTGGTGCTTCATTGTTGCTGCTATTCTGAGAAGTGCTATGTTCATCGTCGGCATGAGACGTAATGGAGTTGTTGTCATATGGAACAAATTCTTCGTCTTCGTCACCCTTGGTATCGTGGTAACGTTTGGGAGCCGGGCAAATGAGTCTGGCCAATCCTCGACGCTGTGCTTGAGTGACAACTATCGCAGGTGTGGGCGAGAAGGAATGGGAATTGCTGCGCCGACGCGAATTCTTGTGAGGTGTAGTTTTGCTGAGGGAAGATGACGATGTGACCGAGTTCATTCTTGGCAGTTGAGCGGTGAGATCTTTTGCTTCCTTGTCGTCGGCTGCGGTTGATGCTTCGGTGCTAGTAGTCGTCGTTTCCATCTTGCCAACAGCTTCGTACACTTCCTCTTCATCATCATCTTCTGGGACAAAGCTTTCTTCCAGTATTGGTGGCAACGGTGCTAGGGACAAGGATGGCTGTTTGCGAGGTCGTTTGGGAAATTGGGTCACCTTTAATCGCTCCAGAAGTGCCGTCTTTCCAACTCCTGCGGGACCCACGATCAGCAAATTGATCTGTACGGGAGCCAAGTAATTGTCGTAAACACCATTGACCAAACTGAACATGGTTGCTTAGTCTGATTGCTCTTAGTGTTTTCGTTTTCGTTTCGTTTCGTTTCGTTTTCGTTTTGTCTTGTGGAATCTTGTTTCGATTGCGAACCGAACACGAGGTGTATTGGAAGATTGAGATGAGTCGTCAAAGGATGGATACAGTAGGAGACTGACTCTTTTCAATGATGATGAAGAGAAAGAGAACACTGCTTGCAGACTTTTGGTGCTTTTTTTATTAAAAAGGTTGAAGAACAAAATGCCGCCTTGTTCCGTTCACAAAGGATGGTCCAAAGAGAGCGAAAGCTAGATGTGTTTGAGAAGCTTGATCTGCAACAGCCTGGACTGGACTCTACCAAAACAAGAACCGAATCCTTTCGCGGTATAGTATGGTGATTATATTGAAGTGGTGCGTTCTCACCGGTTGTTTTTCCAATGCCATCTCTTTGGAAAATGGTGACCCAGTCGCTCATTTATGGCGCATGTCGTTGTGACGTCTGATTGTTGATCGCGTTTCATATATCTTTTGGTCGAATAGACATTGTGAACGATATGATGACCAAGCCAAAATCATCTTTCAGCAACCCTCCACTAAATTTGTGTGTTGTTGGCATCCTTCCTTGCAGTATCCTTCCAATCTTGACTTCACTCATTGTATTGAAACGCAAACCAACAAAAATAAAGAAAAGAATAACCATACAACAGCAGCAGCAACAACAACAACAACAACAACAACAACAACAACAACAACAACAACAACAACAACAACAACAACAGACAGACAGAATGGACTTTTCCGATGACTATGCACGATCTGCTCCCTGGGAAAAGGTAACACGCAAAGTGATTGATCCAATCACCTTTGCTTGCACTGCTTCCATCGAGTATCGACCACAACTGGAAGAGTGTGCCTATGAAACGACAGGTCCTTCCATTTCAGAGCCTCGGTTTGGAGATGTATTCAAGCGATCCACGCGCAAAGGAATTGCACCTCCAGCATGGGCTCCACCCAGCAATCGAACGCCGCAAACCACAACACGCAAAACCACAGTACAACAACAGCCAGCAAAGAAGGGCGGCTCCAACTCACTGGGTGCCTTTTTCCAAAAAGCATCAGCTCCAACAAAAGTAGATCCAGACAACATGTCCGTGGGATCCCGTAGTATTGCCTCTCGTTCGGTGGCGGATCTCTCCATTGCGGAACGATCCAAAACGGAAGAAAAGCTCAAACGCAAGGCCAAGAGCAAAAAACAAAAATCTTCTCGCCTGCACCAAACGGAATCCCACCACCAATCACAACAAATGAATGACATTATGGAAGACGGTGACACGGACAAGAACGAAGAGAGCGCACCTCCATCCGAGGCACCCAAAACACCCAAGAAGCAACCCAGGTCGGGGCTTGTCAAAAAATTAAAGTATGCGGTAGACGTCGACGACGATGACAAATCATTAACTTTAGATGATGTCAAAACTGAAAGGACGCTCCATTGGGGTGAGGGACACGAAGAGTTTGTGATTGATCGAATCACCAACAGTATGTACGACGATTTGTTCTATGGGAGTGAAGAACTTGCAGATTTCAGATATGAAGCCTTCTTGGAGGACGCTGGATTGGATGCAGACGAGTACATGTAAAATGTTGTAACATGTGTAAATGCTAACAGTACAGTAGTATAACAGATTCAGCACACGCTGTACTCGTACCATTATCATACTTTGAACTTGTAAAGACTTTTGTGTTGTTGATCAATCCGATCGGTCTGCGATTGGGGTTCTCGTTTTGATCAGAACCAAGAATGAATGAAAGAAGACTATGAGTATGATCAAAATCACTGACTGCTGTCAAAGTCCTTTTATAAACTACAGTAATAATACACAATGGGAACAAAAGAAGATGAAAGCATTGACCAGTCCAATCCAGCCTTGGTCTTTGGAGTCTCGGGCGAGCAAGGTCGATCAGTAGCCGAGGGGCTTGCCAATGCAGGATACGCTCCAGTCTATGGATTTACTTCCAACCGAGACGTCCTCAATGACCAATATTTGTCCGACGCATTGAATTGTATTCTTCTGGAGGGAAGCTTTGGAAATCCCAAGCAAATTGAAAAGGCGCTTGTTTCCACCCGGGCGAAAGCCATCTTTGTCACAACAACAACACAACTGGCTACAGACGAACATGCCGGGTTTCAAGCATCCCGGGACGACGAATGCGACTGCATTATTCAATTCTTTGCAACGCTCAAGAAAGTGTATGATGAGGATAAACTGGAAAGAACGGTTGTATTTTCTACACATGACAATGTAGAAGCCTTGTGTCGCAAACACAAGGAAGCGACAGGTGAAGATGCTATCCTTCCTCAAGACGATGGTTCAATTGTCCCACATTATTCTGGTGAGTCCTAGCTCGGCAAAGTGTGAAGTTTTCATGTATTGCTTGAATAGAAATTCTCATCATAGTGTCTACCTCCTATATGCTACAGCCAAGGGGAGAGGTGGGGAAGAAGCGCTCAAGATGCTGCAAGACACTGACGGAATCAACTTGATCTTGTTGTCTATGCCATTCTTCTATAGCAACTTTTTGGGATTCTTTGCCCCCCTACCGAATCAAGGACGTACACAGTGGGAATTGACGGCAGCCTTTGGTGATGGATCCACAAAAATTGACATGATGGATCCTGGAAATTTGGGACGATTGGTTGGTACGTCCTCTTGCCCAGTCAAAAGCGAATGTTGTCTTGACGAGAGTAGTTCGTCTCACTATCATTTTTCCATATCCTTCTCATTCTCTTGCTAGCGAGTCTCTGCAGTGATGCTTCCAAGTATAGAGGGAAAATTTTAAAAGTCGCAGGAGAGCGCATTTCGATGGATGAGATTGCCGAAACCATTGGAGATTTGTTTGGAAAAGACGTCATCTACAATCCCCTCTTACCGGAAGAACTTGCATCCATGGACTTTAAAACAGCTCCAGCAATGGCACAAATGTGTCAATTCTTGGCATCCCCACTCTCTCAACCCCATGATTTGGATTTGACCAAACATTTATTGGCACCTCGGGCTCCAACCTCATTCTCGTCATGGCTACTGGCCCACTCGGACGGTCCAGCATTCACAAAGGTAGGATTGGATCAAGATTCTCCAGAACTGACCAAAATATGTGTCTTTGGAGCCACATCTATAAGAGGTCAAAGTGTCATCCAGGGTCTACTGAAGGATGACAGAAAGTCATATCTCATTCGCGCGACAACTAGGCAAGATCCGAAGACAAGCTTGGTTGTGCAAGGGATTGTAGCGCTGGACCCTAGTCGCATTGAATTTGTCCAAGCAAATTACGATGATGTAGAATCTTGTAGAACGGCAGTAGAGGGAATGGACGGAGTTTTTATGGTTGCTGATCTCCGTGACAATCGTGGGGAGCTCTTCAACACAGAAGAGCATCATGTCCACAACATTATTGACGCTTCTGAAGGAAAGGTGCAGCACTTGGTATTTTCTGCCTTGGGCAGAAGCGATGTTGCAAAGGATGGATTACCGCAGAAGGATTTGCTAGAATTCTCATCAACGGCACAGATTGCTGCTTACTCCAAGAGCAAGAAGCTTTCCTGTACATTCATCGTCATGCCGTGCTTCCCTGGAGATCAATATGATATTGTCCAGAGCCAAAAGGGCACTGAAAACGCCTTTAACGCCATGCTTAAAATTCCATCTGCAAATGGGAGTGTTGAATATTGCATCAGTGTCAACGAACTGGGCCCTGCAGTGGCGGATATTTTTGACAGCTTTGAAGTCTTTTCAGGACATGAGCTTGCGCTCTTGACCAACTTCGTGACTGTGGAGCAAGCCGAGGAAGTCAACGGGGCAATCGATTCAAAAGCGGAATTCTCTAAGGGCAAAACGAGAGTCGAAGCAGACCACACATACATGAAGGATCTTGGACAACTTTTTTCCAAAATGAGCCATTCCACCATGATTGCAGGCCGACACGAAACTGCAAAGACATTGAACTTGATTCCAAATGCTCAAAACTTGAAAGGTTGGGTGGAGCATAACAGCGAGAATGTTGCATTTAGAGAAAAGTTGGGAATTAGATGACGATCAGAAAAGGAGGGAGATTGCAATAGCTTCCATGTGAAGTTATGAACTCTTGAATGTTACTTTTTATATAAAAACAAATATTTACATATTATGCAATTCTAATAGGGCATCGGCTTCGAAAGTTCCCAAATGCTGTAGCGCTTTGTTTATCGCCCGTAAATATGTGTACCTTTTCGCACTTTACGTGATAACAGTCGGTTCTTCAGTTCCAATGTATTCCTTCATGCCGCATAGATCCAGAGCGACACGGATCAAACCAGCAAGGGCATCAGCTGCCAAAGAATCAGTCTTTTCGGGTTCATATTGTTCGATGTACATACGAATAGTGGCTCCGGAACCGGCAGTTCCGGACAATCTGAAGATAACACGAGATCCATCTTCCATCAAGAATCGAATACCTTGCTTCTTAGCGACGGAGCCATCAACTGGATCGACATATGTAAAGTCGTCTGCGGTGGCGATCTTGTACTTGCCAACTGTCTTTCCAGTGTTCGATGCCGTTTCAGCACGCATCTTATCCATCATGGCAACAGCCTTGGTCTTGTCAACACCCTCGTAGTCATAACGGCAGTAGTAGTTGCGGCCATACTTCTTCCAGTGCTTAGTGACCAAATCCTCTACGGTAATAAGAGGCTTGGATGCATCAGTGTTGACAGAGGCAAGAATCGACAACCAAGCAAGAACAGCCCAAAGACCATCCTTCTCACGAACGTGGTCAGAACCGGTACCGAAACTCTCCTCTCCACAAATGAAAGGAGTGTAGTCTTTTCCACCAAAAAGAGCCTTGGAATCCATCAAGTTTCCAAAGTACTTCCAGCCAGTAGGGGTTTCAAAAAGGTCGAAGTTCAAATCCTTGGCCACACGGTCGACAGCTCCACTGGTAGGCATAGAACGGGCAACACCCTTCAATCCTCCTTGTGCCTTAAAGAATGGGATCTCGTCAGCGTAAGAAGCAATCACAGCCAAAGAATCGGATGGACTGACAAAGAACTTGGTTCCAAGAATCATGTTTCGATCACCATCACCATCTGCAGCACAACCAAAAGATGGAATCTTGCGGTCACCAGTGTCGACCTTATTACCCTTGCGGTCAAGACCCATAAGTGCAACAAGTTCCTTAGCGTAAGTAAGGTTTGGATCGGCGTGACCACCGTTGAAGTCCTCCTTTGGAATGCAGTTCATGCAAATATCCTCGGATAGTCCAAGTTCTTCAACGAAGACCCTCTTGACGTATGGTCCGTTGACACCATGCATAGCGTCGTAAACCATGCTGAAGTCGGGACGATCAAGAAGTGCCTTGATGAGGCCAAAATCGAAAACTGACTTTAGCAAATTGACATGGCTCTCGGTGGAGCTGATAACTTCAACACTGACTTCAGTGCTTCCGTCGGCAGACTTGACGGTTGTGGTTCCAGCCTTGGCGATGTCGACTGCAGGGAAATCACTGCAGATGTTGTAGCTGCTGATGTTGGTGGTGTTTTTATAGATAGCCTCTGTAAGCTTGTCAGGAGCTGGTCCTCCATTTTCGCAATTGTACTTGATTCTGTGAAAAAAAAGCAAATTGAGTGAGATATCTGGATCGATGCAAAACTGAAGAAATGACAAAAAATCTTACCCGAAATCTTCCTCTGGACCACCGGGGTTGTGACTAGCGGTAAGAATGAAGGCACCGAATGCCTTTTGCCAGACTGGGCCACGTTCACGAATAGTGGCAGAAACAGCAGGGGTGCTCAAAAGACCATCTTGTCCGACCCAGATCCGGTTGACACCGTTGGCAGCTGCCATCTTGATGATGATCTGAATTGCCTCAGGGTTGAAGTAACGCCCATCTCCTCCAACAAGGAGCGATCCTTCGGACACGTTGGTTCCACTTTCCTTGATTGCGTCGAACGCAGCTTGGACAAAGTTCTCTAGATAGTTTTTGCCCATGAAAACTTTGGTCTTCTTACGAAGTCCAGAAGTTCCAGGCTTTTGGCCGTCAATAGGAGCGGTGGAAACAATGGTCTTTTTCAATTCACCAAGACCAATGGTATCAGTCAAGTCCAAATCCCCAGTGACTTCTCCAGCAGGAACCAGCTTTGGCTCATCGCTATTGTTGACAATGGAAACATCCCCCACGAACTTGGTTCCCTTGCCCATTCGGACCAATCCGGAGACCTTGAGCTTGGTACACTTGACAAGAGATGGAATTCCTCCAGTAGTAGACTCCTCGAGAGCGCCAACCAACTTATACTTCTTGCTGTCCAATGCCATGGTTGGCGCCTTTCCACCACATTCAGGGTTCAGTACGGGCTTGTTGTTCTCGAGCAAGTATGCGTCACTTCGAAGCAACAACAAGTCGTTGCACTTCTTCACTGGAGCGAAACGAGTACGAGGGACAACAATGGCAGACGCTCCCTTGAAGCATTCGATAGCAGCTCCCATGGCTGTCTCCAATTGCAAAACCTTTTGAGAGCTGTCATCCTTCGGATCAACTGTCTTCTTGTTCTTGATCATGGGAAGAGGAATAAACCCGCCGCTGGCATTGATGATCTCCTTCAGCTTATCAAGACGAATCCACAAGTTATTGGTATTGAAGTAGCGGTGCTTGCTGATATCTTGGAATGCAGCTTCATCCTCGTCGGCGCACATGGCAGATTCGCGAAGAATCAGTTGTCCGTCAGAGTTGCGAACGGCAAGGTGACCTCCCTTCTTGTCGTTTTCAGTTCGCTCGCAGCACTCCATCATGAAAGGCGTATCGGACTTGGCAAAGTGAGTCAAGATGGAAAGGTCCAAAGAAGCTCCCAAGTTGTCAGAGTTTGAAACGAACATGTACTTGTATCCGTCAGCCAAAAGGGAATCCAAGCAGCCGGATCCCTCCAAGGCGGCGTAAAGATCACCGTGCCCAGGAGGGCACCATTCGTTGGATGGATCACTCTCGCATGTGGCAGGCTAATCATGAATAAGGGAACGGGAGAAAACATAAATGAGAATCTCGTCGTTGGTCAAATGACGAACGATGCCGTTGGACAACACAATAGCATCGATGGCTGTCACGACAAAAAACGACGACCTCGACAACTGCATATCTTACCTCCAGGGTGGTAGCATCAATCTTGGGAACCTTGTTTTGCATCATTTCGAGTCCTGTTTCCCCAGCAAGAGCAGGGTATCCCTTTTGCAAAAATTCCAAAGTGTCAGCACTAGTCGAAAAAGAGTTCATCAACATGAACTTGACATTCGACTTGAACTCTTCACGCATGGCGATGATTTGCTTGGCAGTCAAATCAAGGAAAGTGTCATCTCCCTTGACCTTCAAAAGAGACTTGGCCTTATCCAAACCCATGCCTGTTCCAAGACCACCATTAAGCTTAAGGACGACTGTTTTCGCCAATAGGGAAGTATCAGGTTCACCGCTGAAGGATTCTGCGTTTACAAGATCAGGGGCAGGTGCAATAGTGGACTCTGGGATCATTCCAGTATTACCAGAGAGAAGAGAGCTGAATGTAGACTCGAATGCCGAGATGGCGGAAGGGGCAATGCCCTCGGCTTCCATTTTAGCCTGCGAAATGACGGAAACGGTCATGAGTACCTCTGCAATGATTCAAAACTTCATCATTTCATCCAATTCTTCCTCCATCTTCCAACGTCAAATTCTACTTACTTTACATGAATCAAAGGATGGCATGGCTGTTTTGTCACTAAGGTTGCGTGTTGTAACAGTTTATGTCGTGGACCGCGAAAAGGAACCCTTTGGCTTTCGACTAGCGAATCTTTCGGATCTAAGAAGTCTTCGTATCGTAGACGTGGCTCGAAAACGCGCCAACGAGAACTTGTCCTCCATTTTTGCAAGCTGCTAATATTTTGAAGTACGTCACACAATATATGACGTGTGTACAACTCTCTCGCTCGAAGGATATCGAAAGACCGCCACAGCGTTATTTTTGGAGAAACTGTCTGACACGAAAACCATTACTACGTTTACACTCTATTTTGTACTCTCACTGTGGTACTCTAACCCCTTACAGCTCGTGTCACTTTGTACATAGAATCTGGACTTCGAATTCAATCCACAAGCTCAGCCTCAACCGCTCGTTCCTCATCCTCGTCGGGCTTGTCTTCGCTGACTTCTTCAGCCGCTTCTGAAACTTCTTCAGCCGCTTCTGAAACTACTTCAGCTTCTGAAACTGATCCATCACTATTCGAGGACATCATTCCCATAACTCTCTTGGCAAAGCTGGACATGTCGGTGACCTCGTACCCAGAAGTTAGTCCAGCAACATCGAAGAGAAGCGTGGCAAAATCCTTGGTGGCTTCGCTTTCCTTGTCGCCCTTCACCATCTTCGCCAAATCTTTGATGATAGGGTGCTTGGGGTTGATCTCCATGCAGACCTTGTTCATGTTATCCAGGTCTCCGACCTCACTTCCGGCAGCAACTGCTTGAGCCTTCATGTATCGCTGCATACTTGGGCTCATACCGTAAGCTCCTTGGACAAGAGCGGCTGGGGAATCAGTTAGCAAATCGGAGACAGAAACCTTCTCGACTCCAGTAAGAGTAGTCTCAAGGTAGTTGATGACGTCAACGAATTCACGGTTCAATTCCTCCTTCTTCTTCTTGGAGTCTTCATCGTCGTCAAAAGAAGTGTCCTTTCCGGCGTCCTTGATATCAACATCCTTGTAGCTTCTCAAAGACTCGAACATGATTTCATCAAGTGGCTCTGTAGCGAACAGGACATCGTAGCCTCGAGACTTTAGCTTCTCGATGACAGGAGACATTTTGGCCTTTTCCTTGCCCTCTCCAGTGACGTAGTACACTGCCTTTTGACCCTCAGGCATCTTCTCAATGTACTCGTCAAAACTAGTGTATTCTTCATCTGAATTGTTGCTAAAGAATCGGAGATAGGAGGCAATTTCATCGCGATTTCGGTCGTCCTCAATGATACCAACCTTGAGGTACTTTCCGAAGTTGTTCCAGAAAGAAGCGTAGCTTCCATCCTCCGACTCGGCGATGTCGCGGATCATGTCCAAAGACTTTCGTACCAATCGCTTGTTGATGATGCTGAGAACCTTCGACTTTTGTAGAATTTCACGACTCACGTTCAATGGAAGATCATCACTATCGACTACTCCCTTGACGAACTTGAGCCAACGTGGAAGAAGATCTTCAAACTTATCATTGATAAAGACGCGCTTCACGTAAAGTCGAATATTGCGTGCATTCTCGTCGAACATATCGCGGCTCAAGTCAAATGGAAGTGTTCCAGGGATGTACAATATAGACTTGCACATGACTTGTCCCTCCAAGACGAAGTGGGTGTGTTTCATGGGAATGTCATAGGTGTTGCGGAAGGCCGACTTGTAAAAGTCTTGGTATTCCTCTTCAGTGACCTCTTTGGGAGAACGCAACCAAATGGGCTTCTGATTGTTAACAGCTTCGTATCCCTCAGTAGTTTCTGGCACAGTTTTCATTTTTGGCTCTTCTCCTTCTTCCAAGTCTTTGTTGGCTTCTTCATCAGGGACTTGCTTGTATTCTGTGTTCTCCTTCCAGACAGAGATTGGGAACTCAATGAATTCGGAGTATCGTTGGAGGAGCTCTTCGATCTTTGTGGCCTCCAAGTATGCCGGGGCGTCATCCTTCAAGTGCAAAATAAGCTTTGTTCCGGAAGTACCTTCGATATCATCAGCACTGGCTTCTGAGATTGTGTAAGACGAATCAGCCTCCGACTCCCATCTGTATGCCTTGGATGCATCTTGCATTGACTTGGTGATAACAGTAACCTTGTCAGCGACAAGGTATGCGGAGTAAAATCCAACACCGAATTGACCAATCAAATTGACGTCTGCATTTCCATCTCCAAGAGCATCAACGAAAGCTCGTGTTCCAGATTGAGCAATCTTTCCCAAGTTATTCTTGAGCTCATCCTTTGTCATACCGACTCCAGAATCTTCAATCGTAAGAGTGTTGTCTTCCATGTTGGCTCTGATTTTGATTTCAGGCGTTTCCACATCGGCTTCATCTGTGATCGAAAGGAATCGCTTCTTGTCACACGCATCTGCAGCGTTGGAAACCAACTCACGAAGGAAAATATCTTTGTCGGAATACAAAGAATTGATAATCAAGTCCATGACACGTCCGACATCACTTGTGAACCTGTTGGTTGTTTTCGTCAATTTTTTAAGGAGGTAGAATAGATGTAGATATCTTTAGATAACGGAGAGTGAAAGATGTATAGTTTATCAGATTGCCGAATACTTACTCGTAGGTTTCAGCCTCTTTTTCGGCAGTGGAGAAGAGAGTGTTCACTGGCTTAGAAGCAGAGATCTTGTTCGAAACACCAAAGCCGCTCTTGACTGGAGCAAAAGCGTTGGAAAATGACGAACATGCGACCAATAGTAGTGCGCTGGAAGCAAACTTCATTGTTCAATTGTTGGTTGGGAAACAGAGAGAGTGAAAGTTATGCCAAGTCGATTCTGCAGATCTATCTTCTTCCATCACATCACCGAAATCGATGGAAGAGAACTTAGTAGAGTTTCTGCGTACCAGATTGTCGTCTGACGTCAACCGGGAAATTATTGGTGTAGAGTGCACCAACTGCCGACTCCTTCGAACCAACTGACGAAACTGGAATTCGGGGAATATCGAAGGCAGAACTGTGAAGCGTCATCACTTTCACGACAGGAAGAACATCTGCTATTCATTGTTCATTGATCAAATCAACAATGAATCAGCAATTCGTAAGAGTAACAGGGCGAGCAATCAGTCGCATAAGACTTAACGCTGCTCGTAGCTTCAATGCCACCAAGCACACAGCAGATCACCTTTGCAAGGTGCAGTCATCGTCAAGACGAAGCATGGTGACTGTGACACAAACCAAGGTAGCTGACTTGCCCGTAGACGAAGCCCCTTCAAATGAAATTAACGATATCAGCTCCTTTGTTCAATTATCAGATGCATTAGAGGTCACTAGCAGCTGTCTAAACAGAGTACAATCCTTGATTCAACAACGGATTCAAAAGGAAGGTGAGGAATCCGCAGATCATTTTCTTCGCGTTTTCGTGGACGCAGGTGGATGTTCCGGTTTCCAATATCAATTCGAGGTGGATAACGAGTTTGACGAAGACGAAGATATAGTGGTTGTAGCTACGCAAGATTCAACGCCACGGGTTGTTGTGGATGAGGTATCGTTAGGATTTCTAAAGGGATCAAAGCTGGATTATGTTCAAGAAATGATAAAGAGTGCTTTTGTCGTTGCAGAAAACCCGCAATCAGAATCAGCCTGTGGATGTGGATCCTCCTTCGCCGTGAAAAATTTTGAAGCAAATCCTGCCCTTGACTAATCGAGAATGCCATGACTCGACTTGGATTTTAAGAGAGCCAAAATATGAAAAGTGCCAAGTTTGCTGCGTCGTAGATTTCTTGAATTAGCCATACCTTAGATAAATACGAGTATCGATAATCATGTCTCCTTAGACAAAGATTTCTTTGATTGTGCTAACAGACGCTCTTGTTCTGCAGCATCAGCTTCTGTCAATTTTCGTTTTTTTCGCTTTTTGGCAGCCGGTTTTCTATCTGTTGTGTCCGACTTACTCAATAATATTTTTGCCTCAGCTGCAAATTCCCCAAGCATTGGATTTACTGACAAAGCTTCAACGATCTTCTCTTCCTCCTTGAGCGAATCCCATTGTGTCAAAGACGATCCAACCTCTGCAAGATACGTCAAGTATACCTCACGAAATCCCTCGACAGCTCCCTTCGAAAAAAATTTCCCCGGACTGATTTTTTCTAGAATAGAGTGGAATTGATCTACTGTAGGATAGCCGCCTTTTCTTTTCCTTGAGTTATTGCTCATACCGTACGATGGATTGTTTTGGATACGCGTTGTGTTCAATATCGTCGGTCTTCGGCAATCGAAGTACGTGTACCGACGACAAGCGGACGTCAATGTGTTCGTTTTCTATTTGTTGCATGATTCACTCGACTAGAACACCTCAGTGGGACCAAAAAACAGCCATCGTCTTGCAGTCGACCCATATGATCTGAGACTTTTTTACAGAACTGAAACCGATTCGAGATGTCCTTGGGCATACCACTATTCACGAGTTTCAGTCACGAGCAGACACTAAGATTCTAGCTGGAGGATCTTTTACTGAACTACCGTGTAACAACTTTGTTCTACTGTAAGTCTCCAACTCTGATAAACCTGACGACCACCTGATGATATGTGGGAAGGCAATGTATCCACTCCTACAACACTAAGCACTACAGCGTCGACAGCAGTCGCCAGCTTCGTAGCTGCTGTCATCACATATCCTGTGGAAAGTCAAAGACTAAAATGGGCAGAAGAAATCCTCCATTACTGGAATCATGAAGAAGAGAGCACAGTACACGTCAACAGAAACCTACGATTGTTCACTCCACTAGTGAGGCTCTCTTTCTACGAGATGGCTAGAGGCTTTGTATCTTCTAGTCTTACCACAACGACACCTTCCACTGAAATTGCCAAGGTGTACTCGTCAGATATTGAACGCCAAGTCTTAGCTGGCTTTATTGCTGGAGTTTCCCAGACTCTGCTTTTCACACCGTTCGAGCTTTGGAGAACCAACCAAGTTATGCTACAAGAAGAGGAATATTCTAGCAAATGGAAGAATAGGTTGTATTCTCAAGTTCTGGGAGGAGGAGGCTCCATTGATCCTAAGGAACGAAGAGCACGGGCTATCGGGGCGCTGAGTGTAAAAACTGGTCGCGAAGTTATCTTCAACGTCACCTTTTTTCCTTTGTTCCACATGCTACGCCAACACTTTCGCGGTACATCACCATGTGGTTTCTTCGGAAAGGAGGATTTATTTAGTTTGACGGCAAGTGGAATTATTGCAGGATCAATGTGCTCTGCATTATGCACTCCAATGGATATTTGGATAGCTCATATGATGAATAGCAGAGAACGTTGGAGTTTGTGGAGTGGAAAGACAACATCTGCAGTTCCATTAAGAATACTCTCAAGAGGCTTGGTCTTGCAAGCTTGTTGTTTTGGACCAGCTTTTGGTGCAGTTGCCGTAGTTTACGAGTTGACCTGAACTTCAGGACTGCACTGGACTACTCGATCGATTGATACTCGATTGGTAGCTTGTGGCCACTATAGCATTTGTATCTACTTCATGAATCAGGATAAACTGAATTTGGATCAGCATAGAGAACAAGATATCCGCCCTGTTTCGGGTTGTCATGGACACCTTTGAAGCCAAGCATCTTCATATAAAGTGGTCGCAGATACAGGTGGATACTCAGTTTGCTTGCTGTTCTCAGCGGATCCTGCTACCGGTAGATGCTATAAAAGGTACCGGGTGGTGGTACCAGGTACCTGAAAGACAACACGACGATCGAATGAATCAATCAAACTCATATGTCCGTCTGTCGTTCATTCAACGGACGACACGAAGTGAAAATGGAAAGGAACGCTTCACAAACCGAATGTATAGCTGGAGGAAAGATATCTCCTCCAAATGGCATCCTCACATGGTAGAAAATACAGTCAACGAAAGAAAAACATAAATAGAAACCAACAGCTGCTTTTGATCTTCATAGCAATCGGAGTCATTTCATTTACCATATTTCCAATAACAGTTTTCCATCGAGGAGCACCCCCTATTGAGAAACCAAGAATCTTGTCGTCATTCCTACCCGAGAGAAGCTCAAAGGTAAGCGCGCCTTGCTCTTGCGACTTTGGACCATGCTTGAAATGGGAGAGCAAGAATGAATCATTTCCCTGCTCTACCATCCGACCACTCAAAATGCACGCAACATGGGACACGGAAACAAAAGCCTTGTACAATAAATTCAAACGAACGATGCATTTTGAAGTGATCAACTTGATTCGTGACGAGAAGAAAAGCAACAATACGTCCTGTAAATATCCAGAAATGATCACTTTCTTCCATATTTTCAAAAATGGTGGTACAACGGTGCGAAATGCGTTCATGCAAGAACAGACCGCCTTGCCATATTTTGCAAAGAAACTCTTCACTGGAGTCCAATTTCGAATCGGTACAGTAAAATTTCACACGCGCTTGAACAATACCGTGATGCGATTGCTAGATGGACAGCGGCAAATAAGAAGACTGGGCGAGCCACAGATGTTTTTCGGGTATACTTTTCTTCGTGAACCAATTTCCAGGTTTTTGTCGGGAATGGGACAAGTTTTGCACAAGTATAATGACGGTATTCTGGATAATGGTTTCGAAATGGCAAGGTGTTTCTCGATAGGGTATCCTACATCCGAAATGCTGGATTGTTCACTAGCAAAATTGATGCCAACTGTTGATTCTGAACAAAGGTTGCAAAACTACAAATACCTCGATTTCCATTTGCTTCCTCAAGCATTTCTACTTCGTGACTTTACTGGTGAGCAAGATATATCTATCATGGTGATGGACATGGCTCATATCCCCAGTGTCTTGAATGTCCTGCTTCCCCATCCAGCAGCTGAAGGAGGAGTAACCGAGCAAATTCCTAAGGATCGAAAATTTTGGGGTCGAAAGTCTCGAAGTAAAGATTATACAGGTGGGCATGATCTAACAAACCCAGAAATTCTTACCACTGAACAGAAAAGGATGATATGTCTGCTCTATCAAATGGATGTCATGCTGCTTGCTCAAACGAAAGTTGTTCCAGACACACCTTGCTTCGAACTGTTGAAGTCGCTTTAGTCGGATCCTCTTTGTTTAGTCGAAGTAGTCGAATTTGCTGTTTTCAATGATGGCGGTGACAAATCCATAGATCGACAAATCCATAGATCGACCAACCCATCATCATTGTTCCCTCCCATCTACAACAATGACGCAATCAAGTAATAATGGACAGGACAGCAGCAATGAGATTTCTTTGATTCATGCAATGAAAATGGCAGATGTTGCGAGAAAGCATTACCATGGCGTTGAAAACTCGTCGCCAAGTGGAATTCCACCGGGAGCATTGCAGGGCGCCACGGCATTTGTTCTAGCGGGTGTGGCGCTGCTGCCCGTGCGAAGACTACTACTGAAAAATGCTGGGCACCAGGGATTCAAAAATTTTGTCGATATCATCGCCAGTGTCGGAGGTACTCTGGCTGCAACACAGGCTGGCTTGGTGGTCGGTTCGTTGTATGGAAGTAAGGTCTATCTCGATTTGTTGAAGGAAGAGCCAGTGACTTCGAAATCACAACTTACTGACGACATATGCAACACCATGTGGTCCACGGTTTTACCCCCGCACCTTCATCACGCGAAATCACCTTCTTGTGGTTCGTTCGATCCAAGGCTGCAGCCTCTCATTTCGCTACAAGAAGCCATGCAGCAATGCAACGCAAGGAAAGAATACCAAGAGTCATTATCTTCATAACATGGTTTTATCATTGTCCAATATGTAATATACATCTAGAGCGACTTATTTTCCCTCTTCAGATATTCATGTTGCATACTGACAAGAGGGCGTATATTATTTTAAGGCTTTTTTAGTCGGTTGGCTAGTCGGCTTCTGTGACGAAGCAAAGGAATTATCTTTTCCATTAAAGGCCGTCGTTTGCCCATATTCAATTCCTTTTGTATCTCTCCTTTGAGCACCTTGAAACGATCCCTCACAAATCCATCATGTAGTCGGACTAGTTTTTCCAGTTTTGTTTCCCTCGACTGCCGCAGTTCCTTTTTCAGCAAGGGTGAACTGTACTCCCAGATGAAGGGCCAAATGATCGTTTTAGGAGGAAGACGGAGTGCAAATGAGCACTCGGTAGTGAGCCATGCCAATTCAGTTTCTGCATCATTCAAAAGGCTAGCTTGATCTGGCGGGTACCAAGGACCCTCGAGAACCGAGTACAAGGGTGGCAATGGTACATTATTGATCGATTGCAGTGGATTGGGCGCATTCGTTGGTAGTTTGGGATTCGGTGCACGAGTCGTGGGATCAGATGGCGTCACAGGGAATCGATCCTTATTGCTCTCTTGAGAATTTATGGGTACGGGATTCTGTGCTCCCTGATTTGCGAGAGTATGAATGTCCTCTGCAGGCCGATTTGGTGTTTGCTGAATGGGTTGCAGAAGCCTGTTTGTTGGTTGGGCTTGTGTGCGCTGGTTTGTCTGCAGAAAGTTATGTTCTGGTTGAGCAGTTGTTTGCTTCTTGCCACGATCTTGCTCCATTCGTTTGCCGTCATTCGCTCTAGTCGTACCAGCTCTAGCTAGTTCAGGTGGAGTCGATAGCTTGGTATCCTTCTGAGTTGCTGGTCTTGGTTTCTCCTTCGGCGCTTCTCCGGGGACTTTCGCTGGTTTCAAAAATAGATTATGCATGATAATTCCAGGACTGAAAGGTTCATGACTTGTCATACTTTCGTCAACTCTGCTGAGATTGACACCATTTGTATGCGCGAAGGGGTTGCTACCTACTTTCTGCTTTTGGACAATCGGTTCCATAGACTTGCCAACACAGGTCTCTTGTGTCGCTTCCTGCACCCTTTTCTTTCGCGCCGCTTGTTGCTCCAAGCTATCATGGACAATCGAAAGACATTTTCGAACCTTCTTCAGGGTAGAGTCGCTAACTTTCGTTCGCTTTATGGCAATCATGCATCTGTAGGATCTTGCAACGAAAATCATGCATCCCAAGAGCCCCTTCGTTCTTGATTGTATAGCAGATAGACTTTTCATGCCTACGAGCAATGGGAAGTTTTTTCCAAGCTTCCAAAACTTGAGTGCTTCTTCGAGGATTGTGACAACTCCAAGGTCGCTAATTATGATTTGTAGCCCATTCGGAGAGCTTGAAGCAAGCCGTTGTTCTTGTAGACATAGTAGCAACATAGGCTTTGAAATCAACCCGCATTTCTTCCCTTGGATCGAGCCATCTTTCCAACTAGATCCATATACCATTCCAGATTTTGCTATGAGAGTACTAGCAGTCACCATTTGTCTTGCTGCTGTTTCTCCAAACAAGTCCTTAGCTTGCTGTGACGCCTCAAGATGTCTTCCATCAGAGCCTCTGGGTAGCAGAAGATCTTTGAAATGATCGAACATTTCCTCTCCAACCTCGGCACTTGCTTCTTTCATGTAAGGCGACTCTTTGATCTCTACCATCGAAGCAATGGCTCGCACATTCAATGCTCTAGAACTAGCAGTACTCGGCAAGTGTTGCAAAGCACTGATAGATGGATAATTATCCTGACTCCCAGGACTGCGAGAACGGGAATTTAGTTTTGCTCCTTTGCTTGAAGGCAAGCCTTCCACACCAAATATTGCCTTCCGCTTCCTGTGGGCTTCCGCCGTATGCACGTTTTGATCCCCTTTGTAGCGCCAAATGAAGCCATTGAAGCTGATTTGCCCTCCTTTTAAGACCCTCCTAATATATTTCTTGGGATTTTTGTTCGTCAATGAATGCCCAATACTGTTTTCGATGTCTCGGATACTACTGAATTCACCTACAACCTCGCCCGTGTCAGGAAGTACTTGCTCTATGATTCGATCGTCATTTGCTTCGTCATATGGAGAATAATTGCTGGGCTTTGATAATGGTGATGTTTTTTTTGTAACCTCCTTTAATGTGCTCGAACTTTTCTTCATTGGTTGTTGTGTTGGTTCAGTCTTGTCTAGTCTCTTGTATGGTGAGACAGCTCGAATATAGCCTTTCTCGCCCTCGCTACCCTCCGCAAGGTTATCACCTTTGGTTTCCTTGGACTTGTTTGTTTGATTTGATTTGTTTCCAGCACTCGTCAACTTTTTCTTGTAGCGCCAACTGAATCCAGCGGCACTTTTTTGCACTCCTCTCAAAACCATCTTTATTCTCTTCCTGGGATTTGTGGTATTCAACAAATGGCCGATTCGGTCCTCAACTTCTAGAACGTTGCTGAATTCCCCCAAAACCTCTCCCGTTTCAAGTGATACTTGTTCAATAATGCCTTCATCATCAGTATCGTCACAAGCGTCTGCATTGCTAGTGTTTGTTGCTGCTAGATTATTTTTTGCGTTGTCCGTCGACGACGCAACCTTCTCCTTCATCTTTGGCGACATGCTGCTGTCCAAGCCCATGTTTGGCGAGGCAGCTTGAGTATCGCCCTTGTTGCTGTCCGCACGATTACCACCTTTGGTTTCCTTAGACGAGACCGTTTGACTCGATATATTTCTAGCAGTAGTCGACTTTTTCTTGTAACGCCAACCGAATCCGCAGGCACTTTTTTGCACTCCTCTCAAAACCGTGAATATACTACTCCTGGGACTTGTGACATTCAACAAATGGCCGATGCGGTCCTCAATTTCTAGAACGTTGCTGAATTCCCCCAGAACTTCTCCCGTTTCAAGCGATAATTGTTCAATATTGCATTCATCATCAGTATCGTCAGAAGTGTCTTCGTTGCTAGTGTTTCTTGTTACTGACTTGGTTTTCGCTATGTCCGTCAAAGATCCAGCCTTTTCCTTCCTCGTCGGTGAAATGCTTTTGCCTAATCTCTTGTTGAGTGAGGCGACTTGACTATCCATTTCCTCGTCCTCCCTGCCGCCATTTCTGCCATCTTCCGGCCTTTCCTTGGTCTTGGGCTTGCCCCTCGCTTTCGATATGGTATTTGTGCTCGTAGACACTTTCTTGTATCGCCAAATATAGTTGCAGGCGGTCTTTTGCTTTCCTTTTAAAACTTTGCAAATGTAGTCGACGTTCATGGAATCGCCCAGTCTGTTGACGATATCTCGAGCAGAATTGAATTCACCCAAAACTTTTCCTGTATGTTGGCATACTTGTTGAATTATTTTTTCATCATTCAAACTGCCAATCGGTGTCATAGATGTATTTTTTGAAGTATTCGAAGCGATTGATTTCGCCATAGCTTTGGATGCCGGGGAGGAAGGCGTGCCATTTCTCCTTGGCGAATCTTTACTCATTCTTCGGGCCCTTTTCTTTGCCAAATCCGGAGGTAAGTTCTTTTCCATGTCCACGAGGCATGACAATAGTTTGTTTCCAAGATCATCACTGACAGCTGCGTGTTTGAGTGTCGTTACGCAGACGTAAGCCCTTGCAACAAAGATCTCGCATTGACGACACATTTTGATATCGCCCGTGCGTGCATATTGGTCAGCAGGCTTCCTCGCCCACAATCTAGGAAATCTATCTGCTACCCCCCAAACCTCCAGAGCTTTCTTGATCAGAGACTGCAATTCGAGATCATGGCATATCTTACCTAGCACCGCTGTTGGCGCACGTGAAATCTTAATGTGTTGTAGACATATGAGCAGCATTGGTTTCGCGATGGTTCCCAAATTCTGATCACGGATCCTTCCTTCCAACCATTCTTCGCTGTATAGCTGCCCCGAATGCTTCACATGGTGATGCCAGTTGACCAGCTTCTTTGCAGCTTCTGCACCAAATAGGCGAATGGCATCTTTGTTTGGTATGAGTGACGGTTTTCTTCTACACATTTGTTCCTTTTGATTTTCCTGTTGATTTCCGTCTGGCTCGAACAAGTCTTCGAATTCTTCGAAAGGCAGTTCTCCAGTTTCAGCACTAATACCATCTTGGTAAGGTTTGCCCTTGATGTCTTTCATAGTGGGGATGCTACTATCATCGCTACTGCCCTCGTCTCTTTCACCACTTCCGTCGCTCTCATCGTTTCCGTTATCGTCCTGTTCATCAATTTCGCTATCATCTTCTTCACTTCTCTTCGCTGATACTATTTTGGAATATTGTTCATTGCTGAGTACCTTTTTACAGAGCTCGAGTACCACTGCCCGCTTCGCTTCGTCGCCCTCACAAGCCTCGAGAAAATCACAGGCCACTCTTTCTCTTGCTTCTTTCATCAATGTTTCGACGATAATGCCCGCCGACGATTGATCTTGACTAGATTTTCGCGCCATCGTGGAAACCAATCAGTCCGCAATCAGAACAACAAATTTGCTTCCACGGCCCGGCGATTGGATTGGCTGTTTTACCCTTGGATAAACGAATCCCCACCTTCTTTCTAGTAGCTAATTTCAGTTGCCAGTGGTAGAAATCCTTGCGCATTGGTGCAGCAGTGGCAGAAGCCCACTATGAAGGTGTTGGAGTTTGTTTTTGTTTTGAGTTGCTTCAAAACCTTGGCCAAACCTCTAACGTACTGTAGACGGAAGAAAGCGGTCGAACCAATGGACTCAATAGTGACTCCATGAACGACGGTAGGGCGACCGTCATCTCAGTATTGCACCAGCAACCTAAGTCCGACCTACACATATCGAACTTGTGTGCAAGTATACTGACAGAAAAATAGAGTGATTTCTTTCTTTCAGTTTTATTGTTATTACATTTAATTGCAAGAGTATCAGTTGTCTTAGGCATCTTTTACGGTGGATTGTTTGAGCTTAGCCGACAATTTCACAAGTTTTCCAGTCCTCCAGCCTTTCAGACAACAACAACAGCAACAAGAATGCCAAGTCAATCTTTCCTCTCCAAGAAATTTGCCGTAGGTGAATTTTTGAAACTCCGCGATTCGATTACGAATCTCCCCTACGAAGGGAAACTCAACTATCATCTCGCTCTTGACAACAAGTGTCCAACTCTCAAGAAGCTCTAAAGTTCTTATGGAATTCCTGTCGAGCGGCTCTCCGAAGGCAAGCCCCTCTACAGAGTAACATGCCCTGAGGATTTCCGGCCAACAAGAGAGCGATATGCCGAGTTAGATACGGAATTCAAGAGATGGAATGACCCAAGTTTGACTTACCATCAGCGTCTGATGCTTGGTGAAACCAAACCACCAGGATTTGGGCTAGTTGTTCGGAAAGGGGCGGACGGAGAACCTTGTCACATATGCTTCATCTCTGCTCCGGTAATGACAAAATCGAATACGAGCGCAGGAAGTGGTTTCGGTGCACCATTGTTGGCTGATATCTTTGATGCCACGGTGACGAACCATTTGAAGTGTCCTCCGCCAGTTGGTGAACCTAATCACTTGATGTTGGGTTCCCTGTGTGGTACCACCTTCGGTGTATCCCTGGACAAAGGACGTCGGGCCTTTGCAGAAGCATTGTTGCCTGTGATCATGTCAGAAGGTTTGGCCTTGGGTCAGAAACCACTGAATGGCGATTTGTGGAAAAATTTTCCATTTATGTCAGAATGCCCAGTTGGTTTCGTTTGGCCAGCTACAATTAGCTATGCCGAATTCTGTGATTCTCTGGAGAATCGCAATAGTAAGGTTTTTGGGGGACTGTTGCATCTTCTTGGCACCCAAAAAGCGGTAATTGAAAATTGGTTTGACGCTGCCGTCAATGCTAATTCTCACGCGTTTGGTGTACCTGTGGTATTGGCTCTTCCTCTATGGGATACTTTTCCAACTGTTGATAACCCTAATGGACAATCGCTGATTGGTGATTGTAAGCAGTTGGCGCCGTTTCAGGTCCAACAAGATCGTTTCTTGCGCAATCACTTCTCTCAAATTGTGAGACGCGGACCTATCACTGCCCAATCCAAGGCGTTCCAGATGGCGCGGATGCAGTATCATATGTTCATTAAACGCGGAACATTGGAATATCCATTGGATCAAGGTGGTGGCGGCACCCTATCTGCTGAATGCCAACCTTTTCTGAGTCAAATGATGCAACCCATGGATGGATGGAACGATGATGGCCCAAATTGGTGTGCCAATTTTACACTGGACCCAGTGGAGGTCCCGTCTCCCTTCCATCTTTATCCAGTCAAGGATATTCCCAAAACAGCAAAAGCACCTCCAGGTTATAAACCACAACGTCTGGTGCGACCGGTGGAAGAAGGACCAGGAGAATCCTTTGATGATTTTCTAGCAGCTTCTCAACAACTACATTCAGGTGAGCAATTAGACGATCCAGTTGATTCCTCTTCCGATACGGATGAGGTCGCATATGTCGCTACACGAGGACCACCACCCAATGATGGTAAATCAAGAAGGGTGACGAATCCTACTGCAGGTGGGCCGTATGCACAGATGGCAGCAACCCTGAGACCACCAACTCGTGATCCAACAACAGGACACCAAACGGGGGTATCGTGGTCAACGTCACCATCTTTTCTTGCACCTGTGCCAGCTGTCTCTCCTCCTGAAGACGACGACGCCGGTTATAATGTTCATGCACGGGATCCATTTGCACCTACTGTATCACCATTGAAGCGGCAGCATCTACCATTTCATCAGTCTGGAAGAACTACTACACCGCGTCCTAATAGAGACAAGGCGGACTGGACTTCCCCATTTGCGCCCAATAAGCGTCCGAGGATGGATGTTGGGGACCATGCAGGGCCATTTCAACCAACTCCGTCTCCTTTTCGGGGGAGCCCAAGTCCTACTGTTCCTACAATGCATGATCCATTTGCACGGGCACCATCTCCTTATCACACAGGAGCGCCAGTCCAGCAGTCGCCGTTCCATCCTATGCCAGTGCAACAACATCCTCAAGTGACTCCGGGCATGTATCATAAGCTGTCGCCATACCAGCCAACGCCACCGTCGCAGTATCGTACCCGCACCCAACATTCGTGCCTGACGGAATGGGTGGATACTATCAGACAATGGTAAATCCCGCTGCTATGGTCCCGGGACATCCTCATGGTGGCCTTGTTTACTCGCCTGTTGTTGCAAAGCCGGGTGCTCTCAAGATTCGACTAGAGTCAACAAAGCACGCGGCTATTTCCACACCGGAACAAAGGACAATATGTCCACCTGTGTTCCTAGCTATCATGTTGTTTTTGGTTGCTCCAAGACATCGGTGACGTGGGTGCTGGTGTTGTTCATTGCAGAAAAGATGGAGAACAAGCAAGACAAGTGTCTTCTGAAGCTGTCTTTCAAATCCTCATGCCATCGGAACTTGGACGACAGGTTCTGTCTGGTGTGGATCATAAGAATGACGGAAGTGCGGCTGCAGTTGCCATGGTCCGGGTGATAAGATACCGCGCCAAACTGTCACTTGGGCTGTTTGGATCGTTACGATTACCTTCCGAGCAGCTGTTGACTACTGTCATGGATAGTGTCTTTGTCCGGAATGGTTTGGACATGAACACATGGAGTGTGGAACCGGAAAGACCGCCTCCTTCATACACCAAGAAACAATTCTCGGTATTGTCCTTCCTTCCTTGTTTGGACACTGGTATGTCTTCTACTATGGTTCTACGCAGGGGTATAACGCTCGACCAAGCGAGGCAACTGGGAATGATCATCTACTATTTCTTTGCCATGTTGAGTGCTAAAAAGCCAACCTATGATGGTGCGGATTATGATGATGGGGATTTTCAGAGTTCAATCTTTGGTAATACTCTGTTTTTAATGTGCAATACTTTGATGCAGAATGGGGATTTGATGCGATTGTGGATGACGTATCCGGAAATGTGTACAACGGAATACGTTCGTGACCTAACGGAGCTTGTGTACCACTTGAAGTCGTTTGTGGATTACCGGTCTGGGGCTGATATGGGTCATTATGGCATACATGAAGCTCGTCTTGCAAGTCATCCTAACTTTCCTTTCATGGTCGTCTCCTCTTCGATGGAGAGTCGGCGAAGTACAACTCGAACTGCCCATCTGAAATTGGCTATTCAAAAATATTGAGATGCAATGTATAACAAGTGGGATAAAACCTACTACAGCTTACATGATCCATTCTGGTCGTCCCCTTGTATTTCTGTTTTTCTACAGGCATCAAATCACGCTTCTGGAGGTTCCGATTGGTCTTCTTGCAACAAGTTATTGCACGATGATTGTAATGGTCCTATATCATAATAATAAATCTGATGCATTAATCATGTTAAAACTATCTCAAGTTTCTAGATTGCCGTTAACGGCTGTCATGGCCATTTACCATATGGAGGTGAGTCCAGTACTGTTGAACCAGTTTGAGGCATC